ATGTCAGCAACTTTGGCCAGTTTAAGTAGATACAGTAACACAGGCAGAAATGTTGAGGGAGCGACATTCTGTTCCTCCGAAGGGAACATAGGCTCATCTACATGTTCAGAGGGTTTTGGGGCGGGGATATCAAGGGCCTTGATCATCCTACCCACTAGCACAGTGAATTTATTAAAGTCTGCAGGTGGAATAAGGCCATTATCCTCACCCCCTATGGCCTGTGCAGCATCAGGAGAATCGGAATTGGAGTCAGTATCTCTCAACACAACTGTGTCCTGTTCCGGAACCACAGGTGGGTTAGTGAAATCAGTTCCCAAGGAGGCTGCATTGTTCATCAGTTGGGGAGCAGAGGTCGACACAAGAGCAGAGTCACACAAAGTTTGGTCAGTGGAGGGCAACACAGTAGTAGAAGGCAACACAGTAATAGAAGGCATGGCAGAACCACACAGGTTTTGGACAGCACAAGGCACCTTGGCTGGAGGCATAGACGGTCTACACAAGTTTAGGTCAACACAAGCTGCCTTTGCTGGAGTCAAATTGGCACAGGCTGGCACAGAAACAGATGGACAGTTGTCCCTGAAGTAAGACAGCTAGCTGCAGGAGCAGTTAGTTCTGGGGCAGGAGGGGGAGCTCCAGGTAAGCCGAAGGGGGGAGGCATCAGTGGCTGCATGAACACCAGCTGACCTGAAGGGCCCAGCTGCCAGTAACCCAGCAAAGGCATGGGGCCCGGGCTCAAATGTCTCCAACGAGAGGAGGAACAAGAAGACCGGGAGCGCCTCCTGTGCCTCGAACAGCCAGAGGAGGAGGAAGACGACCGAGAGCGAGGCCTGCTCCTGGATGGGGAACAATACCGTCAACGTCGATAGGCCCAGCTGCGACGAGATGGGGACCTCGATTGCCTGGGCCGCTTAGTAGGGCGGCGTGCGGATCGCCAAAGCCAGGGGTGATCGAAAGATGATGCCAGCGTTGGGACACCCATAGGCGCCTGTAGAGCCCCGGTATCTACAGGGGCTGCCTCCTCGGTAGCCGGGGGAGCTTCCTCACGCTGTTGATCAGTAGCGGCCCCAGGCAGCGGAGCAGTGACCCCAGATGAGGGGGAGGCCTCCATGCCGGAAGTGGGAGGGCCGTTGAAGATGCCTCCATAGGCGTGGCTCCCCTATGGGAGGGGAACGGCCGCCGCTGAGGGAGGGCCGGTATCGGGCGCGTAGAGCTCGGTCACGCAGGCTCTGTGTCCCTGCGCCGAAGGAGATAACACCGACATCCCTGGTGTTAAAAGAGTCTCCGGCGCGCGCATGCACAGTACACACTGGAGTCAACTCGGCTATCCCAGCAGTAACATCTGGTGCCGGAAGAGGTAGCACTGGCGCTCCCTGGCTCCTCGCTGCAAGATGCGGATTTGGTGGGAAAACGGCGGCAGAGAGGCTTCCCGCCTTTTTTAACAGCCTTTTTGGGAGCAGCGGCCTGGTGGCCATTTTGGGAGGACTTATCTTTTGACTTTTTGGTCTTCTTCCTCGGCAGGCCTTCCGAAGAGGCGAAACAAGGTAGGAGCTGCCGCTCGGAAGAGGGAATCTGCCCAGGGATGGGTGGAGGCAGAAGGGTCCTCTCATAAAGGGCTGCTTTAAGCCAGGACTCCCTATTTTTCCTCGTCTGAGGAGTAAAAGACATACAAACGGGACAAAATTGGGTGAGATGTCCTTCCCCCAAGCATGCTAAGCAAAGCGAGTGCCCATCCATATCTGGCAACATATTGGGGCAGTTGCTGCATTTTTTAAAAGCCGTGGTCACCATATTTGAAGGGGGAAGGCAGTAGAATGGTCAAGGGGTCAGTCCAGTCAGTGTCACAGAATACCTCAGGTCGATCAAACAATCCAGTCAAGTCCAAAACAGTCTGTAAGCTCGCAAAAGTAGAGGAAAGGTTCTCAAGTTGCTTGCTAAGCGGCGGAAAAAAGAGAACTGGTGGCTAGCCCCGCCCATGAACTATATATACTCGGGGAGTGGGCAGGTCTAGGCAGGGGTAAAATGTCTATATATTTTATCTTCCAGAAGGTTCCGAAAGCTGTATTGCGCAGGTGCAGATACCAAATGTGCGATTCACAGTTGACTACGACAGGAAATGTCTTTTTTATCTTTCTAGAAAGTTCCAAAGCTGGTCTGCGCAGGCGCAGGAATAACCATATGTACAACTCACAGTTGACCATGACAGGTAAACAAGGTTCTCAAGCTGCTGCAAATGGCGGCAGAAAAAGAGAACTGGAGGCAGTAGCCCCTCCCACTGGCTACTTATACTCAAGGGAGAGTGGGCGGGGCCTAGCGCCAAAAATGTTTGATAGAATGTGTGATTCACAGTTGACCATGACAGGGAAACATCAGTAACCTTTGTTAGTTTGAGAAGGTATGGTAAAGCTGGAAAGGCTGTTGAGGATGGGGGTTCTTGTTCCTCAGATGGGAACATAGGATCCTCCACTGGTTCTGGGGGTTTGGGGCCTGGGAGATCAAGTGCTTTAATCATTCACCCCATAAGGGCAACAAACTTATTAAAGTCATCCGATTGGTGAAATTCAGGTTTCACACCCCTGCAGGGAATCAGGGACGTCACATGAGGAATCAGTCGGCAAGATCAATGACCTTATATTCAGGTAGTTCGGGTACAGCAATTCCCAAAGAACATGCAGAAAGTTGTTGGTGTTGCTGATGTAACTGCTGCGGCTGTGTCAATGCAGTAGGCCCAGGAAGTTGGCTAGACTGGGAGGAAGAGGCCATCGGTACTGTGGGTGGCAAGGCCAAAGAAACAGTCGTTACTGCCACAGATGGGGCAGAGTCCGCAGGGATTGTCCCCAAGGTTCTACAAGTGTCAGCAGGCCCGCCAGGGGACCTTCCATAGGGGTTCCCCCCGTGTCCCTGGCCTGGAACTCTGGAGCCACCGATGCCATGAGCGTTGGCATCGCTGGCATTGCCCTCTCCTCCTGGGCCGAGCCTGGGTCCTGCCATCTTCACAGGTTCGGCTGGCAAGGACAAGAGACAGGGCCTTCTCAGCGGTGGCCCCTCGGCTGTGGAATGCCATCCCCAGGGACATTAGATTGGCCCCTACCCTCTTAACGTTTCGTAAAAGTCAGAACCTGCCTGTTTAAGCAGGCTTTCCCAAATACAGTGTAGCAGATAAACTCTGATCTCAGAATGGCTGGACAACGCAACTGGATAATGATTTGGTAATGAAATGCGGATGATTTATTGTTTTATGATGTTTTTATTGATATTATGTAGTGAATTTTTATCTATGTTTAAATGTTTTAGCTATTTTTATATTATGGGCATCGAATTGTGCCATTCTGTAAACTGCCATGAGTCACCCTCAACCTGAGAATGGAGGTGTAGAAATATAGTAAATAAATAAATAAATAAGATGTCAAAATGCCAGTTCCCAAAACAAATGAATCTGTAAATAGCTACATTTTACATATGGACTGTTGTAAAATAAACTTTGAGAAGGCAGCTGTTTTCATTCTTGGAAAAGGTGTTTTCACTTCTAAGATGTTGTACAATGGATTCTTCAAGATTACATTGCTCCATAGAGTGGTTCCAATTCGGTAGATCTACATTACAGGAGACAGAAAAGGCGCACTGGAAAGAATTTCTTGATGTTACCACCTTTTCAAAATGTGGATTGATATTTTTTTTCTACTGAAGGTGTTTTCATAAAGCCTGGATAGACTTATTAAAATGTCATAGCAGCTGAGAAGCAGTCTAGATCAGGGCTTCTGATACCCTTTCCCTTTCTGACCCCTTTCTGCTTGAGAAATTTATGTGAATCTGGGTATATAGGTAAGTAAAATAGGCATAAAAGTCAAACATGTATTGATTATAAATCAACACTTTTACAAGGCTTGTCAAACAGGCTGATTTTCTATTTTATGGAGTACAGCTGAAGCATTTTCTGCAGAGTCCACTGTAAATGCTGCATGATGTTCCTAAGAGATTCATGTAAATGCCTAAAATAGCCACCAGGTGGCACTCAGAAAACATTTATGAGGCAAAGGGACCCCATATGGAGTCAAGACCCACAGTTTAAGAAACTGGTCTAGACCACTGGTACTTAACCTGGGGGTTCTGGCCCCAAATGGGTTCCTCCTTAGCTCAGCGTTGAGGTCCCAGAAAATTTGGCAACATTAATGTTTTTGGATGACACCTCATGGCTGTTTTAGGCATTTCCACAGACTTCTTGTGCAGAGTTTGCAGTGGGCTGTGCAGAAGATGCTTCAGCTGTACTACATAAAAAGGGAAATCAGCCTGTTTAGCAAGCCTTGCAAATGCCTTTTTTCTCAGTAATGTTTTGTTTTTTTGCATTTGTTTTATGTAGTTATATACTCATAGTCACATAAAAATGTGTTGGGCCAAAAGCAGAAAAGTTTAAGCAACCCTGTAGACCAGTGTTCCCCAACCCAGATGTCCTGGATTGCAATTCTCATTAACCCCTGCATCAACTGGAGCTTTGATACATCCACATAAAAAAGAAATACTCCTCCTTGCCTTCTTACCTTTGCAGAAGATGTTTCAACTTACTTCGTAAAAAGGAGTATCGGCCAGTTTAGTAAGCCTTGCAAGTGTAGTTTTGTTATCAGTAATTGTTTGGTTTTTATACCTGTATTATATACCAATATACCTGAATTCACGTAAAAAGGTCCTGGGCCATAACTTTGGGTGCTCCATAGACAGAATGTCTACTGAGAAACACGAGAGAACTGTCAAGTTTGCCAGAAATCGTTTGAAATTTTTTTACTAAGGACCACAAAGAGGACTATGAACACTCAGTGGCCACAGAACATGGCGGATTTTGTCGCAGGCATAGAGGCCAGAGAGAGTGAAAGGAATGGCTTTTCTGGAGAGAAGAGATGGCTTGCTGCAATTCTAAACAGGCACACTCCACAAGAGGGAATCATCATGACATTGCAGAGTAAATTTAGAAATGCTACCTTCTGGTGTACTCACGAACACCAGAATCTGTGTGATGTTAACAATGTTTTATTACATACAGAACAGATACAGTCGATTTGTATGATAGAATACAAGGGACAAAGCATAAAGGTGTTCATGGGTTTTTCCCCCCACACAGCAGCCTTTTATACATTTCAGTCCAAATTGCCAGAGTATTCAGGCCCTGAAACACATTTTTTAAAAACCTTTTCATAGCATACTGATTTGAGTTTTACATACATCACAGTGAAGATGCAGCAGGGAAAATGTGTGTTAAGTCAAACCCTTTTTCACTTGCTGTTTACCAATTGCCAGCCTTCTATCTTCCTCTACCCACAGCATCATATATTTTTTGCCAGCTTATGTTTTTATTGAAAGCTCACTTCAAACTCCGAAAGGGCGTTTTCTGCATCTTAAGTAGCCAGTTGAGGCAAACTCGAAGTGTTTGTGACTGGAAACAGGATTTGCAAGGGACTTCATAGTTTTATACATGTTTAAAGATCTGAGTTGTTCCATGCAGGAGCAATTGCAGTCTTGGGGGTAAGGAGAAGTTGCAAGTTTAGCATTGCGGATCTTTTTCTCGCTTTTCAAGCATGGCATATTTGTCTTCCTGGTTGCCAGGTTTCTACATTTCTGAAGAGGGCTCTGCTCACTCCCATCACTTCATATTGAAGCTGCTACCTTTCTTTGCCCTTCTCTGTCCGCTGTCCCTATTGAACCTTCTCTCCATCCCTTTCTGTCCCTCCTCCCCATACTGTCATGAATCATACCTCAAGTTGCACTGTAAATAATACCCTCCTTGGACTCCATCTCTGGCACTTGTTACAATGGCAAGGCCATTCTGAGGCTTTACCATTGACCCAGCCAAGGAGAAGGGGATCAAATCCCAAGTGAGAGGTTGGGAAATGGCCTACATTTTTGAGAAATCAATTTTTTAAGAACCTGGGTGGGAATTCATAGGACGTTTACTCATGAGGGCTCCATGGGATTTCAATTACCAACATACTTCACAACTGGATTGTTTCTGCTATTTCTTTATCTAGTTTTCAAGCTGGAAAATGTTGATTTTGACAAGGCTCTGAATCAGCTGCAACCCCTTCTGACCCTAATCCCAGAGTAATTTATCTTATATAGCTATCTACTTGCAGTTACTGCTGCTCCTGACTTTTCCAGCACAAGTTATGGGTGAACTAAAATCTATCAGATTTCTTTTTCTCCTTTCTCCCATCTGCAAAGAAAATTCTCTTCTTTCTATGTCCCTTTCTTCCTGCTCTTCCTTTCTGCTTCCTCCTTCTTTTTCCACAGATGACATCGCTCCATCTTCCGATCCCTAGCATGTTTTTTCTGCTTGCTACAAAAGTGTGAGCATAAGCTCTCTTTCAAATGATTTATTTCCCAAATCATCGGCCAGATACAACTGAGGATTCTGAGAGTTACAAGCAAGGGCTCGCCACCATATGCTCCCTGCCAGAAGACCACAAGATGAACCCAAGCTGGACCTGAACACAAAACGGGGCTCGTGGTTTGTTCATATTTCAAAGAACATCTCAGATACTTATTTACTCAGTGCTGCGTGCCCCTCCACTCTCCCCTCTAAATGGCAAGGAGATAATCATATTGCCTTCAAAGCTATTAGATGTGGCCTCTTAGCCTTTCAACTAGGAAATTGACTGATGTATTTGTGACTTTTGAATTCCATCCTTCTTCCAAGTCATTCAGAACAACATCAACAAGCATCTCAATGGTCTCCCATCCAGGTATTTTACAGGCCTAGGTCTAAATAGCTCTGGCAATGAAAAGCCATAGCATGCCTTTGTGGCCATGCTTTGTGTACAGACGTTTACTGTCAACGTAATCACCATTTGCACACCTTATAACAGACGTAGGCAAACTTTGGTCCTCCAAGTGTTTTGGACTTCAACTCCCACAATTCCTAACAGCCTACTGGCTGTTAGGAATTATGGGAGTTGAAGTTCAAAACACCTGGAGGGACAGCCAAAGCTTGCCCATGGCTGCCTTACAAGTACACATCCTGGATTCCTGAACCCGCTTCCAACTTATTCCCTGGCTGTCTTGGATGTACCTCCCCCCACCCTCCCATGGCCAAACCCCACAGATACAGAGCAGGAGAGAAAGGCTAGGGAAAGCTTCTACATAATCATTGGAAAGAACTTCTTTCATATTGGCTTGTACACTAATTGCATGCCTAATGCTGGGGGCAAAGTTTGAAGGCAAAGGCAAGAAGCAATTCGTTTCATTTTCCCCATGCACATAAATTCAGGAAAGAAGTGTCTTGAACATCTATCTCACCCAGCCCTTCCAAGCCAAACCCGTTCTTCCCATGTTTATCCTGGCACCCCATTTGCCAAGCTTCACTTTCCCTGTTTTGGAAAGCTGGGGAGAACCCAGTCGATTCGTAAAGCTAGCCAGCCCAAGATGGATGATGATGCAAAGCTTGGGAGCTTAGAACGTGAGGGGAACCGCCATCGGGCAGGTGCTTATTGCCCGCCTGGGGTTTGCTTTTTCCAACAGTAGGATTATAATGCAGGAGTTCCGTATTATATACATCTTGGCATTTAGGGAATTGGGGATTGGGAAATTAAAAGTTATCGTGTCAGAAAAGGAGGATCTCATTCTGGGATGTATGAAACTTGCCACACGATGATGTGGCTTCGTTCGGCCTTGGAGAGGATGGGCTTGACAGGTGCTACGTCTCCCGCACTTTCCTCCGTCTCGTCGTCTTCTCCGTCGCCTATGGAGAGAATTCACACCATGAATGGGAGGGAGCACTGCAAGGAAGTGTTACTCATTTAAGATGCATGAAATTGATCTTCGAAACTTAATAAACGCACACCGTTTACCCAATGTTTGTAGGCGCTCAATAGCATATTGTACGACTGAATGGGAAAAATTGGGGCAATGTTTTGTCTTTATACAGCATGCCCACAGCTACCTGCAATTTCATCTTTATAGGGGAAAGGTCTACCTTCCTGGAGCTAATATAGAGCCTGTTGGTAGTAGGCCTTCTCGGTGACAGTGAGGGCAATAAAGGAATTATACTTTACTGCCAAACCTGCATCTGACCAGCAGAGTCAGTGTTGTTGTTTATTCATTCAGTCACTTCCGACTCTTCATGACCTCATGGACCAGCCCATGCCAGAGCTCCCTGTCTTCAGTGGATAGGTGACTTCAGTGGATAGGTGCTTTTTTGCTGGGATGGGTCTTGAAGATACGTTCTCCCTCAATGGCTTCTGTCTTTCCTAGAGGGTTATACTCAGAAGGGAGGCATTAACCCTGTTCTACATCCTGGCCATTTTTCTGTGATATTTCTCAGGCTTCAGTTTATCCCCAATGCTGTGTGTGTGTGAGAGAGAGAGAGAGGGAGGGAGGGAGAGAGGGAGAGAGAAACTGTCCTACTGCTGGGTTTCAGTGATGGCAAATCCAGCATGCCAGCTGTAGCTGGAAATATTTCATCTGGCCATAACTATACATGCCTTGACTACATCCTATCAGGATTACTGTACTGCACTCTGCATTGGGAGTGCCTTGGAAGGGGTACATCAGCTCTGTTCAACTTCTCGTTTTTCCAACATGATTGGAATTTTGGGTAAATTAAATATTTCAGAGAATCAATGTATTTTGGTTCACTCCCCGCTTTGGAAATCACACATTTGGTACATCTGCATTAACAATTAAGGACGAAGGAGTATCTCACATATTCTAATCATTTGGGATGAACTGTGATTTTTGGACTTATTAAACAACTGGAAGTCAGAAACTTGGGTCAAATGGTTGCAATAAGTCCAGCAATCTACCAGTAAACCTCAAAGCTATTTCACGCCTCAATAAAAGAACTTACCAATCCGGAAATCAATGTAGCCTTCTCCTCCACTCAGTACCAGGACATTCTTCAGCTTCTGGCCCTCCTCGGCCTCTGCAGCATCTGTGCCGGGGTTCTCCGAGGGACTGTCCAGCACACTCCCATTCAATGTGGCAAGAACGTTCCCTGGAAAGACAGAGTTTATTTGAGCTGCCTGACATCAAAGCTTTGAACCTCAACCAGGAATGGCACAGCTCTGCCTAGTTGTTGGGCTACTTGAGTTCAATTGAGTGTCTCCACAGACCACTTCATAGATACTTCTACAAATCTAAGAATGTCACATGGGCAAACTTTGCCCCTCCCTCCAGTTGTTTTGGACTTGCAACTCCAACAATTCCTAACTTTAGGCTGTTGGGAATTGTGGGAGTTGAAGTCCAAAACACCTAGAGGGAGGGGCAACGTTTGCCCATGTCTGATGTAATTCATATTTCCCCCTTTAAAAAAAATCAGAACAGCATCACTATCAAGGGACCCAAACCATTTTTAGCTTGTTTAATAATCTGGCCTTTATCAAAAAGGCCTCTGCTTGTAATGTGAGAAGAAAAATATATCAAAATATCAATATATTACAGATAACACAGTCCAACAAAGAAAATATATTCTTGGTGTGTTGGTTTTTAGGCCTGGTCCTGGGGCTATTTGGGGCACTGATTCAGAAAATTGCATTGGATAGACTGCATCAGCTCTAGTTTCTTAGACATGGTTATTATGGTCTTAATATGTGTGAGCAGATGGTGACTGGTAGATAGCATATGTTCTGTATCTCAAAATCTTGAGCTGATAGAGGATAACTGGTGCCATTTTTTGCAAATCAGCAAGTAAAATGTACCTAGAAAGAAATATGTGTTGGCCAGTGAGTAGAATACTTGAGTGGACCTCCCAGATGACTGGTCCGGAGAACAATTTCAGAAGCTCGGCTAATTAAGCTCAAAATCTTCAGCATGTTCAGCAACGGCAGAAACAGGCTCACAATGTTCTACAGAACTTTAGTTTCTGCAGAAAGAATCAGACTATAAAACGTTGACATCCTCTGCTTACCAGGCACAGAAACAAAAAATTTGACTGCGTCCCGGTGCCCATGGAAGCAGAGCTGAGCTTGGGCCATGGAGCAGTATGGGATGAAGCTGCTGGCAGACTTGTCATTGCTGTCATCACTGCCATATACATGTATGACTCCACCAGGTCGGTTCCCTTCTCCAGATGTTGGAGATGTCTTATTAGCTGAAATCAAAGAGAAAGAAGGGTTGCTTACCTGTAACTGTGTTCCTTTGAGTGATCATCTGTGAAATGCACACATATGGTATTCTGCTGCACACAGAGACCACGAAGAAAGAAGAGGGCAGCAGACTTTTAAAAAACAGAAGGAAAGGACGTGGCTACAGAGATTTGTAGAGTTGGAAAAGACCATAAGGGCCAGCCATTCCAAGATGTATGAAGGGAGATTTTCCCACAACATGTTGGTTTCAAGATGTATAGGGCTACACCTCCCAATTGACTGGCGAGGCGATGGTAAGAATCCAACAGGTCTGGGCACGTGTTAGTTTGGGGAGGGCTCCAGATGTTGTTTCCTCTTCCCTCAATGCAAGGAACCAGTGGCATTCAGAAGTAGTCTGTTCAATGTTTCAAATACAGGTTCGCATAAATGCTTACATTGCTATATGTCTCCCTAGCTCTGACTGATCATTATATAAAATGTGGGCTCAAAGTGACTGGGGGTGAATAGAAAGATCAATGGGTAAATACAGGACGGCATCTAGAGCGTCGAAGGAAGGAAGGAAGAGGTGTGGAACTTACCTCTGAGCCCAAGGAGCTGACCTCGATGGAGGACGACAGCTAGGAAAGGAAAACATGAATATATAAGAACCCACAGATAGAAGAAAACATCCATTATTGGGAAAAGAGCAAAAGGGGTATCTTAATATTTGGTGCATTTGCAAATACTTGTTTAAGCGAAGGCAGCACAGTACAGACCAGAAAGAAAGCAGATGTGATGGTGAATACCGTCTCAGCAACCAGTGCTCAATAACAAGTAGCATATCCACCTACAGTGTTCCATGCCAGTTGCACTTGGGCTAGCAAGCCAAAAGGAACTGCTTACTCCAAATTAAGTGACCCAGATAAGGAATGGGTGATTGTGAAAAGTCTGACTGATCTAGATCCGGGTTTCTTAAACTGTGAGTCCCAACCCCAAAGAGGGTCCCCTTAGCTCAATGTTGAGGTCATGAGAAAAATGGCAACATTAAAATGTTTCTGAATGCCACCCATTTACATAAATTTATTAGTACTTAACTGCTGTGGTTACACTGGACTCTGCAGAAGATGCTTCAGTTGTACTCCACAAAAAGAAAAACCAGCTTGTTGAGCAAGCCTTGCAAATGCTGATTTATTAGCAATAAAGATTTGGTTTTTATACCCTTTCTGATATACTTCCACACCTAGGGAAGTAGGGTGTGGAAGTATATCAGAAAAGGATCACAGAAAAGAGTCACGGGTGATAAAAGGTGAAGAAACCCTGGTCTAGATCCCCCTACTGCTAATATGCAAACCGGAATGTATTCAAAGCAGTACTAGGGATGTTTACATAATTTGCAATGGCTATCTAATGGACGGACTGTCCTCAAACGACATTAGAGCAAGCTTTTAAAAATCTAGTATCTGGAACTTGTGTGATACTATGAACATGGCTGAAATTGCAGAAGGCAAAGTTATCTTGCTAAGAGAAGAGGCAGAAAGCAGTTCATAGAAGCTAATTCTCTGTACAGAGGATATGAATTTGGGTATCCAGTGAAGGCCACTTACTCTCAGTCAAAGGGATGGAAATGATGACGCCGTTCCCAGTCCCAACCCAGAGACGATTGCCAGCGATAAGCAAAGCTGTAATCCGCACAAACGAGAAACCCAATTTCCCAGTTCCTGAACAAGAAGTGCAAAACAGTCTTGGTTAGGATGATGTAACATACTACAGAGTAATGGATTCATAAAAATAAGAGACAAAGTGCTCAGAACAGAACTTAGAGATAGAAAGGATGGAATCATTTGGCAGCATCAATGTAAGAACAAGAACACAGGAGGCTTGAGGACCCTGCAGTCTAAAATTCAATATAGGAGCAGTATCAGAGAGAGAGAAGTTAAGGGAATAAAGCTTGTTAGGTTTGGTTCCACACACACATATTTGTCCCACAGGAAATGGAACTACAGTAGGCTGCCTTTTGTGACATACAGCTGCTTTGATGTTATCAACAGTGATTGTCAGGACTCCATAGTTTTAGATCGGATTCTCTCGCAGCTCTTCTTGCAGATGAGAGGATGAAAATCTTGGAACTTTTACCAGAAGGACTGTGTCAAGTTTTTAATGGAAATCATAAGGATTTGGAAAAAAATACAGACTGCAGCAATGAGGCATTCTAGGAGGAAGGTTAGGCATATATGGGAGAGTGAATGGAAAGCCTTCTCCTCAGAAGAAAATATGAACCAAAGTGAACCAAGAAGTGAAAAGGTTTCTGGCACCATTTTGATTTACCTAACATTTTGCTGACATAGGGCTCAATGTCCACATCCTGGAGGTGCTGATGGGTGTGCGCGTGGTAGAGCCTCAACGTGGAGTCCAGGCGAATGGAAACCCAAACGCCATCCCCAATCCATGCCAGTTGGCGGATCTGGCTCTCCCGGCGAGGGTGGGCATCGAAGGATGTCTGGGAAAAGGAGATGGGAGGGAAGATGGCAGCTTATCAGACACTTGTATTCTTAGCGCTCTGATTCCAAACACTAACCACAAATTGCCTTCTAAAAAATATCAACCAATTACAAAATATGTAGTTGTTTTTTAAATATACTGGAATATTTATGTTGCCAAAACAGGAACATGTCTGATTGGAATGCAATCAAAGTTACTATTGAGTGGACTAATACAGCAGGCATGGGCCAACTTGCCCCCTCCCCACACGTGTTTTGGACTTCAACTCCCACAATTCTTTTCCAAAGATGTCCTTGCCTTACCTCAATCTGCATTGTCTTTGGCTGGATGACATGGATCTTGTTCTTGTAGCCGCACCAGACTCGGTCATAGACCACCGCCATGCAGCGGATGGAATGGTGTGTGTGGCCCAGGTCCATGAGATGGTAGTTGCTGAGGTCCCACTGACCATCTAGAGTCAAAGAGATTGAGGAAGCAGGAGAAGGGATAAAGTAAGAGAAGATCTGTTGTGCCTGGAACTAGCTCCATGGGTCATGAGCAGAACTTAAGACAATCTGAACAATACTCTATTGAAGCAAACCAGGATTTTCAGTTTATGCCAAAAACAAATTTAGGAGCACGTTGGATGCCCCCCTGGATTTACATCCAGTTGTCAGGCATAAAGCCCAATTTAAAAACTATTTGAAATACAAAAGCAAAACAATTTCATTCATTGCTTTAGGCGTGCATCCAGTATTTTGTACACCAAAATAATGTTTCTGGTTATATTCATTTCTTTTGCACCAAAATAAGGGTTTGTGGTTATATCTAAAACACTTTATTTCCAAACCTAGTACATTATACAAAACACCTAGGCAATAGGAGTAAATGAACGAAGGAATAATCTTGTGGAGTCACAACACTTAGGGACAAAATTAGAATTCCACGGGGAATAAAACTCTTCTGAAGGGTTCCATGAACCAAGAGGTTTAGGAACGGGTGGTCCAGACCATAAAATGAACAAAAGATTCTCCAAAATGCCAGGTTCCACCCATAGTGGTACTTTGTAGATCTTTTGTCTCTTTAAACATCACAAGCACTAAATTTCCAAGAGCTAAGGAAAAGTTGACCACAGCTGTACAGTCCGGCTGCCAGGATCTCACCTTCTCCTCGGTGGAATATAGCCAGGGTCCCATCAGCCAGGGCCACCAGGACACGGCCTTTCACATGCCTAAAAGCACAAGGGGGGGGGGGGGAATCAATTTCAGACGAAAAAGGAGAAAATGCTGAATCTGTCAGCCTGAGATTCCAGTCCTTCAATTACAAAGCAAAAACACAAAAGCCAGATTTCTAGAGACTAGGGCCTTTTAAAATAGCATGTGGTGATGGGAAAAGAAGCTGACTGGATTTCCTGGGGTTCAATAACCAAGGGGTTTCTTTTCCCTATAAGCTTCAAGGCCTTTTTTTACTGTATAATAATTACATCTATGAACTTACACCAGGCTCAGCACTGAATCCTTCAGCTTGATTGAGTGTAGGCATTTCTTCCAGTTTGAAACAGCTGAGTGCACATACAACCTGCCAAAGAAAGGTAATTTAGTTTGGCCATGAGGCCAACCCACATCGCAAATAGTGTCACGAGAAAGAGAACATTTCCACATCTGCTGGCAAATAATGAAAATATCCCATGTGGCTATGAGATTAAGGGCAAGCAGAGAAAGTGCAACAGTCACAGCAAGGAAAGGCATGAAAAACAGCCATAAAGGCCAACATAAGGGCAAAACAACATAAAAAAGAGAAAGAGTGGGCATCAGTGTTTTCCTCAATATGTAAGTGGGAAAGCTAGAAGAAGGGCCTCCTCTGGTAGCAAACATTTTATTTTCAGTTCATATACTTTATTAATTTAATAGCTGGTTTTGTAGTAAAGGTAAAGGTTGTCCCCTGACATTAAGTCTAGTTGTGTCTGACTCTGGGGGTTGGTGCTCATCTCCAATTCTAAGCTGAAGAGCCAGTGTTGTCCATAGACACCTCCAAGGTCATGGGGCCGGCATGATTGCATTTAGTTGGCTTTGTAACAGTAAGAAAATCTAACAAATCCTCTGCAAGAGTCTACTATATATCATGCAGCTATGGACAAGTCTACATAGGGCCACCAAACACAGCATTGCCCAGACACGAATCAAGGTACATGAAAGACACTGCACCAATTCAATCAGATAACTCAGCCATAGCTTAAGACAATCTGAACAACCTGGACACAGATGAACCAACCTGGACACAGAATATTATCTGAGAACACAGAAATGCTGGACCACTCTAACAACCACGTCAGACTACACAGAGAAGCCATTGAAATCCACAAGCATGTGGACAATTTCAACAGAAAGGAGGAAACAATGAAAACCAACAAAATCTGGCTACCAGTATTAAAAACCTCTAAAATCAGGACAGTAAGTAAAGAACAACACTCAAAAAACGGGAATTCCAGACAAGGAACAATCAGGGCCAGCTAATCGCCTCCCAACAAAGGATTCCCCCAGACAGGAAGCAGCCAAGCCTTGAAATTGCAAGGCTATTCAATGCTAACCAAGGTGATCAATTGCAACAGTCACACTTGCCTCAAACAAACAAAAGTTATTTCTCACACCCAGGACATTCCACAGATATATAAACAAACCTCACAACCTCTGAGGATGTCTGCTATAGATGGGGTTAAACGTCAGGAGAGAATGTTCCAGGAACACACCCATACAGCCCAGAAAACTCACAGTAACCCATATTATATTTTATTTTAACTGGCAGTCTTGCTTTCATTGCTCTTTTTCTGACTATTCATCAGGGTCAACAAACATCTTCATTTTCCAATAACAGGACAATAGTTATGCTCCATAATCTTCATAACAGCTTCTCAGACATTGAAAGGCTGATCATGCCTGACACTTTGTCTTCCCTAGACTAAAATAGTCCTCTTTTCATCCATTCCTCGGTGGATTTTGGTTTCAAGGCACTCTAATTTTCTCTCGAAGTACTCCAGTTTGTCACTGTCCTTTCTGAAATGTGACATCTAGTACAGGGCACACTACTTCAAATATGGCCTGAGCACCGCAGAACAGAGCAGAGCAACCATGCTTTCTTGGAACTGGCCTCATGGGGCATTCAACTCTCCTTTTGCAGTATCTCCATTGGTTGTCAACCGTTTTCTGGACCAATTCAACATGCTGGTTTTCACCTATAAAGCCCCACACAGCTTGGATCCAAGTGATCCAAGACTGTGTCACCCTCTTTGAACCTATTAGAACATTACAATCATCTGGAGAGGACCTTCTCTCTCCCATTGCCCTCTTGAAAAACATTTGGTGGGAACATGGGCCTTTTTTAGTGGCTGCTCCCAAACTCTGAAATGCCCTTCCAAGAGAGAGACCAAGAAGGCCTTTTCCCTGCTTGCCTTTTGAATGCAGATGAAAACACTCCTCTGAAATTCAGCTTTTATTTTTCTCTGGACCCAAATATTGGTTTATTATTCTACCAGCTTCTTTTGACACAGTTTCCAATACCCCCCCCCCCCCCCCCCCCCCAACAAAAAAGACTTAAAAGTTACACCAGGCATGGGCAATTTTGGCCCTCCAGGTGTTTTGGACTTCAATTCCCACAATTCCTAGCAGTTGAAACAGAACACCTGGAGGGCCAAAGTTTGCTTATGTCTGTGTGACACTCTAATTGACCCCCTAATCCAGCCCCATAGATCAAAGTCCTACCAGCCAGTCTGTGCTCCAAGCCACATGGTGGGGGCTGCACTTGTGACAGCTCCAGATGTGCCACTGTTTGTCTCTTGGTCTTGTGTTGTGGTGCCTGATTCTGTCTTTGTTTGTCCATTCTCGCTATCAAAAAGGAAATACAGGAAAGGTTCTTACATCAATGGTTTGGATCGAAGTAGTATAAATAATTCAGCCACTACAGGGAATTCTATTTAGACAGAATCATGCGCACAAATGCATGCCTCCATTTATAAATCAGTGTGCATCTTGATCTCCATTGGAAATGTATTCTTTTCAGTGGTGGAAATGAGAAATTGTGCTGCATTATCTAGCTCAGCAACATCACAAGGAAGAAAAGTATCATTTTCCTTTCATCTTAATTCTTGATATTTTCAACTGGAAAATGTATACCTTCAAAGCATACAATCTCTTCACCGATGAACAAAGATCATACTGATTTTTCTGTCTATTAGGAGCATCTGTATCAGGCAGATAGCAACTGTAACCTTCAGAACATATAAAGAATTTACCAAGCTATTTTTCTCAATTATTAGTATTGGTAAATGCGCAAGAAAGGCCTCCCTCCCTCCAGGTGTTCTCAACACTGGAGGTAGAATGACCTTTTCGAAAAAGTGCCTTTTTCTGTTGTGGCATTTCACAAACAGAATACCATTCCAGATGGGCCCAGAGCATAATCATCATCATCTAATAATAATAATAATAATAATTATTATTATTATTATTATTGATGTCGCCATACCAGGTGAAAGTCGCATTGAGGAAAAACAACAGGAAAAACTCAGCCGCTATCAAGACCTCAAAATCGAACTGCAAAGGCTCTGGCATAAACCAGTATAGGTGGTCCCAGTGGTAATTGGCGCACTGGGTGCCGTGCCAAAAGATCTCAGACGGCATTTGGAAACAATAAACATTGACAAAATCACGATCTGTCAACTGCAAAAAGCCACCTTACTTGGATCTGCGCGCATCATTCGAAAATACATCACACAGTCCTAGATGCTTGGCAAGTGTTCCAACTTGTGATTTTGTGATACGAAATCCAGCATATATATCTCGTTTGCTGTGACATACTGTTTTGTTTTTTGTCGTGTCAGGAGCGACTTGAGAAACTGCAAGTCGCTTCTGGTGTGACATACTGTGCTTTTGTGTCAATAATAACAATAATAATAATGTATTTTAAGCACCAGATAAAAATGGTTTTAGAGGCAGCACAAAATGAATGAACTTCTGTGATCAGGCTCTAATATAATAAGAAAAACTTTATTTATATTCTGCCCTATCTCCCCGAAGGGACTCAGGGTGGATTCCAATCACAAAAAAGGCAAACATTCCATGCCTGAACATAACAACTAATAGACACATAATAACAAAAATTAAACTCTACAGCATATAAAAACACATTATAACTTAGCAAATTAGAATAAAATTTAAACCGCAACCTCCTACAAACTTGTGCGCCAGCTGCCTCCGTACCTTGGGAGGGCTGACTTGGCCACGGTAGTACACGCTTTGGTTACATCCCGCTTAGACTACTGCAACGCTCTCTACGTGGGGTTGCCTTTGAAGACTGCCCGGAAGCTGCAGCAAGTCCAACGCGCGGTAGCCAGATTACTAACGGGGGCTGGGTACAGGGAGCACACCACTCCGCTGTTACGCCAGCTCCACTGGCTGCCAATTAGCTTCCGAGCACAATTCAAAGTGCTGGTGTTGACCTATAAAGCCCTAAACGACTCCGGCCCTGTTTACCTCTCCGAATGTATTCTCCCCTACGAACCATCAAGATTATTAAGATCATCTGGAGAGGCCCCTGCTCTCGGTCCCACTGGCCTCGCAAGCGCGCCTGGTGGGGACGAGGGACAGGGCCTTCTCGGTGGTGGCCCCGCGACTCTGGAACTCTCTCCCTCTGGAGGCCAGAACTGCCCCATCCATTCTAACATTTAGGAAACGGGTGAAGACGTGGCTGTGGAGTCAGGCCTTCGATGAATGAGACAACATCATAGGACCCTGGATAGAAGTTGATGTAGATCCATCTTAATAGGACGACTGACCACTGTAGTTTTATATAAAGTGTTTTTAAAGTTGTTTTTGTAATTGTGATATATGATATTTTAATGAGTCTATATGTTTTTTATGGCTGGAAACCGGGCTGAGTCCCTCAATGAGGTTGAGAAGCTCGGTATAGAAAACTGTGAAATAAATAAATAAATAAATACCTGGTCTGCCTCATAGGCACCTGAGCTGGGGTTGGGTCTGTAAACACATGCTCTGTAAGTGGGCCAGTCCGGACAAGGGTTGGTTCCATTTCAGTTGCACCATTTTCTGGCACCTCCGTGGCTTCAGTTGCCTCCTCGGTGGACTGGGATTGATTGATCTTTCCATTACTAACTGAAGACACCTCATCTAAAAAGCGGGGAAAACATAAAATGAAGTTGGAGGAAGAGGGAAGTCATTCATTTATTGCATAACCAGCTATTTGTTTTGACATGTTTGTTGTTATAGATCATCCAGCTGACTTTGGCTTATAGTGACCCTAAGAATGGGAGTCACTGCTATGATCAATTGCCTTGCTCAGGTCTTCCAGATTCAGGGTTATGGCTTCCTTGACTGAGTCCATCCATCTGCAATGCAGACTTCCTCTTTATCTACTACCTCTACCTTACTCCACATTATTGTCTTTTCTAGTGAAACATGTCTTCTTTGTGCAGTGTGCAGTAGCCATAATTAAGGAGGAGAACAGGAATAAAAATTGGTAAAATAAGAGCTTTGACAACTGCTAGTCTCCCCAATAATGTCAGCGGTAGTGTCAACTTTTAATTTTTTATTAAATATAGGAAAACAGTGCCTTATAATTCCTATACAGAAGTTGTGCTGTTCTTTTTGTTAACAGAATCCCTATATATCTGAATTCTGAAAAACTAATTGATAAATTGGACATTCTTTTTAAATTCAATTGGTCTTCCTGAGACATGTTTATAGCTAATATTTTTGATTTACCATACTTTATATTGTATGTATCCTGTATGTATCTGAAACTTACTTGAAAATAACAACAGCATCCCTACACATTGGTTTGGATTCGATTTAAAAAATCACCTGCAATAAATTTACTTTTAAATTTTATACCTTGCATTTCAATGAGTTTCCTTATTAAGTTTTATTGCTAAAGCAAAAAGAGTAGGAGAAAGTGGGCACCCTTGTTAGGTTCCTCAAAGGCACAGGAATCTACACTATTTACACTTATTGCCATCTTTCGTTTCTATCTGTTTTATAATTGCTACAAACCTATTTCCTATATTCATTTCTTGTAGATGCTCAATCAAGTCACTGTGCTCAATACGATTGAAAGGTTTTGGTTGCATCTAGCAATATTACAGCTACTAGATTATTGTGGGTCTGACTCTTATAAATGATACTGAATGCTCTCCTGGCACAAATCCAGTTTGATTTCAGTTTGATTTGGATGAACACATATTATACATGGCTTGTGCCATAATTGGTGACTAGGACGAGCATAATGTCTAGATCAAGGGAAGTCATGGTGCCCCTTCTCTGCTTTGCTTAGACCTCTTTACCTAGAAGAGGTAAAGACCTAGGCAAAGCGATTCAAGAGGGACATTGACTCTAAGTTGAAATGTGTCCAGAGGAAGGCTTAGGGCACTGGGTCTGGACATCCTTGTTGTAATGTATGACATGCAAGTGATCAGAAACATACTTTGCCCTTTGTCCAGCACTGGGGTGTCTCCCCTCGAGGAGCAATTGCTGCTGGGGATGTTGCATCGGGTTGCACAGCCCACTAATGTGATGCCTGCCAAGACTCCATCTGTTCCCAATGACTCTTCGGGATTCACATCTCCCTCCAAAAAGATTTCTCCAGGAGGATAATCTGTATCACAGGCCGCTACAAGGGAAAGAAAGGGAAGAATCCTCAGTTATGGTGGAACAAAGAGCTGCAAAGGCCATCGAGGCCAACCTGCTATAACATGCATGGGCCAACTTTGGCCCTCCCTCCAGGTGTTTTGGCCTTCAACTCCCACAATTCCTAAAAGCAAGAATTGTGGAAGTCCAAAACACCTGGAGGAAGGGTCGAAGTTGGCCCATGCCTGTGCAGTAATGCACTCCTGAAAGATGCCCATCTTCTCTCATCTTCACTTGCCTGGAATGCTGGAAATACAAAGCACATGAGCATTGCAGACAGTGAAATGGTCCACCACAGTGCCTGGTTGGTTAGCATCGATGATCACAACTTTGCTTGTAGACAAGGTGCTTGTGAGGATCCACACTCTACTGGATGTTGCATCCATTTCATACAGTTCTTTGGCCTGAAGGGAGCAAAAGGTAATTATAACTAAACCTCACAGTTGTACTGCCAGAGTACACTAAAACCAGATCCTTAATGATATCAAAACAATAATATAGTCTTCGTTATCATGGGTTTTAGGGGTATATATTGGCAGACTTCACACAAACCATTAACAGAGCAATAGAAACAAAAAGTATGTCTTAAGCAGGTTCCTAATCTTTACTCTTATTTTACATTGATTTTTTGTGCTAATGGGATGGTGTTTCTCTTGAATTTATCCAGCTCTAAAGCCGGGGAAAATTTTGCAAAGTGGCTAAAGATGGCTGACCCAGGCCACTATTTTTTCTGTGATTACTACTCACTTTTGTATTCACAGACCACTAAGACAAATAATGGCTTTTGTGAACAATCCTTTACTCCTCTGTACCTAAAGGGAATTTTCTGCTGGTACTGGAGCCTAAAAAACTGGCTTTTCTCTGTGAACTACATCTCCTCTATGTCAAGCTGATCTGAGGATGATCCTTATTCCCAAAGCTCCACCCTCAAAGTCCAGCAATGTATCTTTGTTTGAGTGATAGGGACAAATTTCCAAAAAAAGTAAAAACTTGGCTCTTCGAACAAGCTTTTGGAAATGCAGCGTAATAGATAAACATGAAACTATGAAGAATGAACATGGAATGGCTAGGCGATGCTACTGGAAAATGGGTTTAACAGGATGACACTAGTGATTATATGTTTTTAATGGTGTTTTATATGGTTTTTATAATGTTATGCTGAATGTTTTAACTGTATTTTAATGAATGTGTGGCATCAAATTGTTGCCAATCTGTAACCCACCTTGAGACGCCTTAGGGCTGAGAAAGGCGGGCTAGAAATACCATAAATAAATAAATAACTTTTTAAAAAGTTAACTTTCTGCCAGAAAAACACTGCCAGAAAAACACAGGTAAGTGCATGATGTCTTTAAGTATGCCTTTAAGTACAGCTCATCAGTACTGCTGTACTACAGCTGGTTCTTTAAAAACAGTACACATAACCACATCTAAATGTATAAGCTGGAGAAAAAAAGAGAGAGAAAGGCCAGATATTTTGCCCCAACCTTTTTCTTTTCGGGCGATGTGTGGCTGCTCTTGGCACTCTCTTCTGCTCCAACTCGGTCACAGGTTAGGGGGTCACATCCTGGTTCTGGTTTCTGTCCGTTTCCAGTATCCTGTTCCACAGGCTTCCAACCCATTAGATTGACACCGGCTGCACACCACAACTAAAAAGAGACAAAGAACGATGTCTGGTTAACATTAATTTATTGTTTCTAAATGGAAAGAGGGTGGTACATTTTCATTATGGCAGTGACAACAAATCAAGATTCAGCAAAACCACAAAAATATTATCTAGGAGAGCTTAGAAATATGTCTTTTTTTTTAAAAAAAAAACAAATTTAAGAATTGCTCAGCCCACGGGCAACTGGACACTTTGATTGGTGACTCTGAGAACAACTGTGGTCCAAACAAATAACACCCAATTTGTGGAAAGCCCTTTGGAGACCCAACTGGAGCTGATATTTGTTACATTCTTGCACCAGTTCAAAACATAGGGAAGGTTTGGGATCCCCTGCAGAATAGTGCTCCCTAGTCCCATCCCAGTTTTGCACATTTATAACATTCACCTTCATGGTTGGGTCTTTTTCTACAAGAGGGCGGCAGTACACAGGCACTGGGACATTCTTCATCCGGTTGTCTTCCTGGCCACCGTTGGGACTCAGCTATTGGGACAAAAGGAACAGAACACAGCTAGCTCATACTACTGGAATGTGATGCCACGCATTTATTTTCACATAGGAAAAATTCTACTGGTGGATCTTGTCCAAAATTTTTGTTTCCAGTAGCCAGCAAGGAGGAATTATTTCACATAACCTACTTCTCTATTCATATTCATATCCTCATACATGTGTGTTTGAGTATTGAGGGGTTTACAAGAAGTGAAATAAAGTGTAATAGTTATTACATTTGCCTTCTATTTATGCAATCAGCTGATTGCAACTGGCAAAAGGAACTGCATTGCAGCCCAAGAGCTATAAAGACATCTTTAGGTCCCATTTCTCTTTCCTTCCCAGGCTTTTATTTAGCATGGGTAGTTTCTCTTCTGTGGCCACCTGATCCTTCCTTCTCTTGCCGCAAAGAGTTGCTACCTGCTTGTACTTGGCTGGCAGGCTCCACCCGCAGGCCTGCAAGCGGCCGTCATCATTGCGCACGTGCTCCCGGACTTGGCGGTACTGCTCACGCTTCTGCTCGCGACGTGCTGTTGATGTGCAGTCACTGAAAAGAGAACCAATAGTTTTACTTTTCAATCTATGTTCAGAAAGAAAAGGAAGAGAGACTTGAAAGTGTTCTTGTGGAAGTGGGGTTGAGGAGAGTCCAGCAAAAATATGAAGAGGGAGGAAGAAAGCAAACTATGGTGTTCAAGTGAGGAATCAGAAGAGAAGAATATACCAAAGCAAAATCTTGACCTCTCTAGAGCACAAAATTAGATTTGTGTTATAGATTCTATTTCCCTTATCCAAAATGCTTTGACCAGAAGTCTTTTTGATTTTTGGTATTTTAAGGTTTTAAAATTGTTGTACGTAATAAGATTGGAAATGGGACCCAAATCTAAATATGAAATTCATTTATGTTTCATAAAAAGCGCTCTTAAATATAGCTCTCTATATAGTGACAGCACCAGTTCCTGAAGCTCAGCACACAGGAGCAAAGTAAACAGTTGAGGCAAATGGGGAGTTGGGGGGGGGGGGTGCTCAGATTTCTGTTCCATTCACTACTGTCCAAGCAACTGAAATAGATACGGTTCATTGAAGCCACCTTAAAACATTATAAAGTATTGTCTTCTTTCTGCTTTCTTCTTTGATAAAGTAATGTCCTCCTTGACAAAGGAAGTTTGTGGGTTTTGGTAGATGTCTCTGAATATGTATTAAAAAGATATAGCATCCATCTTATTCTAGTTGAAAACATTTACTGTGCCATCCATATTCCTGTTAGGTTTAATTGGAGGAAGGGTAATGTGTGCAAAAAAATAAATTAAAAAAGCAATATAAAACAAGATACTGGGCTTCAGTTGGTGCAACTGCATAGTTGGGGTTTCAGACCAGTGGCTGGACCAACCAAAGAGATGAATTGAGAAGCCAAGACAGAGAAGAGAAGAACGTACTCATCTGGGAAGAACTCCAAGGTGCGACTCCCAGCCGAGATCTGGCACATAGTGTGACTGCGGCGCTGGCTGAACCCAGCGGTCGTGGGGGATTTGTAGTGGATGTTCATGGAAGGATAACTTCTCTTTGCTGGCGGAGGGCTGGAAGAGGAGCTGAACAAGCGGCTGAAGCTGGAGAGAAAGACAGAAACTCGGGCATATTACAATTCTGAATGATTACTATTTGAGAAAGCAATTGATATTATTATTTGACAAAGAAATAGTTATATTCCACTCATTTATTTTCATCCTGTCTTCCTCTTAATATAGGGGTTCTCTTTATATGACCAAATTTATTTTCTGGAGGAATTCATTTGAGAAAGTCAGGAGCCATCAAAGCCTGGGAAGGCTGTATGTTTCTTGTCAACCGTGAGTATGTAGGTCACCCCTGGGTTAATGCTTAGGAAGCAAGATGCTCCAAGGACTCCTGGCCTTCTCGTTTATCCAAGATAAATTGCAGCAACAATGATGCTTTTTCTTTGTTAACCATCAAGTCATTTGAAGTGTTTCCATATCTCCTCTTTGGACAGAATTGCAAGGGTTTTCAGTAGTGTCATGGTGGGGTTCTCGTCCTATCCAGCTACAGGCTTCATATTGATGGCTAGCTGGGAAGGAAAATTTTTATATTTCCCATAGTATATTAAAGCATTCAATATAACATGCTCCAGAGGATCTGTTGAAAGATGGTTTGTAACTAATTAGAGTAGCAACACTGGACATGTTCCAGTGGATGTTCTTCCTCTTTCGTCTGGTGGCAAGGACAACTTAATTTTTTTTATCAAGTGGTAATATCATATTGCTTTTCTGACTAAAAATCAACTGGTCACATGATTGCGTTTTTCACTGACAGTGTAGAAAAATCTTCATGACGCCCATCTTCTACTCTTTGCAAGCCACATATTACTTACAATTGCCAAATTGTTGATTTCTTCTTCTCTTGCACAGAAGGGTGTTCTCGGGAGGCTCTGTGGACAAACGTAACACAGAATCCTTCAGTTAAACATGGGGATAGTTGTTCCGCTCCATCATCTAAACGGGCAAAGGGTTCATCTGGATAGTTTGGGAACTAATTCACTAGTCAGTATTGGTGGCTCACAATGGAATAGTTTAGAAACTGACAAATTATCATTTGTTGGTTTTAAGCACAATTTGTATGGTGATTCTGAATTAGCAGTGAGTTGGACTAGGTGACTCTACAAGTACTTTCCAATTTTGTGAAAGTAACTTCTAATTCAGGTATGGGCAAACTTGGCCCCCCAGGTGTTTTGGACTTAAACTCCCACAATTCCTAACAGCCTTGGTTCATTTTCTTTCCCCCTCAGCTGCTTAAGCTAGCAAAACAACGAAGCTAGCTCAGCTGCTAAAGCTAGCAAAACAACTAAGTTTTAAACCTATACTCAAAATGTACAAAAACTAATGAACAATCTTAAATACTAATCTACTACTCTAACTAATCTACAGACTTCTCTCTATCCAATATTTTTAAAATCCAGATTAGAAATAATATATAATCACATTTCTACCTTTAATGACATATTACTAGCTTATAAATCCCAGAATTAGTCAATTCTTTACTTGTAAATCATTGCTTCTGTGTGTGAATAAGTAGGGCCCTTGCATACTATTACCCAAGAAGCTGGGAGCAGTTTGGAAGTTTTGCCAGGCGATGCTCACATACATTCAACCTTGTCTTTACATCTCTATCAGGACTAGAATTTACTTTGCTTTCTGGATTAGTGGGATCAGATCAGGCCTGTACAATTTAACAGCTGTACAGGGTCAATATTGTTCGCAGTGAACTACATTCGGCCAGGGGCCATATGTTATATAAGCCTGGATTAGATGGACCCTGCAGTCCCTTCCAACTCTTAAGTTTCGATGAACAAGAACAGCCCAAACCTAACCTGATCATCTCCGTCCATCTGACGGCCTCCTGCAGCTCCATGAGCCTCTCCTTGTATTGATTGCGTTCCATGAGGACTCGGGCCATCTCCACTCGGGTGAAGCGCCTTCGTTGTGCGATGGGGATGTTGTCCTGCAGTGGGGAGGAGGATGGCTTCAACCAATGGGAAATGGAAGGGGACTGGTGTTAGTAAAGGTTAGCTTCTCTCTGGCCCTCTGTAATCTCTGCTGTATAACAATGCTTTTTAATTCTAGCCAAGAAAAATCCAGCTATCACCTCCCCACCTTATTTAAGGTTCTTAAGGGAAATATGGCATGATTCAAAACAATTCATCAGTTAATCAGCGGCCACTAATCCAGAATCTATATATATTTAATGTAGTTAGTGTATATTTTAATGTATATGCCGTTATAGTTACATGGATCCAGCAACTGACACCATGACATTGACATTACCCACAGTGGATGTGACTCGATAGAAGGCAAAATGAGAGCATTGGCCTCCACATAAGATTTCTTTGCCCTCAACAATGAATTTTTCCAACACCTCTCAAATTTCCTGCATTAAAATAATTTAAAATATTAGTTGAACATTTTGGGGAAAAATCTAAGCATCCAAAGAAAAGGAATAGACAAGATGCCTAAGTGAATGAAAATATAGAAAATATCAAGAGTTATGTATATTATTTTTGGGGCCTTACTCTTTGCAATGCTAAAAATTGGGAGATTGAAGGAATTTGTCATTGGTGATGTAGAATTCTTACTTGAAAGCAATACCCTAGCCCACCCAGACTGGAATGACAACCAATTTTAGGGACTAAAAACATTCTGAATCTTCAAGATCTTAGCAACATGTCTTTGGATTCAGCTTTGGAAAGAAACTGCTGCAGTCACAAAGCAAATAATGACCTGTTGCAATTCACATATGACTGCATTTAGATAGCAATGCCATCAACATTGTGATAGTAAAACCGAACAAGCCATCACTGGATAATCTCACATATGTACGGTAATATCAATACAATAAATGAGGAAGAACCCCCTCCCCTTGCCAAAAGAACCCATGCTTCCCTAGTCATTTTAATAATGTAATATACCAATTCTGTACAGAGATAGCTGCTTACATCCTCAACCTCTTCTTTCGGCTCTCGTCTGGCAACAATCACTTCTGATTTCACTCTAGAAAAGGGAAAATCATTTTTTAAAAAGCAAGAAATGTCTTGTTTAAACATTTCAACAGGGGAGCCCAGTGCTTGGAAAAGTTTATCCTTGACTACAATTCCCAGAAGAATGTTAAGATTTGGGACTTGTGATCGAGAAACATAACTTATGTCAACACCATTCTTGTGCTACTGCTTCAGTCAAAAGAAGCTCCTCCCAGATGTTTTTTTTTAAATCAGGTAACTCTTGACAGATCTCTCATATCACATCTGTTTTATGCTGAGATTCTGCCCCCAAACCCGAAAAAAATGGAATTGTCACTAGCAACTTTCAACTGAGAAGCTACTCAGACAGAAGTCATGACTTACCTTTTGAGCTCCTCTTCAAGTTCTTTGATTCTGCTTTCCATCTTGGCTTTTGCTTGCTTTGTGGCTTCAAGCTCACCTTTCAACACCTCCTGTTCACCAGTGAGCTGGTCTACCTTTGCAATTAAGTCATTCTTCACTATGTTCAAAGCATTTCTTTAAGATAATGAAAAGCAGAAGGCAAGAGAATAGGATTTAACCATGGAGAGACTCCGAGACAACTCAGTAAGCCTGTTGCTTGCTACTCGTCATCTCCTAGCTTCACTTACGCAACAGTGCTGGGTCTCATCCAGACTTCCTTTTCAAGATGCAAAAAAGCCTTGCAACAATGACTACTAAATTCTATACTTCCACTTAAACTACATTTTATATTTAATTTCCTTCTGACCTCACCATCTTCATCTACAGCCCCAACCAAGTGTAGTGTTCTTGAAATTCTTGATAGCTACCTTTACATGCATCTGATAAAGTAGGCAGCAGCCCACAAAACCCATGCTTTAGGATGTCATAAGACACGTTTTTGTGGCAATGGACTGCCACAGTTGTTGGTCTGGAAATTAAAAATCACTGCCTAAATGATGATGATATATATTTATATCTTGCTTTTCTCTCAAAATCATGATTTAAAATGGCTCAAAAATGAGACTCAAAAGATTAGTTGGACTTTAGATTTTTTTAAAAAAATCACAAAAAATTGCAAGACAAAAAAAGTCAGCTTTGCAATTTGAGAGGTTACATGAATATAACTTTATCAAAGTTTTACAGAAACAAGAGCTGTTAGGACTCTCAATGTCCAGGGGGAAATTTAAGGGAATTTCCTGAAAAGCAACATGCAGATTTTAACAAAGTTCTAAACATTTAATATCTATAGACAAACAGGAAAAAAATGTCCATAATAGATAGTGGTGTCTTACTTAGTTTCCAGCAGCTGTGTGTTCTCCATCAATAGATTCCCCACTTCTTTGCCCATCCCTGAGAGATGGAAATTCAAAATCGTAAGATAAGAAGCCATAGTAAAAACAGAGCCTGAGGTTTTACTAGACCATTCTTCTTATTTAGGAAACGAAATAATTTGGTTTGAAAGGGCATGTTTTGCTGCACAGTGCAAAAAGTAGTTCCTACCCTGTTGAAGCTGAAGAGCAGAAGCTGTATTTTGGACAAGGCAGGTACGTCTCTCCATTCAGTTACAAGAACATCCTTCAGGGCTTGGGGATAATTTGTTGAGGGGCTCACATCAGTGATGAATGGGACCAGAGCTTGAATGATTATCTTTTTGGATTTCAATTCCCACAAACCCTGGGTGGATTCTGGGATTTGTAATCCAAAGCGCGAGTTTTTCTAATGCTGGACAGGGCTGAAGATAGGCTTACTTTGGAGAGAGGAATAAAGGTGTTTTTCTACAATGTCTCATCTTGTCCCATCCCTTTGCTGCTGGGGACAGATTGCTTGCTTGGGTGCTTTCTTTTGTGGGGAGTTTCAATTTATTTGAAACACTCACATGATTGCAGTGGGAAAGTGCCTTTGGAACCTTTCTTGACCTTTTTTTATTTTCTGAATTAAATTGTTAATGTGGAACAGAGAACAGGAAAGAGCCAGTTGTGTTTAAGTGGATCAAAATATGGGACTTTGACAAGAGCTTGAATTTTCATTCTGCTGCAAAGAACAGACCTTCCAAAGTTAAGTAGAATCTCCCTCCCATATTCTGAGAATTCAACAGTCTAGCATTGTCACTGAATGTAACTAATATCCTGAATTACCTTGCCTCACATCAAGGATTGGGAAATCTTTTCAGTCTATAGCTTTCAGCATTCCCCAACCAAAAGGTGGGAAATTTTGGAAGCCATAATCCCAAAAAGTAATACACCTTTTTCATCAAGAATCAGTGGCTACTATGCATGGTTCCTTTCTACGTCAAAATCACTTCCCATTTCACACCGTGTAGGAAAACATTCCCTTGATTTTTGTTGAGTTTGCATTTTGAGAACAATGGCGAAAGAACATTCAGAACAAATTAAAAGTTTGGAGAATCATGGCAGCATAGAAGAAGTGAAAACACATTACTACACAACAAGGCAGCACATAGATCCTCTTCCCACAATGAGATGAGATGGGATGATAACAAAGACAAGTCCCCCAATGAGAATGGCAAAGAAGCAGTGGATGCATTTTTAAAGAAGAAGAGAGAGAGAGACAGAGTCAGAGAAAAGAAAAACCTACAACAGTCAATTGGACAAAAAGAGGTGAATCCCTTCTGATGTTTCACACTATATGTGATCAGCAAACTGTCCTTTAGGGAACTTTGTACAAAAGTACCAGAACTGGATTTGTAGTGAGAGCTTAAAAACTTCAGACTAGGGGCCATTTCCCACATGATATGTATTGTGTTGTTATATTGTGTTGGGCTCCGGCCTATTGTAAGCCGCATCGAATCCCTTGGGAGATGCTAGCGGGGTACAAATAAAGTTATAATAATAATAATAATATAATAATAATAATAATAATAATAATAATAATAATAATGATTGGTAGCATTTTGAGTTATGCCGTAATTATACTCTCGATTAAGTGAAAAAGCCACTAAGGCAGCTACAATCAGTTCCATCTGCCCAAGATATACATGTCGGCTGCACTCCCACATTATGCTTCTTGACCTATACTTCAAAAAATCTTATATGACAAGGCCTGGAGTGGAAAAAATACAGACATATATTTGAATTCCCATTTTCCAGGAAATTGGAATAGCCTTAGTAGCACATTTTGAGGGGCCTGGTCAAGAGTATCTCAATGTTTGATAATAGGTGTACATTCCAACAATGCAATGTTTGAAATAAGCATTGTTGATTTGAAAATAACCTAAACAGATTTAACCTACGAGACATGTTGAGATCAACCACTGGGTAGTATCCTTCAGTTTGGAACAGGATATGTGTGTATGTGTATGTGCCTTCAAGTCTATCAACTCATGAATTTCATAGGTTTTTCTTAGGCAGTGGCTATTCAGATGTAGTTTGTTAACCCCTTCCTCATTCTACTGAAAGTATTAACTGGCACAGACCCTGCTTAGCTTCCAAGATCAGACAGGATCTGGTGTTTTAAGGCTTCTTAGTGGCTTCTTCATGTAGGCAGGGGTTGCTGCAACATACAGAATCTAAAAAAGTCCATCTCACTTCCTCATCAAAATTCTAGTCCTTGAGGTGGTAAAGTCTGTCTGGAAACTGTATGAAAAACAGTAGGTGAATTGAAGAAGTCTGAGGTGAAGAGGCCTCAGATAGATTTCCAGCAGACAAAGCAGTGACACATTCTGTGGCTCCATCACAAACCTGGTGAACCTGTGGCCCTCCAGATTTTGCTGGATTCCAGTTTCCATCAGCCTGACCAATGACAGTGTTGAGGACTGTGAAACCTCTGAGGATGAGGACAGTGATTTTCTGTTTGAGCCTGTGTTTCTGTGTGGGAAAGCGAAAGTAGTTTTCAAAACGATGGGAATGTTTTGAGTAGATCTGTTGTCAGGGAAACAGGCAGTGATTCTTATGAGAATCGTCCAGAGATTGACTCTGAAAGGATTGTGGAGAAGACAGGAGGATAACTAATAATCCAGCATTTAAAGCTCAGAAGGGAAAGTGCAAAACATAGACAAATTCGTTGTTCACAGAGGCTGAAAGATAACAAAAGGAACCCAGCTGTGAGAAAGGGTGATGCCATGGGCAAGAGGGAGTATTCTTAAGGAATTGGAGTCAATGTTTGGTGGGGAGATAAACGTTAGATTTTCATGTGTCAAGTTGCCTGCCTTGGGAACTCCGAATTAAGAGTTCTGTTCTTGGGACTGCATCTTGTTTTCCTGTTTAAATTCCATGCCTCCTGTTTGGATTCTAAATCTTATTTCAAGTTTCAAGCCTTTGGGATTATAGTCAGTTCAAGTATGAAGCCTTTGGATTACGGTCATGTTCATGTTTTCAAGCTTTTGGATATAATTCTAGTTCAAGTGCAACAAACCTTGGATTACAGTTTCTTGCTTTTGCCTTCGGTAATTTTTGAAATTTGTATTCAGAGTTGGTCATTGCTTTTTGTTAAGTTTCTGGAAATCTAGCTCCTGGATGTAACTTTAAAACTGCTTTTGCAAACTGGGTTGTGCTGGTACTTCAGGGAATAACTAGTCTGCTCATTTTGAACACTATTTTAAAACTCTTTTTAAAAAAAATATTAGGTACTCTTTTCTTAATCAACTTATTATTTTTGTGGATCTGTGTGGTGTTTGGGTGAAAAGGGGATTAAGTAGGCAGCTGGACTACAACAGGCAGGGTACACTAATGTTAATTATCAGCATCTACTGGGCCAAAGGTTGCCTATTTTTATGTATTAGAAACGAAATAAATTATACAAAATAAGTTAGTATATGCAAATATTCAGTCTGTATAATTCAAAATAGGTTTCATGGAACAGGATTTGCTTCACTGTGGCATGCAATCCTTATTTCTTCTTAAAACACAAGACACACTGACAATAACTACCAACTACAGCCAGGTGCACAGTAAGAAGGTTCAATATGTCTCACAGGAAAGCAGAAAGATTAGCTCTGTAGGTTGGGGCACACAAATGCAGATGGAACTTTCTGTAGTAAATAGCTATATCTACATCTGCACCCTTAACTGGTAAGCTCCACTCACTGACCTCTGTGTAATGATACCTAGGCTACACTGGCAAGCTATATTTAAACTAGCAGTCCAATTAAGATACAAAAATGCTTTGTTTGGATGCTTCCTTGAAACAACAGAGACTTGGAAATATTTGCCAAACCATTGCAAATAATTCAGAACACTATCAGTAGATCCCAAAACTATCTTCTGTTCACCTTGACTTTACAAAGATTTCTTTAGGATTGTATATAACCAAAACTAAAGATAACACAGCCAGACAAACAATTAGTTTTTAGGCCTGTTTCTAGGGTTATATGGAGCACTGATTCAGAAAATTGCAATGGATACCCTGCATTAGCTCTTGTTTCTTAGATATGGTTATCATGATTTTCTATGGGGAAGCAGATGGTGACTGTTAGAAGGCAAAACTAATGCAAATTTTGGAATCAGCAGGTCAAATATACCCAGAAACAGGGCTAACATATTAGGCACCAACATGCGGGTTGGCCAGTGTAATCTAAATATTTAATACACAGACTCTCCCTGCTACTGTTTGAGAATATGGAACAGAAAGAAACCATGAACAAATGCTCTTTATCTGGAGAAAGTAAGCAGTATGGAAAGGTAGCTTAACCTTTCTCCTGATATGCCACCTTGAATGCAAGCAATTTCTTTAAAAGCCGGGGGGGGGGGGGGGGGGTTGAAATATTAAAATCACAATCTTCACACTGCATGTCATAGCATGTGAAGAAGACCACAGTGGATCAGCTGAATTGAATCTTCCCAACAAAGGTGCCAGGTTTTTTAGTAATGTGTTCTACAGAATGGAATAACATCCATCAGTGTTGTGAGTTGCTTGAAACATCAAAGTGGATAAGCACCTATATCCTCAAAGGAATGGAGATTGTGTCCCAGACAATGACAACTGAAGAATGGCCGACTTCTTTCCAGGAAAGCCATCTCATCGCCATCACAGGAACAAAACAAGTACCAAGTATGAAACAAAAAGGATGAAAAGATGCTGAGTGAACAGAAAGGGGGAAAACACCTATATGTTTAAAAATGGCCTTCGCCTTACCAAAGAAATCATCCCGCACTATGACAGTCATTGCATATGAGAAAAAAAGGAAGAGAGAAGGGCAGAGATTCAGAAAGAGAAGGAGACAAGAGAAAAAAAGGGAAGAAGAGAGAAAGCAGCTATTAAATACAAATCTGTCAACGGCAAAATGGTGGTGCTCTCTTAAAGCATGTATATGTGCCAAAATCAGTTTATGGTGTAGCAAGAGCCATTCTCTGTCTGCCCTCCCTAATCCAGCTTGATAGGACAGGGAAGAAGACGTTAAGGCTTCAAAACAATCAACCCAAGGAGCAAGGTCTGGTTCTATCTTCTTTCATTATTCTGGTGACACAACGGCCTAACGTTCTTTACAGGAGTAACAAAAACTGACAGAGTAAAGAATATGTAGTGGGAAGACATAAAGAGAAGGAGACAAAACAAAAAAAGCTTGGGGATAGCCCAGAAAACTCACAGCAACCTTCTGAGGATATTGTTAGATTTCCTGTTACGATTTTCAGAAGGACTGCTGATGGAAAAAGTTATGTTACCCAGATATATTTATGAGTGCAGTGTTGCCATATATATTAAGAAGTCAATTTCGTGTACAAGTCGAGGGCATACTTTGGGACCAAAATTGTGGATTTTACTTGAAGTTGAGAGTGAAATTCTGGGTGAAACAACAATTTCCCCTTGTCTTTTTAAAAATGCACAGAGGGAACATACTTAAGAAGAACTAAAGAGAAGGAGAGGTCTGTTTAATATAAGGTTGGTACCCAGTGCAGAGGCATTGACAAGAAGTACTCCCACCCCATCAACCCTCCCTTGCCCAAACCAGAGAAAGAAAGGCAGCCCTTCCTACTTCCTCGCATTCTTTTACTGTAAGACCCTATTAAAATGGCTGCCTCAATCTCTCTGTAGAGAACCTTATGCAGGAGGAGCTTATTAAAAATGGCTGCCACTACTTCACTCCACCTAAAGTACTCTTTCGACCTGCATTATTCATTTTCACCCAAAATTCTGTACGATAAATCACCTTGTCACCTGTCAGAACTGATCTTTAGTCCCTATTTGTGCAAGTATTGCATCTAAACCCTCAGCTATACCTGAAAGTCGCCTTGAGGAAGGTAACAGACTAAGATCAAGAAACTTCTAATTTTCAATTCAACTTCAGAATAAGGATTCTAATTTAATTCTTTCAATGCATTGCCTGCCCTAAGCAAACAAAGGAAGACAGAAACCAAAAAATGTTCCATCCCACAGGTTATATAAATTAACAGCATTTTCCCTACCTCCCGCCCATTTCCAAACAGGGAAGGCAGAGAGAGTGGAGGGAGGCTGCAAAAGGCCAGAAATCAAAGGCAAAAGCTCTATTGAGATGTAGAAGAAGTGTGCATGAAGCAGAGGATGTTCTTCAGGTTTCAGAACTGGAGTGTAAGGTAGGGCCAAGTCTGCAAAGCCAACTGTGATTGGACAAGAGCAGGGGAGTATCACATGTGTATACCCACATCATTCCATTTAAAATTAGAAAAAATGGGCAAGGAAAAGAAGAAAAGAAGAGGAAACAAATAAGGAGCTTGAACAGAGGAGAAATACACACCTGAGAACTCCCCTAAGGGCCATGTCCAGCGAAGCACAGAGAAACAGGAGGAGGGTGGAGGGAGTGTGGGGGGAAGAAAGAATCCATCAGTGACTGAAACCAACAAAATAAGGGAAAATCTGGATTTTTAAATAAAACAAAAGAAAATTAACAATGATCTTGCTGTTTCAGTGTCAAAAGGCATGAAATAGTAAAAACAGGACCTGCCATGACTGCAAATAGCATGAATCTACATAGGGTACACTTGGGAGTGAGGGATATGGAGAGGTTTGGTTTTCATAATGAGGTAAGGATCCAATACATGTTTTAGAAATCCTGGTTGACCCTTTTAAAAATATTTCCCAGGATACTTTCTAATAAAACTATAGGTTACAGAGTTGATTTCTGGTTTAGTTTGATCACAGTTCAAGTTCTAAAGCTTGGAGACATTATGACTACAGTTCCCAAAATCCCCCGAACAGTGGTCATGCTGGTGCAGATTCTGGAAGCTGTTGTCTCCTCAAGTTGCTTTTATATGCTTAGCAGTTTATTTAATAAAACATACATACACAATATTTTGCAACCAACATTCGATGATGTTAAATTGAACTCTTTGGTGTAGCATTTCCCAACCTGATACTTTCCAAATGTGTTAGATGAAAACTCCTGGAGTTCTCCTCCAGCATGAATAACGCTTCTGGCTGGGAATAACAAAGGTTGCAGCCCAAAACAACCAGAGAAGAAGCCCACTGTCACTATGGCATGATATCTGAATAATCAAGAATGGGGGAACAAGCTGGAAGATCTTGAGACCCAGCAAGGTATATACAACCTCATCATTGATGAACTATGAGCCAGGTACCTGATCTCCAAAACATAGGAAATAGTCTTATGTCCGGTACAGTGGTTAACATATGTAACCCAGTGAATGTTTGTCCTGACGAGGAGCAGCAACTCATGAAGAGCTCATGCAAGTTTCAGAATAGTTATGCTGCTGGACTACTGTGCAAGTGCCCATGCTAACTAAACATTTGGTTGAAATGGTCCCAAGATTTGTTCTCACACAGACATCTTTCCAATTTCCCTTCAACCTGAGGGCATAGAACATTTAGAACCCAGAACCTTCTGTATGGGAAGCAAGTGCCTTTTTAAAGGGTTACTGTCACTCTCCCATATTATTTTCTTTTGAAGGTTTATTAATTATCACTGGTTGGCTGCATACAATAGTGGAGAATTGTGCATAGCTAAGTGGGCTGCAATTCACATAGGTCTGCATTAGCAACATAATATTAAACTTTAAAGTTAATATCTGTTTCTTTAAGAAAGACAGGGCCATACTTACCACTTAAACATCCTCTGGGTTCCTTCTCATCACCAAACATTCCCTCTTAAGCCTTTAGGCCCCCAAATTGTTAAGCCAATTGTAATTGTTTTCCCACACTAGCCCATATCCCCTTAGCCATCTCACTAGCTTGTCACAATCAATTCTAGCAGTTGTTGAAAGAATAATAGATTAGTTTTCAACCATCTCCCTATGTACTTTTGAGACAGAATGATATTGGATGATATATTCCCTCCTGACCAACCAGCATGGTCAGTGGATTTACTGGATGAAGATGTGGGAGTTGATGAACACATCTGGAAGACACCAATTCAAGGAAGCTTGATTTAAAATGAAATGGTACAGGGATGGTCACACATTTGAAGCCAAGCAAAGATTTAAATGATGTATTTGTTTTTCTTTTTGCTCTGTGACACATTCCACTCATTTCAGTGCCCCCAAACTGGAATTCACACTCAGGCTGTCTTTCCAGCCTGACAGCCTGAGTTGGGTTAAAATGCCCATATCCCCCCCCCAAAAAAAAAGCTTGACCAGTAGTTGTGCTACCCTGATGGTGATGGGAATTGTCATCTAGCACAACTGAAATTGCCAGATTAGGGATAATTGATCTAGATCAGAGCTTCTTGAACTTATCCACTTGGGACCCCTTTCTGCTCAATAAATTGTGACTGGGGGCATATAAGTACGTAAAATAGGTATACAAATCCAACATTTACTGACAACAAAGTATTTCTACAGCTTGCTAAACAGGCTAATCTTTATGTTTATAAAGAACAGCTGAAGCATCTTCTGCAGAGTCTATTGTAAACACCACACAATGCATTATGTAAATGTCTAAAACAGTCACTAGGTGATGTTCAGAAAACTTTATCCATTGCCAAATTTTTGGGACCCCAACACTGATCTAAGGGGACTTAATTTGGAGGTAGGACCCACAGTTTAAGAAGTAGTGATCTAGACCATTTGTCTTTGTACTCTCTAAAGAAGGGACACTTCAATTCAAGTTATAGTTTTATGATAATGAGAAAGTATTAGGTTAGAGACACTTTATCTGCTTGAATCTCCTCCAGCTCTTTACCAAAATCATTCTCTTTCAGCTTAGGCTACCTCAAAAGAATGTTGTGAAAATAAGCAACATAATAGTTTTTAAAGCACCACTTTCTCGGGCATCCTTTACCTAGCAGGTCTGCTCCTTCATCCACATCCCCAATGGCTTCTGAGCCCACTTCCGTAAGTTCAGTATAAAGCGAGTCAGTGTTGATGCCGAAGGCTTTGTTCACAATCCCCTGGGTAGGGCTGTTGGAGAAATGCAACAGTAATGTTTTTATCTAGAATCATAGAATCAAAGTTGGAAGAGACCTCATGGGCCATCCAGTCCAACTCCCTGCCAAGAAGCAGGAATATTGCATTCAAATCACCCCTGACAGATGGCCATCCAGCCTCTGTTTAAAAGCTTCCAAAGAAGGAGCCTCCACCAACAGCAATATGTCTGTGTTAAAACTGGAAGATTTTCATTGTTTTCTTCAAAATCCCAACCTAACAACAATAGAGCCTTATATGTGTTCCAAGCAAACCATTTTCATGTTAGAGGAATGTGAAGAAGAGAAATCTGAACATGGAGGAGGATGACCATAGGGAAGCAACCAAACATGTAGATCTGACCTACAGCATTTAGTACAGACCAAGAAGGAAATATGCAGACAGTCGGGAGCATAAGAACTTACAGGCAGAAGGGGGGGAAAGCTAATCACTGCTTTTTTTTCTACTGATTTTCTGCTTCATACCATGATTTTGTAGACCATCTTTGACTTAGCAATGGATATCGTAATAGTCAGGCCCGGCAAAATCCAGGGAAGCTTATCTAACGAAAATGTCTCCAACAAAACCTCTCTGACCTGTTTCCTGTGCGCTCCAGTCTGGGATCCTGGCATGTCTCCAACTCTGGAGTAGAGTCAATATCTTGGAAATCTGATCCTTCATCACTGCTTCCCATGCCTGTAGGATGCAACGAAAAAAAGGGAGGGGATACATCTGTGATACTGGAATGTTCCTGCTGTTATGGTTCAGTGATCTAGGATACTGGGAACAATGGGGTGCACACCATTAGCCTATGGAAAGGAATGTGGAGACATGGATCTATGGCTTGTTTCGTACACAGCCAAAACATTGCTTGTTGTTGAAAAAGAGTATAATTTCTCACCTTACATGTTTTGGCTTCTAGAATAAGTGGAAATTGCTGTGATGGTATGGTTTAGTTAACTATCATACAGCAAAACAGTATGGAGAAGCAACCAAACAGCATACCATACCACTTTGTTGGCTCTGTGCCCTAACATCCTAGAACCATAAAGGGGTTGTGGTTTCTTTGAACTAGAAAGAAAAGTAGTGCACTTCTTCTTTTGACTTGCATCTACCAATATAGAACTCAATTTTACAGAGGAGGGAAATGAGACCAATGAGAAAGCATGAAAATGTGAATATGTCAGTGGATCAAAAAGCATCAGGTGTAGAATTCTCTTCTTTTCTCATTTTCATTTTATTAGTCTGGAGCCCTAGTTTATCTTTTATGTTCTGCTTTTAGGGAAAGGTAAGTGATTTTCCAAAAAATAAAGAATTATGCCTTTTCAGTCAAGAGTATTCCACAAATTCTTGTGGAATACTCTCTCCCCCCCCCCCCCCCGCTTTCCTCTGCTGCTACTCTTGACTTGTAGCGTGTTTGTGGTCTGCCTCAATATCATGTGACTTACAGTCCCTATTCAAAATGGGATAGGACAGCAGCAGAGGTGGCAGCAAACAACACATGAATAATCAAATCTGTGAATGTGGTACCCACCAAAGTGGGGGGCCTATTGCATTTTGAAACAGGTTCATGTAAATGGGCTACATGTCAGGCATACCTATGCTCACATTTCTTGTCTCCTGGACCACCTGGACCTCCATATTTCGACTGTTCCGTTTTTCCCGGGACCGCTTGTTGTTCTTTGATGTGACGTAGTCATTCATGGGCTGAAGACTCTCATTTAGGGGAGTGACCGCAGCAGAAGGAACAGATGAGGTGGGTGTATTGGATTTTGTTCCAGTGGTGCTTGGTGTTGCAGCTGCAGAAGACTGCCCCGATTCAGACATTTCATCAGGCGGGCACTAGTGTACAGTATTGTTTGGAGGGGTGTAGGACGGAGAAGATAGGAAGAAAGGAGGAAAAGGCATCCAAAGGTATTAGTCATTTTTTTTCACTTAGTGGCTGCTTTGTAGCATTGTGATATATGAAAACTATGCATACTGGAATGACAACAACAAAATGAACAATGGAGGGCAGTTTTGCATTGTTCAACAGTAAGGAGTACCTTTTTGCTGTTCATGGCTACATTCCCTCGAGGGAAATCTGTTAGAATCTAGAAGCTAATGTAATTAAAATGGATGATATGAAGTATGATAGAGTTTTTTCTCCATCCTTTTTTGGACTACAACTCAAGTAACTGCCTTAATATGAGGAGATAAACAGAACATGTGGCCATCCAAATATTGTTGAAGTATGCCCCATCATTCCTGATCACTGACCATACAGCTAAAGCTGACCAATGCAAGCTGCAGTTCAACAGCCTCTTGGAAAGGAGAGGCTCCTAATCATATCCTACATTCACCTGGCAATCTGTTGAAAGATGCCCACGGCCAAATTCAGCTGAGAGTGCAAATTGCCCACCAACAGATGCCAACTTGAATATAAGAGAGAATGTAACTCATGTGACCATGGATTTTGTTGGCAGTTCATTCTGGACAATGGGAGAGACCACTTTCCTCCCACTGCTAAAACATTCACTTCACTCAACAGTTTTCTAGTAAATCTAATTACTAACTTGGTGGGAAGGAACTGATGCTCTTCCAAATGTTTTGGATTTCAACTTTCACCATTCTGAATGACCATCAGTGAAAAATTACTGAAATTGAAGTTCATCTCACTTGGAATTTCATAGGTTCCCCATGTCTAGAATAAGCTTCTGATGAAGTGGATCAATGTCGACAAAATTTCTCAGCCTCAAAGGTTCTACGGGATTATTTTATACCTTTCTGCATTGAAATAAATTAACACAGCTATGCCTTTCAGTATTAAAGTTTTCTGAGGAAAATGAAAGAAAAGCATCATGGGAGATTTGGGCTAAGCAGATTTTCCACTTCTCTCAGCTACCCTTCTCTGAAATAAAAGGTCTTCCTCAAAAGACCAGATAGAGAACTGCTACCCGGGAAGGCAGCTTGAGTAGGTTATGAAGAACACCCGTTATGATTGTGTAAGGTTTAAAGAAAACACAGTAAGTGTTTACAGATACTTTGTTGTCCAATTGCCCTTTCTCAAAGCATCCCAGAAAGAAACATCTTCTCTTTGTAGTATTCTTATACTTTCCCCACCAGTTTACCACTTTGTTCTTACAATAAGCACAAAATCATGAAGAAAGGAAAGAAAGAAGAACTGTAGAACTTGGTAGTGGTAAGATACCATTGTCTGGAGGCACTATCAGTTAGAAGGGGCTGAACACTCCTACTCACTGAGGCATACTGGCCCCTGCTTGGCCTGAAGTGGCACCTCAGTTATATCTGGACACTAGTCAAGGGTCTTATGACTTGTAAGACATTTTAATAACATCATCCCTGCCAGTCACACCCCATAGCATCCTTTCCCAGTTAGATTACAACATTACTCCATGGGTCCTGCCTGAGGAGAGGGAAAATAGGACTTTATCATTGTAACATTTCTGAGGGATGGCCCAAGGCAGGACAATTCTAAGATTCAAGATACACATGCTCCTTTCCACCTTGTTCTACAAAAGGGAATAGGGTAAATCACAATTTATTCTAGTTGGCTTGTATAAAAGAGTAGAAAAGGAACACAATGGCAGGGTGGAATCTTAAAGAGAAAACGCAGATCTTGGCAGATGGTGGCATGAAGAAGACAGCAAAACAGATGGGCCCCTGAGCGGTTTTTTCCCAGTCCATTGCCATTTCATTGCATCAGCTTAGCAACTCTTATCACATGGAACAAACACGGCCATGCTGATTGAGGATTATGTAGTCCAACACATTTGGGGTGCCACGTTTCGGTGGCTGCCTTATTGCAGTAAAACAGTTTGAGCTGTCCCTATCCCACAACAATTGCTATGAAATCCCATTGGGTATCCATACTATGATTTCTCTTAATGAGATTAGAGGTGGGTTTCCACCTATCCAGCTACAACAATACTAAATACTGACGATGCTTCAACTACATGATCAGCTTCAAGTAGTTTCTGATGGGACTGTGGGTGTGCGCCTGTAAGGCTACTGCAGGCACAGGCTAGTCCTGGAAAAAGGGGGACTCTCTTTTCTTGAGCTACGTGTGGCACCTATATCCACACCCAATCATCATTATTTTCTGTCCAGCCAATTAAAAGTTATTTCTTTGAAGAATTCCCAGAATCTCCCAAACAAATGAGAATTCTCCATATTATACTTCAAAAAATAACTTTTGAAGGATCCATTATTGAGTACATAATTCTCTGACTGCAATGTCAGCTAGAATTTTGCAGGGCACAAACACACATAAGCAGCAGAATGATGATGAAGACTATGTAAATATAGCTACTGAACTCTTTGCAGCCATATATTTCTTAAAGGCAACATGCCCAGATTTGAAGGAAAACAGAATTTGAAGTCATGTATATGTGTCTAAATAAGTATGCCATGTGTAGCGTATACAAGGCTAGATCCACAATAAGTTCAAATAATTTGCCCTTTTGGAAAAAAGGTACAGGATCTTGAGAGTGATGTATCTATAGTTTATTATTGGTAGAATGAAGCATTCTGGAAAGAATGGAGCAGTCTCCTAAAAGGGGATGCTAGTAAGGAAGGGGGCAATTGCCAAGCACAGGAAGCAGATACTTTGAACAACATGGCCCATATTGGATGTTTAGAGCTACACAATCAATTTGGAGCTACACAATCAACCATCACCATTAATCAGTGATGATGAGGCAAAGGAACAGAAACAAGAGAGCCTCATGCTTCTTGCAAGACATGGCTTGAACCTCACAACAGTTGATAAGAATTCATTTGCTAGGAGTCTCACAAACCTGATCAGAAGATACTTGGGGAAGGGAGATGATGTTCCAGAGGGCAGGGAGATACAAGTATAATGGACAATAGCTTAATGACACAGGGGAGACTGGGCCAATGGTGCAAGAAGCCAATAGTAGGAAGAAAGGAAAAAGTATCAGCCAGAGATAACCACACGTCTTAAATGCCTTGACACTAAGAAACTTGACAAACCTGAAATCTTAAGAGAAGAAATATATGATTTCATAGCCATTGCTGAAATATCTTGGAACAAATCTCATGATTGGAATGGAAGTTTGTGATTTATTAAGATCCCCAGGTCCTTTCCTTTCGAGGCACGTGTCATTCATTGGTGCAGTTCATTTCTTGACAGCACACATTTGTCAACAGAAGAGACCATTTCATAAATGGGTGGGGCTTCTTTCATTAGTGGCTTTGAAACAGAAGTTGACTGAACACACATTAGAGATGAGGTGCAGGAGAGCTACAGCAGCAGGGAGGCAGGACAGATTATGTTTGAAGTCCCTTCCAACTCTGTTATTCTTTGCCACTATATCTAGTCTGTGTTTTGTGATTTTATGCCTCAACATCATGATCTCCCTTATCTTTGACTCTGTTTGCTAGTATAAAGTGTGCAAAATTTACTGTGAAAATCTTCTGCACTGGACCAGGAAAAGAAAGGATACCCCTTTCAAAGCACTACAGGCCCTTTAGGTGTTGTTTCACAGTAATTCTCTTTGGCTCTAGCCACAGCTTGGAAATAATCTATTGGAAATGAGTTACTTATAGTTAGCTTCTTCCCAATTAATTGGAATGAATTATTTTATATTCTAATTACTTGCTTCTTCAAACCTCTCTTCTTTTGTGGGCTCAGGAAATGGTGGAAGAGGAAAATATCAAGTGATATTGGGCTGTGTTCCCCACAGGTTCTGTAGCATTTGAGTGGCTGATTGAATTAAATGAACTAAAATTATTTCATTATGAACTGTTCAATAGTTCATTTCAGTAACTTTAGAAGAAAGTAATGTTATTATTGAAAACTGCAACTATAAGAGTAGCACACTACTAATAACACTTGTAACAGAGACCAAGTCACTTTTTAAAGAAACATTCCCAGTTCCGACCCTAGTTACACTCTTAGTGAGTTACACTCCAAGAATGTGTGTCCAGCTATAGCTGCCCACCCTTAGAAGGGAATATATCTTGGCTGCAAAGGGTTATAGAGACACATGTAGGGATAAAGCCCTCATTTCCATGATGGTGTTAAAGGAACCTTGTAGCTGGAGTTGGACTGCAGCTGGCCGAGGTCACTGAAGTGCCAGTGGTCCACTGCGGGGATGATCTTGCCCCCACCCTGCCCACGTACCATATCATCTGTAAGGGGGATGTTCAGAGAGTTAGGACGCCTCTTCACACTAGAGCAAGAAAGCAGAGAAGAGAAGGAGGGAGAGAGCAAGGGTAGGAAATAGTCAGAGAAAGAAGCAAATCCTCAAAATGGAGAATGCATCAAAACAACCCGTCATTTTGAATACAATGAAAGCTATTCAGGGGCATCTGAACATTCCCATATCAATGTAAACTTAAGGCCTACTGGCTCTCTAGCCTTCCAAGGGCAGGAGTTGCTGAGAAAGCCAATTCCTGTGTTTCTATCAAATGTACCAGGAAGATCTTAGAATCTGGGCAGGCACATGTAGGAAGAGATTGATATGGAAGTCACCAGCTGCCCCACTTTGGAGAGCAAAATGTTGTCCATCCCTGCTCTTTAGAAATGAAAAAACAGATTGCCCCATTTCCATTCACCAGTTTTACCCAAGTCAATACAGAAAAAGAAAATGCTTCTGATAGTCACAGAGAAAGACAAAGCCAACAACAGCACCACCAGCTGCCTCCCAGCCCACTATACACAGCTGTCCCCAAATTACCTTTTCCTCCATGACTGGCGGTGACTGACGTGACAAACAGAAAACACCCAACACAAGAGAGGTCACGCACAAGAAGCAAGACAAGAGAACAACAATCATTAGAGTGCAACAATCATGCAAAGACACTTACACAAGTAGTCCTGTGCTCACAACCAAATGCTCACTTGAGCAGAGATGGAGATGTTGACATGCAGACTCATAAGCATGCAATGGGTCCAGAAGACAATAATACTTAAAATAACATCATGTTGCTATCTCCTGATCAAAGATAGTGCCTGTTTCTTCAAAGGTACATTGATAGAGGACACTTTGCAAGGATCAGAAGTGCTCAGGAAGCACATTTAGCTATATACAGGTGTATTCCCTCCAGTGCTGCCTCCCTATCTTCTGTCTCATAGGCAGGAGGGGATAAGCAATGCTGTCCTCAGCAGAGGATTCCCCCATATTTCAGGGGACATCTACACTATGGAATTAATGCAGTCTGGCACCACTTTAAATGCCATAATTCAATGCTATGGAGTCCTGGGATTTTATACCAGCAGTACTTGGATAGCTGGGTGGGGATTATGGAAGAGAATAATAGAAACCAAGAGGACATAGCTATCAGACTGCTTCTGCCAGTCTCCTACATATGAAGAAAAGAGTTTAATACAGCCTCCAAGTTATGCTGTTCCTGATAATCGATAAAACTGCCCAGAAATGCTGATGCTGACAAGATACTATATCAGTGGTTCCCAACCTTTGGGCCTCCAGGTGTTTTGGACTTCAACTCCCAGAAAACCCAGCCAGATTACCAGCTGTTAGGAACTGTGGGAGCTGAAGTCCAAAACACCTGGAAGCCCAAAGGTTTGGAACCACTGTACTATACTGATACAGATACTTCTATTAAAATTGTAATAGATGCCCATTAACATATGTATAGCTTTGTAGAAGTAAATTTTCCAACCTTATCATCTTAAGCATGACCATTTAGTATCACCTGAAGAACAAAGGAAAGGGCAGGCCCACTGCATGGAAAACATGGCCAATGCTAACAGAGGGCAGGAAAAAACTACAGAACTACTCAACACCTTCTTTCCCTCAGTGTTCTCCCAAAAGTAAAATAGTGTTCAACCTGAGGGAAATGGAGCAGATACAGTAGGGAAAATGCAGCCCAGAGTAGGTAAAGAGGCAGCACAGGAATATCTAGCTAAACTAAATGAATTCAACTTTCCAGAAACAGATGGATGGCATCCAGGATTTTAAAAGAGCTAGCAGAAGTACTTTCAGACCCACTGTCACTTTTCTTTGAGAATTCATGGAGAACAGGAGAAAGTCCAGCACACTGGAGAAGAAAAAAATGTTGTTCCATTTTAAAAAAAAACAAAAAAAAACAAAAAAAAAACTAGGACTCACCCTGATGTGAATACTAAGGAAGATTCTACTCTACAGTATGAGGCAGCTAAAAAAGCCAATGCAATTTTAAGCTGATTCAACAGGAGCGTCTAAATTGATGGAAGTAATAATATCTCTCTATTCTGCTTTGACCAGACCTCACTTAGAATACTGTGCCCAATTCAAGAATGATACTGACAAACTGAAATGTTTCAGGAGAAGGGCTACCAAAACGGTAAATGGTCTGAAAGCCATTAATAAGGAGTGGTTTAGGGAGCTGGGTATATTATAACTATGGAGAAGAGAGAGATAAGAATAATATTTACATATTTGAAAAGGATGTCATCTGGGGATTTTTAAGTAGAGGATGGATAAAACTACATGTTGGGAATTCTTTCATTTGTTTATTTCTGCAAAGCAGGGGTTGGACTGGATAGCCTTTTTCTACAGCTCCCAGAATCCCCATGGTTCTTAATGTGTAACTTTGCTCAACCTATTTGGAAATCACTCACAAGCTCTTTCTGGGGAAAATCAGGGTACAGCCCTACCTCCTCCCAGGTAGGCCACTGTCATTTTGACTGTTTCCAGCAGCAACTTGCTGCAGTTTGGACCGCTCAATGTGTTCCACGTAGGTCTGGATCATCTGCAAAAGAAAGAGAGAAATGCAATGGTCAGCTCAGATCCTCCTTGTACCACAGAATTTAAAACAATCCATTGCTTAGTGTTCTGGTCACCCAATTTTCTTAAAGCAACTTATTTCCATTGAGAACACAAAGCTGTGAATGATGCAGTTCCTTTTTAGGACCTGAAGTATTATGGATGCTGTTGGACTCCAATGCACATCAGCCTCAACCAGCACATCTGGTATTTAGGGATTATATGAGTTATTGTACAACACATCTGGAGTGAAAATAGCTGCCTGCACCTAGGAAAGATAAAATTAAATACCTCTGTGTGTCGCTGGTGAAGAGCATTATACTCTTTCTTCATTTCAGATTCACGTTCCTCCAACCGGGAAACTGTTCATTGAGGAAAAAGGGAAGAAGAGGGGGAATTAGAGAAGGAGAATCCGATCTATAAATCCCAGAAGAAAAACAACAGTAACAGCAGCAACAAGTGATCATCCAAAAGACTTGAGAGAACATGAGATTAATCAGTCTGATTAACTACTATCCCCTAGTACTCCCCTCGTACTCACGAACAATAGCAAAAGAGTGGAACAGTTCCATTTTGCTTTTAGAAATCATTGCTTATTATATGCAGAAAGGTCCAATCTCTAACATTTCCAGTTAGGCTCAGCAAAGACCACTGGCAAAAGTTAGAACATTTGACATTTATTTCAGGATGGACTGACAATGGTCTTCAGAATTTCAGATAGAAGCTTTTCCAAGTCCTGTTTAGAGAGTCTGTCGTTCTGAAGCTTTGTTTCCGAAAGGTCTCAAATCTAACTGATCAGATTTTACAGAAATTGAAAAAATTGCTAAAGCTATGCATTATTTTGCTATAAAATGCAATTTTCCAAACCCTGTACTGAAGTGATCTGATACATTTTGATAGTTTTGGTCTGTATATAATATTCTACTCCTAGCCAACAATGTGCTGCCACCTATAACTCATTTTTCAATTTTTTCAATTGGTTTAAAAAAACAAAACAAATAAACTCCACAACTGGAACTCGGAATCCTCTGTATGTGAAGTGAACTTACACAATCAAAATGTAACTTTCACTATTGAGAACAGAACTTGGAATTAATAAGGTCCATATGATACACTTTCCAGTACTTAACTTCTTTTTTGAGTTACTACTTGTATGATGATGCAAGTCAAACTTTAAAAGTAATGTAATGAAAAGTAGCAAATTTACTTCATTGAATTGTAGAATCATTTAAAAGAAAAGGACAAGGAGGATCACGCAGTCAACCTTCTGCCATTGCAGGAACCTCATTCACTTGTGTTCTGGTCTCTGGAGCAACAAAGCACAGACTTGGCTCCTTTGCTGAATGGCAGCCTAGCTATCACATCACTACCCAGGCAAATACATTTCAATATTTTGCAGAAGCTGTATTCTTTCAAGGAAGAAGAAAAAAAACACTTCCGGAACAAAAGGCATTGGTACCTAATGAAAATAGCCAGAAACTGAAAATGCATATTGAAAATGAAAGGTATAAGCTCCCAGCAACTATAAACTAAGAGCTGACACAGATGTACATCAGACCAAGGACATTAAAGATCCAAATCTGTCAGTAAGGCCTATTATGTGAATGGCGGCTGGACAAGCAAGATATACTTTACATTAGTGCTGTATCTAATCTATATATATAAAATCCAAAAGGGCGTCGTTAGGGGCCGCAAAACGCGAAAACCCCCAGATGAAAAATCACCAAACTTGGCGTACGCATACCTCAAACTACAAGGTATGCAGAACACTCATCACAACTCAAAAAAACATAACAACAAACTCACAATTACACAACCAAACGGAGCATGCGCAGAGGAGTCCCAGCGCGAGTCGCCCGGCGTGCACATATGGCCGTACCATGCCCCCTCCGCGCAAGCCACGCCCCCTCCCATCGCCACCCCGCCCCTTCCCCCATGCCAAATCGAGCACGGCCTACGTGCTGACGCTGAAGCCCCAGCCTGGGAGTGGGAGCTCGCCCGCCTGTGCGCGCTGGAAGCCGGCCTGGTGCACGTGCAGCGCGGGGGGCTGTCCACCTTCCACGGGCCCGGACAGCTGGTGGCCTTCCCGGGGCTGTACCAGCGGAGGCTGCCCAGGAGGCCCCCGCTGCACGCCTTCGTGGCCCACCCGGGAGAGGCTGCGACCCGCCTCTCCTGAGGACAGCCCTTCGGCCTCCGCCACGCCCGGCCCAGACTACCCCCACACACTGGCGTCTGGCTCCAGGGAAGGAAGGACGCCGCCATCGGGGACAATGAGGAACGGGAAGGAGGGAAGGAAGCAGGTGAGGGAAGGAAGGACGGAAATGAGGGGAAGGGGTGTAAATAGGAAGGAAGGAAGGAAGGAAGAAAAGAAGGAAAGAAAGAAAAGTGGGAAGGGGAAGGGAAGGTGTAGGAAGGAAGGAAGGAAGGAAGGAAGGAAGGAAGGAAGGGAAATAAACAAGAGGAGGGAAAGGGAAGGGAAGGTGTATGAAAAAAGGAAGGAAGGAGAAGTTGGGGAAGTATATGAGGGAAGAAAGGTAGGAAAGAAAGAAGAAAGAGAGAGTAGGAGCATGGGAAAGAAGGGAGAAAGGACAGAAGAAAAGGGAAGGGAGGAAAGAAAGCAAATGAAGAAGAGAAAGGGAGGGAAGGAAAGAAAGAAGAAAAGGAAGTATGGAACTACAGAGCGAAGGAAGGAAGGAAAGAGAAAGAGAGGGAAGAAAGGAGACAAAGAGGAAGGAAAAGAAAAAGGGAGGAGGAAGGAAAGAGGTACAGAAGGAAGGAGGAGAGAAGGAAAGAAAAAAGGGAAGGGAGGAAAGACGCAGCAAAGGAAAAAGAGAAAGAAGGAGAGAAAGACGCAGGGAAGGAAAGAAATAAGGAGAAGGAAGGATGAAAGCAAACAGCTAAGGAAGGAAGTAAACAGGTAGAGAAGGAAGAAAGGAAAGAAGAAAACGGAATGAAGGAAGGAGTGAAAGAAGCAAAGAAAGAGGGAGAGAAGGCTGGCCACAGCAACGCGTGGCGGGTAAAGCTAGTAAAATATATTTCCATTGCCCAAGAATGCCAAAAAAGTACAACACTGTGTCAATTTCTAGCTAGAGGAATTAAAAAATAATTTAACCACGGAAATGCTACATGTTTTACTTCCAGTGACTCATCCTTTTTTTCTTGGTAAAATGAGCAAAAGGCATTTCTATTACAAGTGTCACAAAGTATCATAACAAAATGTGTCCACTGGTGTAACAAGTCAGACTTTCTACCGGTTTTTTCTTTGACGATTTTGTTGCATTGTTTTTTCTTTTCTTTGATGAGTTTGTTGAAAGGGCAATGTTCTATTTTATTATGTTACAGTATTAACAACACTGAATAGCGCCACAATGTAACCATTTTTATTTAACAAGCAACATAAAATTCTCTAGCCACGGCATATTATTTCCTCCAGAAGATTTTTCATAATTCATACCAAATCTTTGGTTCACAGGCTGAGAATATAACAATAAATGTATCCTTTAACTAAAGCTTCTCTCTGAAACTGAAATTTATGTTTATGAATAGACATCCTATTCTCTATTAATTACACATCCTTGGCTCTCCATTTTACACACAGGTGAGATCCACTGAACTGAACACAATTTGTACATGACTATGTACACTTACTCTGGTCTGAATAATTCTTGGCCTTCAACTCCAGCTGCCGTGTCTGAAATTCAAGGTGCTCAACCTGTATCTGCAATTCTTTTTTCTCCTGCTCCAGTGCATCTTCAAATTCAATGAACTTCTAACATGGGAAACAATAAGCAAAGAAACTGGGTATAAACATTCAAAAGCCACAGCATTTGACTTGACAGAGTTTGGACAGGGCTTCCTACTGGGTGACCTTGAGCAAGTCACACTTTCTCAACCTCAGAGAAAGGCAAAAGCAAATGCCCCCCAAACAAATCTTGCCAAGAAAAATTCCATGGTAGTTTCACCTAGCAGTCACCATAAGTCGGAAACAACTTGAAGGCACACAACAGGTTCTTGCACCATTTCCTGCGCTCTTTATTATGATGACTGCTTTTGCAAAACCACTCTCCTTTATGATTTAATGAAACCCATACATTTCTGCGTGAGGAAAGTACAGACGGTTATGAACAAGATAGATTCTGTAGGTTTGTTCATAAGTTTAAATTGTAAGTCGGAACAGGTACATTTTAAGTGAAACTCCAGACGGATAGATAGGCAGATAGATAAGATAGATAGATAGCATATGGAAGTGTTAACCTCCCAATGGTGTTTGTTTTGCTATCTGTACCCCTGTTTCGAGGCTTTCATCTCACTTTCTGTCCCTGTCATAATTGGATTTTGAAAATTTTGGCTTGTTATGGAAACAAGGATTAGACATAAAGCTTCAGTGGAGACCCCTTTTCCCCCGATAATATCTCTTCCAGGAGTTAATTTCCTTTCCGAGAGGGAGATTTCTCTCACTTCCTGTTTTCTTATCCTCATTTGGAACTATCAGTCATTTGTAAGTTGGATGCTTGTAACTCAGGGACTGCCTGTAGTAGTTACAAATTTACTCTGTAAGGCACCCTTTAAGACCCACGTAAACAATACAAATTGCATCAAGAACTTAAAGTCCACTTGTTGGTCTGATAAGTTCTGTGATGGAATTTGCAGAATTGCCTCAAGGAACTACAAGACTTGTAGTTGCTTGAGGCAATTCTGCAGATTCCATCACAGCATCACAACATTTTGTTTAATTTCAAACCGCCTTCACTGCTTGCATTCGTTTCTCAGAGAGTTCCACTTACTGGCTTCAGACTGAAGAAGAATAGATTGCCAGCATCATATTAGTGACTTGTGTATATGAATGCAGCTTGTGTAAGTTCCTTTTTCAGATGGGGAGGAGAAGCCTATTGCCCTTGCACTCCCATCCAAAACACTTCTGAACAGACAGGAAGCAAAGCCAGCAAAGCCAGCAAGCAATATCTTGGCAAGATGAGTGATGTATAAATAAATAATGTAGATGTAAAGAGGCACTATTATCGCCATCTGTGATACTTACAAGAATTGATACATACAAGCAATATTTCAAAAATGGAAAAATCCCATGGTTTTGGCCACTTGCAAAACGACAGTCTTTAAGAACTAGAAGGGGATTATTTTCTCTCACATCATAATCTCTGCAAGGCAAATGTCTACTTTCCTGTGGGAATCTCAGCAGTGGACAAACTTTCCCTGGCCAGGCAAAATACATACCCCTTCTTGACAAAGGGTCCTAATTCAATAGTAAAGGAACCAATTTGCAGGTAGAAGGTCCAGATTCTGCCAATATGGCAACACAGTTTGCATGTTTAGAATTTGGGTGAGCCATGAAACTTGTAAGTTCCACTAAAGATGGTGGGAATTATTTCTGCTCATAGGGGGATAAACTTGCACCTTTCCCCACAGATGATTTAACAGGGGGATGGGGAACATGTATGGTTGGGCTACAATTCAATTTCTCACTGTGGCTATGCTTACAGTTCCCATTATCAATGTAGCTATGCTTAGAGATTATGGGAGTAAGACGTTTGAAGGCCTACAGTTCTACAGATACTTAGAAGCCAGACTTACTAACCAGCATTTTATGATCTCTATTCCAACAGAAAGCAAGATTGCAACAATTAAGAATAACAATAATATAAACATGAACAATTATTGTCCAATTTGTTTTTAATTTAGAAAAATAAAGGAATTAGAGAAATATCTAACAGAATTATTTTAAGAGGCTCATCCTGTGCTGCAATACCAAGTAACTGGCACAAAGGACCAGAAATCAATTCAAGGCAAAGAGTAATCCAAGTCCAATGAAAAGAATCAACAACAACCTATAACAACATCCTCAACAAGGAAAAATCTCCTCCACCACTCTCCTGGAGCTGATCAAATAAATACAACATTAATACAAAGATAGGTGGTATACCAGCAGATTAAACCTTCAGTTCATCCTGCCATTGACATATTGTGGTTCCTTATTTCATGTCTACAAATGTGTCCTTTGCACAACATAATGACAGAAACAAAACATGGCAGAGGCTCATTCATCATCTGCTGCTCCACATACCATATAGATTGTCCCTTATTTTTCACCGGGCTGGGAAAGGGGAACCCTGAAGGCAGGGGGAGAAAGATGAGATTCCAGAGAAGGAAGGGGGGGGGGGGAGGGAAGAATACTGAGAAATAGAGTATTGGGGAAAATGTGCCTAAACCCAGGTGACCCCATCAGCAAACTGGGTAATGGTCAGCAGATGATGGCACTGGGATTCAAGGGGGTGTGATGGTCCTCCAGAGAACTATAAAGCAGTAAGAGAGGTCTCAAAGTGGACTAAGATCCCACAACAGAAAACAGAAGTGGGAAGGGTGCAGCCAAGGAAGAATGATGGAGAGGCAAAGAGGTCCTGACTGGAAAAAAACATTGTCAATCTATAAATACTCACAGTAAGCAAATAAATTACATTTGTGCTCAGAAATTGTCCATATGCTGTGAATACACCACATTGCTCCGCTTTGCCTTATTTGGCCACTAATTAACTGAACAGTGGATTTTACAGGCTTCCTATAATTCAGGCCTGCCCAACTGGTGGCTCTCCAGGTGTTTGGGACTTCAGTTCCCATAATTCTTGACCACCGGACAAGCTGGAAACAGGGGCATCTGGGAGTTGGAGCCCCAAACAATTGGAGGGCTGCAGGTTGGGCAAAAGTGACACTTCAAAAATGTCCCTGTTCTGACTTACATACATTCTGACTTGTTTGTAATGTGGGGACTGTCTGTATACAGAAGTGCAAATGGGGCCCGAGTGGATGGTGATAGTTAGGACCCCCATCCTTCTTAAAACCCAACTGAAGACCTTTCTCTTCTGGCAGCCTCCACCCATCAGCTTCCAAGCGTAAGGTTTTTTTTTGCATTTTATTGCTGCTAAATGTTGATTTCTGAACCTGTGTTTGGTGTATGTGTTTAAATGCATTATTTATGATGATGATGGTTTGTGTTTCTTTAGAAAACAAATGCAGAAGCAAATGGCTGAGGAAGGAGGGAGGGAGAGAGGGAGGGCTGGCCCTGCAGCGAGCCTTGTAGGCAATTCAGGGAGCAGGCGTTGGACAGAGGAACCTCAAGAAGAGGAGGTGGAAACCTAGGCAGGTGGCCCTTGTGTCCAGCAGAGGAGGGCCCAGGTCTGCCTTTGTGGAGGCAGGTGTCCCAAGGCAAGGGCAGGTGTTCCAAGGCAAGGCAAGGGCTGGGCCTTTCTAAAAGGTCCCTCGGAGGAAGGCCCTGCTTCCCCTGAAGGAGAGGCATTGACTGGACTCCCTCATCTTTAAAGGTCCCTCAGAGGTAGGTCCCTGGGTTTCCCTTGAAGGAGAGGCCCTGACTGGACCCCCCCCCCCTTTTCCCTAAGAAGTCCCTCAGAGGCAGGCCCATCCTTTTTAAATGGTCCCTCAGAGGTTTCCCCTGAAAGACAGGTCCTGACTGGATTCCATCCTCCATAAACGGTCCCTCAGAGGTAGGCCCCTGGGTTTTCTCTGAAGGGGAGGCCCTGGCTGGACTCCATTAGCCATAAAAGGTCCCTCAGAAGTCCCTCATAGGTAGGCCTATGGTCCATAAAGGGCCACTGAAAGGTAGGCCCCAGTTTCCCATGAAGGAGAGACCTTGACCGGACCTCCTTTTTCCTCAGAGGCATAAAAGATCCCTCAGAGATTTCCCTGAAGGAGAGGCCCCCTTTTCCCTCAGAGGCATGCCTTGACTGGACTCCCTCATCCTTAAAGGTCCCTCAGAGGTAGGCCCTGACTTCCCCCAAAAGAAAGGCCCTATCTGGACTCCATTATCCATAAAAATGTCCCTCAGAGGTAGGTCCACCCTCATAAAAAGTTCCCCAGAGATTTCCCCTGAAGGAGAGGCCCCCTTTTCTCTCAGAGGCATGCCTTGACTGGACTCCCTCATCCTTAAAGGTCCCTCAGAGGTAGGCCCTGACTTCCCCCAAAAGAAAGGCCCTATCTGGACTCCATTATCCATAAAAATGTCCCTCAGAGGTAGGTCCACCCTCATAAAAAGTTCCCCAGAGATTTCCCCTGAAGGAGAGGCCCCCTTTTCCCTCAGAGGCATGCCTTGACTGGACTCCCTCATCCTTAAAGGTCCCTCAGAGGTAGGCCCTGACTTCCCCCAAAAGAAAGGCCCTATCTGGACTCCATTATCCATAAAAATGTCCCTCAGAGGTAGGTCCACCCTCATAAAAGGTTCCCCAGAGATTTCCCCTGAAGGAGAGGCCCCCTTTTCCCTCAGAGGCAGGCCTTGACTGGACTCCCTCGTCCTTAAAGGTCCCTCAGAGGTAGGCCTGGGCTTCCTTCGAAGGAGAGTCCCTGCCTGGAGTCCATGATCCATCAAAGCTCCCTCCTTCGGAGGTAGGCCCTGGCTGTTCTCTTTTCCCTCCGAAGCCCCTTGAGGGTAGGCCCGCCACCCTCCTCCCTCCCTCCCTCCCTCCCGGCGAGGCCCCACTGACCTCCTCGGCCTGCTTGCGGAGGGCCTTCTCGCGCTCGTACTGGGTGAGGAGCTGCTCGTTGTCCTCGCGCAGCAGCTCCAGCTCCACCTCGTGCTCCTGGTTGTCGGTGAGGACGGAGTCCAGGTTCTCCAGCACGGTCACCACCAGCGGCATCAGCTCCTTGACCACCTCCTCGTCGTAGCAGCGGATGAGGCGCTCGAACTCGCGGTAGATGCTGTTGGCCAGGCCCGAGACGCGCTCCGACATCACCGAGCCCGAGCAGTAGTCGTCGCCCGCGTAGGCGGCGCCCCCCACCCCGCCCACGACGCCCCCCACCCCATCGTCCAGGTGGATCTCCAGCATCGCGGCCTCCGGTGTGAGTGAGGAAGGGAGGGAGGGAGGAAGGTAGAGCGGCGGCGAGGGCGCAACGGGAAGATGCTCCTGCCTCTTCCCCTCACTGATGATGAGACTACTGCTACTGCGGCGGTCCGGCGCACCGCCAATCAGGGAGCCAGCTTTCCTAAGCCCCGCCCCTGAGAGATAATCATTGGCTGCGGCGCCGGAGTGACAGCATTCTTGCCTGTGGCACCTGCCGCTCGCCTGGGATGCCCCGCGAAGAGGATGCCCGCAGAACACGGCCGCGTCGGAATACTGTCATACTCTCTCCCCCCCCCCCCCCGTTTATTCAGCTTCCGGGGACCCTTGATAAGGATCCAGTGGCTGCAGCCCTCCTCTACCGGCGTAGGCCTCCAACTCCCAGAAGTCCTCATGGACAGGCATTCTGGGAGTTGTAGGCCCAAGCTGCTAGAAGAGGGCTGCAGGTTGGGGAGGCCTGCTTTGAGGCTTCATCGTCATAGGATGCTTCTTTGGGTTAACACATTCGGATTTGGGTTTCAGGGTCTAAAGCAGGCACGGACCAACTTGGGCCCTCCAGGTGTTTTGGACTTCCATTCCTAACAGCCTATCAGCTGTTAGGAATTTTGGGAGTTGAAGTCCAAAACACCTGGAGGGCCCAAGTTGGTCCATGCCTGGCCTAAAACATGTGTGTCAAGCCTGGCACCCTCAAACTGTGGCCCTCCAGCTGTTTGGGCCTCCAACTCCCAGAAGCCTAGAGAAGCTTGTTCAATTGTCAGGAATTCTGGGAGTTGAAGCCTAGAGAAGCTTGTTCAATTGTCAGGAATTCTGGGAGTTGAAGGCCCAAACAGCTGGAGGGCCGTTGTTTGAGGGTGCCTGGAAGGTCCATAGGCCACATCTGGACCGCCATGTCCTTTTACATGAGAGGAAGTCATAGGGAGGAGGAAGCAAGCTTGTTTTCTGCTGCCCTGGAAACTAGGATGCAATGGAACAATGGCTTCAAACTACAAGAAAGAAGATTCCATCTGAACATAAGGAAGAACTTCCTACATGTGAGAACCATTCAGCAGTGGAACTCTCTGCCCCAGAATGTGGTGGAGACTCCTTCTTTGGAAGCTTTTAAACAGAGGCTGGATGGCCATCTGTCAGGGGTGATTTGAATGCAATATTCCTGTTTCTTGGCAGGGGGTTGGACTGGATGGCCCATGAGGTCTCTTCAAACTCTATGATTCTATGATTTATGCAACCCTCTGGATACTGGACTACAACCAAGCCTACAGTCAGAAAAAAAATTCAGGAGGCGTTGAAACTCTCTCCCCCCCTCCCAAAATGACTTTTCAGGTCTGGCACAAGAGCTCAACAAGGCCCTGAAATGACCATCATTGTGCAAAGGTTCTTTACAGTTAACAGGTTCTGAATCATTGCTCCCTCTTTTAGTCAGTTGTTGTCAGCTACAGTGGACAATAGTTTCCACAATTGGCAGAAGTTTATTTCTGTTTTCTTCTGATTTCCTTTGTCATGATGTCGGGTCACTTAAGATGTTTTCCATTGTGAATTAGCGAGAATTTTTCAGCCAAGCACAAGTTGTTCTGATGGAACTCTGTTTGTTGGTGTCTATTGAAGACTTCTTGGGAGGAGAGCAATAACCAATCTCGATAAAATAGTGAAGAATGGAGACATCACACTGGTAACGAAGAATCACATAGTTAAAGCAATGGTATTTCCCGTAGTAACCTACAGATATGAGACCTGGACCATAAGGAAGACTGAGCGAAGGAAGAGAGATGCTTTTGAACTGTGGTGCTGGAGGAAAATTCTGAGAGTGCCTTGTACCGTGATAATATCCAACCAGTCCATACTTCAGGAAATAAAGCCTGGCTGCTCATTGGAGGGAAGGATATTAGAGGCAAAGATGAAGTACTTTGGCCACATCATGAGAAGTCAGGAAAGCTTAGAGAAGACAATGATGCTGGGGAAAATGGAAGGAAAAAGGAAGAGGGGCTGATCAAGGGCAAGATGGCGTGGCCAAGGCTGATAGGGAGCTCTGGCATGGGCTGGTCCATGAGGTCACAAAGAGTCGGAAGCAACTGAATGAATAAACAATTGAAGACTTCTGTTGCATATTTCCATCACACAAATGGTTTAGCAACCAATGCATCAAGTTTCTGATGACACCTTTACCTCCCCCAAACACTATACTGTACTTACAGAGTGTACATTGTAGATGAAATGAGAAGGCCAACCAGGGAAATCTGCTGAACTATTTGGGTTGCAAACATAGATGCCTCTTCTTATCCACAGGAAATACATATCCTGGCCATGGAGCCTGTGGATTTTGCCTTAATTGAGCTTTCACTTGGTCATCAGAAACATATAACGTCCATATAAAGTCCAAGAGCTAACAATGACACAGCTTTTGTCTTTGCTCCTGTCCCATGGTTTCTTTGGTAGGTCTTGGATTAGATTAGTGGTTCTCAACCTGTGGGTCCCTAGATGTTTTGGACTTCAACTCCCAGAAATTCCAACCAGTTTACCAGCTGTTAGGATTTCTGGGAATTGAAGGCCAAAATATCGGGGGACCCACAGGTTGAGAACCACTGGATTAGATGAACCAGTGGGAGACACCTCCATATCCACAGTTTTCACCTGCAATCCAGGTCAAATCCTCCCCTCTGTCCCATGTCTTAGGCTGTGCCTGCCGGCTACCATATTTTGGCAGCTTCCATGATGGATGCTTCCACCATGTCAGCTATTGCTGCTGTTGCAATATAAATTGGTAGAAATGTAGGTAATGATAGTGTGAATAATCAAAATGTGTTTGAGATAGTGCTTGCAGTTCTGGAGGGACTATAATTTTGTTTTGTTTTTAATTGTGTTTAATTGTAATTGTGGTTTTAACATATTGTATTGGCATCTAAAGGCTGCCTGTTGTAAGCAGTCCTGAGTCCCTCTTTGGAGGTGAAAAAGACTGGATATAAAGGCTCGAAATAAATAATTTTTGCTTCTCATAGACTTGGCATGGGGATTTGGTTAACCAGTAAAAATTAATGAGTAAACAAAAAAAATTACCTGAAAAAAACTGGGGGTGGCCTGAACCCCTAAACCCTTGACTACAGGCTAGACTACAACTCCTGTATTATTATGTTTATTTCTACCCCACTTTTTCTCTCCTTAAAGAAACTCAAAGCAGAATTATAAAGATATTATTATTATGTTTATTATTACGCTGACAAGAACGAGGTGCTCCTGATCAGTTGCAAGGCCGATTGGGATATAGGCATTCAACCTGTGCTGGACAGGGTCACACTCCCCATGAAGACACAGATCCTCAGCTTGGATGTAATCCTGGACTCATTGTTGACCCTACGGTGGCCAGGAGTGCCTTCGCACAACTAAAGCTTCTGCACCAACTGCGCCCGTTCCTTGAGAAGCCAGATCTGGCCATGGTAGTCCACAGGTTAGTTACATCCCAACTAGATTACTGCAACGCACTCTACATGGGGCTGCTTCTGAAGACCATCCAGAAGCTTGAGCTGGTTGAGAGATCAGCAGCCATATTACTAACTGGGGCTCCATACAGGGAGCAAACAACTCCCATGTTACAGCAGCTCCACTGGCTACCAACCCACTTCTAGGCAAAATTCAAAGTGCTGGTCATTACCTTTAAAGCCCTAAATGGTTTGGCCCAGCCTATTTGGCTGACTGCATTTCTGCATACAAGCTTGCCTGGGTGCTGTGATGAGCAGATGAGGCACTGCTCTCGGTCCCAAGCATGGCTGGCATATACACACTCCACCTGCCTCATTTCCAACAGACCTCTGAACAAGCCTCTTGAGGACACCAGCTATAGATGCAGATAAACACCAGGAGAGAATACTACTGGAACATGGCCATACAGCTTGAAAAACTGACAGCAACCCTGTGATTTTTATTTTTTTCCTCTCTCTATTGCAAAGGCTGTTGCTAGGTGAAGGATTTGCCCTCGGTGATGTCACCGGATTGGCTGTTGCTAGGTGAGGATTGGCTGTTGCTAGTTACTGGCCCTCTATGATGTAACTGTGAAAGAAAGGTGACGTGTGTGACAGAAAGGGAGTATGGAAGGAAAGAGCCCTATTGCCATGGAGACATTGTGAGGTGAAGAAAGGAGAAAGGGTAGCTTGTCAGCAGTGGCCAGGAGTGCCTTCACACAGTTTAAACTTGCCAGCTGCGCCCTTACCAGATCTGGCCATGGTAGTCCACACCTTAGTCATATCCCGTTTGGACTACTGCAACGCTTTATGTGGAACTGCCTTTGAAGACAGTTCGGAAGCTTCTATTAGTACAAAGATCGATGACCAGGTTACTAACGGGAGCATCACACGGAGAGAACCTCTCTCACGTGCGGCAGCTCCACTGGCTGCTAATCTGCTTCTGGGCTAGATACAAAGTGCTGGTTATTACCTTTAAAGCCCTAAACAGCTCAGGTCCAGGCTATTTGTCAAATTGCATCTCCTCTTATATACCAACGCGGACACTGTGGTCAGTGGAGAAGGCCCTACTCTTGGTCCCACCCATGTCAAGCGTGGCTGGTGGGAATGAGGGGGGGGGGCGTGCACCTCTGTGATCACCCCCACCTTTGGAACTCCCTCCCTGAAGAAATAAAAACAGCCCCTCCCCCTCTCCTTCAAAAAACAATTAAAACTTATTTCTGTACATTGGCATATGAAGAGAATGACTAGAAGTTCACAGTCACCTAATAATCCTGTTCCAAGCTTGTCACCACACTCAAGACAGCTTTTGGTTTTAGTTGACCTTGTTGGCTTTTTTGCCTGTATACTTTAATGATGATTTTAAATGACTGTTAATGTGTTGTTTAGATAATTTATGTTTAATATCTGTTATGTTAGATGTTGATCGATTGTTTTATGTTGTTATATTGGAACTGGCACTGAATGTTTGCCATCTTTTGTTGTAATCTGCCCTGAAGCTGTAATTAGATCAGAGATCGATGGCTAGTTGCTAACTGGAGCGCCGTATAGTGAGAGGATGACTCCCATGCTGCAGCAGCTCCACTGGCTGCCAGTCCACTTCTGGGCTAAATACAAAGTGCTGGTCGTTGCCTATAAAGCCCTAAACGGTTCGGGTCCAGGTTATTTGTCTAATCTCATCTCCCTATACAGACCATCCTTTGCACAGCGGTCAATGGAGGAGGCCCATCTTCTTGGTCCCACCTCCATCACAAGCTCATTTGGTGGGAACGAGAGAAGAGGCCTTCTCCATGATCATTCCTCATTTTTGGAACTCCTTCCCTTAAAAGTAAAAATGACCCCCACCCTCCTCTCCTTTAAGAAACTTCTAAAAACACACCTATGTACTTTAGCATATGAAGAGGAGGACTAAGACATGAACTCATTGGAATGCTGGCTAGTCCCACTTGTACTATACTGCCATGTTACATTTCAAATGAATACCGGTGCCAACCATTTTTAATGTAACTGTATTTAAAATTGCTTTTAAGGTATTTTTTGTAATGTTTACTTATGTTTTAGTTAACTATGTCTTATTGGATTGTTTTGTTTTATTTTTCATCACAATGCTTAATTCTTCGTCATAAGCTGTTATTACTCTTACTTTATTGTGTATTATTTTGATATGTTTATACTCACCTGAGGCATTGAATGCTTGCCTTTTTGTGTGTGTAAACTGCCCTGAGTCCCTTCAGGAAGAGAGGGAGACATATAAAGATTATTATTAATAATAATGAAAGGAATGGAGAAGGGTGGGAGTGGAGAAGAAGTAAATAGAAAGAAAGAGAAAAGAGAGAAAAGGGATGAAAGCAGGGGGGCAGTGGCCCCTCGGACACCTGGTCAATGCTTGAAAGATGTGCTAGTATTTTATAAAAATGGTTAACCCAAAATATTTTTTACAGGTTTTATATCATGATTTTATTATTTTAAAAACACAACCCTGCTTGTCCAGCAATCATACTTTCCAATGTGTGCAGCCCCAAGATGTAGACAGGATTCATGGAGAGTCAAGAGCCATTAATTGCCTACATACACTAGATTTGTGAACTTTCTGGCTTACTAAACAGTCACTGCAGCAAAATCATTCGACAGAATTATAGAAATTCTATAACCTAAATTAAAGGATCCAATATTTTTCAAAGGCGAATAGAACATACTCAATAACTGATGTCTCTTTCACATATGCTAATTTAGTTAACCAAGTTCCACCGAAAAACAAACAATGGCATATGTGCAGAACATGCACCTTTATCTTTCAGAACCTGAAATGAAGACAATTAACCTTTGAGACGGAATACTTACTAAACAAAACATAAAAATAAAAACAGATAATGGGAAACATTTAGATGTATTTTTGAGAATAAAATGAAATTATGCAGGCTATAAGGGATGCTTCTAAGCCATATATGCAAAGGATCTTAATACAAAACACAACAGGAATTAGGTAATGGATTGTGAAGAAAGAAAAAAGACCTTAAACAAAAGAGAAACATAAATGATCCCAAGATGCCTATATTGTGGAAAACCCAAGAGTTTAAGAGGAAGTTATTCAAAATTTGTAAGCAGGAAAACTGGAAAAATAATGTAACAGCGTAAAAAACAACAACAGTGGCTTGAACACATTTTCAAAATGGCTGACTACATTACTGGAAAAAAAGTCAATTCGAAATGAATAAAGATCAAACAGATCAAATTTTCAAGAACTGTTTCACTAGTTTTGTCAAGAATCACACACCACAGAAAATCCCTTAAGTAGAAAAATCAGAAGAATTCTTCCAAACATGATTCAACACAAAAGCTTAAGTTGAGGATTTGCAAGTATTAGAAGCTCCAATAACAGCTTTTAACAACAGAGGAGGGAAATAAGTATTATTTGAATTCCCATTACCAGCCAAGGAATAATAGCGATAGCCATTCGAAGTCTAGATGAGGGACCTGCCACATTCGCTTAAATCACTCAGTACAGTTCCATTTAAAGAGATACACAGGCATGGTCAATCAATGCTGGCCAAGGCGGAGGGAATCTTTGGCACTCTATACATCCCAGGATCGATGGTGAAAACACAAGGAACCACACAGAGTTACCACTTCTAAGTCCTGAAGATCTACCATCCACCCCATAATTGCATTAACAAAACATAACTGTTTATTGAGCAGCACATGATTTAAACACATTCTAGTTGCTATTAGAAAAAGTACCCCTTTTGGATACCTAGTGTATCCAAAAGCTCCCCACCCCACCCCTTTAAGAAAAAAATGGCACACAGTTTATTCAGTAATAATAATTTAAGGCTTAGCTTTAAAACTGTTATCATCCCAAATAGAGGCATTGGTGAAAAAGCACCTTCATGTTTCATTCAGTCCTTGCAAAGCCCACACTTGGTCCTTAAGACAGAAGGAAGACAATCCAAAATAACAGTACAAATGATGTCAGAAAAGCAGGCTTTGGCCCACTGTTTACAAACATGCTGCTCCTTATTTAATAGGCACGGGCAATCCATGTTTCTAAAGTACTTAGAAAACTAGGGGGCGTTGGTGCTTTGCTTCTAAAGTGTTGCTGAAGTTCTGGTGGTGGTGAAAATTTCAGAACTCAAACAAAACTTTCAAAATTTCATTATAAATGGGAGTTCCTAATTGGTTCCGTCATAAAAATTGCCAATAACAAAATAATGACATTTTAAAAGTTTTGTTAGCGTTCTGAAAATGTCATCACCAGAACCTTAGCAATACTTTAAAAGCAAAGCACTAGCGCCCCCTAGTTTTGTAAGTACTTTAGAACCTTGGATTGTCCATGCTTACAACTCAGGACAAGAATTGCTGTCCAAAACCAAGTGGTCTTTCCCAGTTCAATGCAGGGAGGAGGCATACGTCTTGTAAACTACAAATGCAACAAAGCACTTTTCCTCCCCGCTTTCACTCAGCAGACATTATCCTTGTTCAGTCAAGAAGGCACAATGTTCTACAGAATACTGAGCTATTTTTACATCTGGCACCACTCTTGCTACTTAGAACCAGAAAGGCTACTAGTTCTTTGGTGTGACTGATAAAACTCCTATACACTGAGGAGTTAAAAGTCAAGCCACTGCAGTCCGAGAACTATCTGTTGACAAATAATTATCATTCCGTTGAAAAGGAATGGTCCTCCATATTGAAGATTCCTCCCTTTAGTAGGAAATCTTTGCACTCCAGATGTTTTCAGCAAATGCTTCATGAGTATCTATTGCAGGTGGGGAGCTGAGGATCAAACATTTGGAGAGTCAATGCTTGCCTACCATAGTTTCTTCTATACCAAACCGAAAAAGCACAAAGAACAAGAAATAATGCAGCATTACAGACTAGTAAATCTAAACAGAAAGTGCATCACAAGAACATTGTCTTGCAAAAATGGAGCCAGCCCGGATCAGGCGGAGAAAGACTGAGAGTTAACAATAACATGCGCTGCTATAACCAGATGGGTAAATTTATGTCTCCAGACAGGGTTGCCAAGCTCTTGCCTAGAGATGTGACCTGTGTTTTTAAGTCAATGAGCAGGGTCCTACTATGTTCTGCACCGCATAACCAGAACTCTTTGATTTTTCTATGCTGAAGATAAGGAACAAAACAAAAATAGAAGACTGCAGTGAAATTAAAGATACAGGTGTTTTCTCTGAGAGGACAAAGACCTGGCAACTTGGACAATCAGAGCATGGGCAGAAGTAGCCAAAAGCAAATTTAAGGCTGCTAATGGAGGCTGATAAAGGAAGGCAAGTAATGGAGTCAGCAAAGAATTCATGACAAGATGCTTTTGTAGATCAGAAGCAGCTCAATGCCTCTTTTTGTAGAATAGTGATTGCACTAACTTCTTAATCAGCTTTGGGGCTGCTATTGATTCTGGTAAATTTTGAATGTATTTATGTGTTTTATAGCACTATTATGTGCTGCTTTATAAGCCATCCCGCGTCCCTTTTGGGAGATGGCGGCAGGATGTAAATAAAGGTATTATTGGGTTGCTGTGAGTTTTTGAGCTGTATGGCAATGTCCTAGAAGCATTCTTTCCTGACGTTTCACCCACATCAATGGCAGACATCCTCACAACCTCTGAGGATGCCTGCCATAGATGTGGGTGAAACGTCAGGAGAAAATGCTTCTGGAACATGGCTATACAGCCCGGAAAACTCACAGCAACCCAGTGATTCCAGCTAGTGATTCCATCCAACATGAAGTCATTATTTAATCACCTTGTTGGACAAGGTGATTTTGTATAATCTACAACAGCAACATCCTTTGGCATTCGACCTCTATCCTCTTTAATTAGCCAGAGGAGAACTGTAAAACTAAAGTTTCTGAGACAGATCCATAAAGTTAATTTGTGCATGATTTGTTTTGACTACAATTCACAGTTCAGCTAGAACTTCAATTTCACATTTTTACTAGCCTCCTCCTCTTTCGACTACAAACAAAATTATCTGAGAGCTCTATAAGCCAATCTGAGCTTCAGGAAAGCAATCTTTGTTTTCAGGGGGAATGTGTGCTGCTGCAGCCAATCACAGGGAATTTTCTTCATCATATTCAGAAAGTGACAGGTGTGCTCAGGCATGAAGGATTATCTCAAAAAATGGATCTGTGTCTTTAAAAAAAAAACTAATATAGAAATGCTCAAGTTGACTTCTGTCACATACTGAATAAGCCAAATAACTTTCCTTCTTGAAGTATTATTATACAGAAAGTTGGGGCATGGTTCTGTGCTGACTCCATGGGGAGGGATGGGGAGTAGGAGAGGAACAGCTTTTCCTAATAGAATGCAATACTAGATTTGCCTCCAGGCGGATTGAGGACTTTGTTGTGCGAACGTGGTCGTGGCCCCAGCCGGGGCTCATGGTCATCCATCTTGGGCCCAGGCATTTTGGTGCTCTCTTTCGGTGCTTCTCCCATTTCTTTTACAACTTTTGGTGCTTCTCCCATTTCTTTTACAACTTCCACTTGGCGTTTTTGGTCTTCTGTAGCTGCATAAGATATTATATGGTTAGGTGTATATACTAGAATATTATTTTTGTTGACTTGGTCCTTCTACGAATACGTTTGCATTACACAGTTTGTTACACTCATCTTTCAAACACCATGTTGTCATACTCTTAATTAGCAAAGAAAGATTTCAAGAGTTTTGCATTTCTCTGTTGGAAGAAGGATGAGATGAAGAAAGCAAGAACACGGATATTGCAGAAGTAGTGCCCCATAGGTAGGCAGCACAATCATACAGTAGCAGTTAACCATCTTTTGTTCTAATACGGTGTTTCTCAACCTGGGGATCGCAACCCCTAGGGGGGTCGCGAGTGGATGTCAGAGAGGTTGCCAAAGGCCTTCAGAAAACACAGTATTTTCTGTTGGTCATGGGGGTTCAGTGTGGGAAATTTGGCCCGATTCTATCCTTGGTTGGGTTCAACAATCTGATTGTTTGTGAACTATAAATCCGAGCAACTACAACTCCCAAATTTCAAGGTCTATTTCCCCCAAACCCCACCAATGTTCACACTTGGCCATATTGAGTATTTGTGCCAAGTTTGGTCCAAATCCATCATTGTTTGGGCCCCCAGTGCTCTCTGGATGTAGGTGAACTAAAACTCCCCAAATCAAGGTAAATGCCCATCAAACCCTTCCAATTTTTTCTGTTGGTCATGGGAGTTCTGTGTGCCAAGTTTGGTTTAATTCCATCATTGGTGGAATTCCAAATGTTCTTTAATTGTAGGTGAACTATAAATCCCAGCATCTACAACTCCCAAATGACAAAATCAATCCCTCCCCACCAGTATTCAAATGTGAGCATATTACGTGTTTGTGCCAAATTTCACCCAGTGAATGAAAATACGTCCTGCATATCTGATATTCACATTACAATTCAGAACAGTAGCAAAATTACAGTTCTGAAGTAGCAACAAAAATAATAGTGGTTGGAGGTCACCACAACATGAGGAACTGTATTAAGGGGTTGTGGTATTAGGAAAGTTGAGAAACACTGCTCTAATATATACACTGAATTACACCAAAAAACACATCCTAGTCATGATTAATAGATATTTCAGATACAGTGGTGCTACTGGAAAAAGAGGAAGATAATTCCCCTTTTCAGAATGTTTCCTCTATCTCAGGCATGGGCAAACTCTAACTTTGGGGGCCGCATGGCAGACTGGGGGGGGGGGGGGGGGGGGTTCTCCCCAAGTCCCCTCCCTGCCCTTTTCCTCCCCTCTTTTGAAAGCAGAAAGTGAAGGAAAGACAGGAAACATCTGGATGCCAAAAGGGCTGGCCTTGGTCAGGAGGAGATGGTGGATGGGAGAGAAAAAGTGTATCCATTAGACCCTGTATTGTCTACTCCTGATATAGAATTCTAGAGCTGGAAGAGACCCCCAAGGTCATCCCAGTCCAACTCCCTGCCATGCAAGAAGGCACTTCAGCTAGACAGCCTCTGTGGAAAAGCCTCCAGAGAAGGAGACTCCACCACACTCCCAGGCAGCCTATGCCACTCTCCAACACCTCTTACTCTCAGGAAGTTCTTCCCAATCTTTTCAGTCAAATCTCTTTCCCCGCCATTTGAATCCATCGCTCCCTTGAGACCTGGTCTCTAGAGCAACAGAAAGCCAGCCCGTCCCCCTTCCTAAATAGGATACAGCTTTCAATCTTGAAACATGATTCTCATGTTCCCTCTCTACCTTCTCTTCTCTCAGCTAAACATCCCCCAGGAATGAAAGGAGGAAGGAAAAAGAGAAGTTAGGAAGGAAGGATGGGTGGAAGGGAATGGAGGGAGGGAAGGGAGAAGAAAGGAGGAAGGAAAGAGAAAAAAAAAAGGTAGGATGGTGAGACAGACAGAGAAAAGAGCCCAAGGGGCCGCATTCATCCCCCGGGCCTGCTTTATCTATATGACAAATGTACTTCACTTACCTTTTGTTTTGAGTTCCTGATGTGAATCTCCTCTGTCATCCAATATAACAGTGTGATCCTAGGGGGAGGGAGATCAGAATTTTTAAAAAACAGGACAAATTCTAGGAATGTATTGGCTTTTTTTAAACATGAAAGGCACTATACTTTCAAGACTAGTCTTTTGAGCATTATGTAAATATGTAGAACACATCAACTGTATATACATAGGAATATAGGTTTGGCCATTTTTTAAGGATATAGGTTTGGCCATTTTAATCGTCGAGTTGGGAGGACCCCAATTCCCCGCTCCATGTAGGTCTCTGCCCGGTCTTTTTGAAAACACCCAAAGATCTCACCATTTCTCTAGCAATTGCTTCCCTTACTAATCAAGAAATTCCTTCTGTTGCTGTGAGTATTCCGGGCTGTATGGCCATGTTCCAGAAGCTGCTGGGTCCATCTCCAAGACGTTAGTCACTCAGCAAAGCCCAATCCCTTGACGATGTGCTCAGGAACGAGGGCACACAGCCACAAACAAGCAAAACCATCACCACAAACCTTCAAAAAACCCACAATGTAAACCTCACCTTCTGCTCAGGGATTTGGCTTTCTCTATATCAGTGGTTCTCAACCTGGGGTCCCCAGATGTTTTTGGCCTACAACTCCCAGAAATCCCAGCCAGTTTACCAGCTGTTAGGATTTCTGGGAGTTGAAGGCCAAAAACATCTGGGGAGTCCTGGTTGAGAACCACTGCTCTATATAATAATACCTGCTGGGACATATGCCTTGTATTTATTTATTCACTTCATTTATACCCCGCCACTCTTACCCCGAAGGGGACTCAAAGCGTCTTTACAAACTACAGCAAAAATTCAGTGTCGCATCATGCACATAACAATAAACACACATTAAATTATAAAATAGTTAAACACATGTAAACAATTAAAACATGTAAAACAGTTAAACAGATTAAAAACAGTAATACAGATTAAAAAACATACAAAATGCTGAGCCATACTATCCAAACTTCTTAGTTTTCCCTTAGTCATGATCTGGACTGCTGGATTAAGTCGAATTTCATGTTACCTTACTCCCCAAACGCCTGTGTACAGAGCCAGGTCTTTAGTATTTTTCCTGAAGACCATGAGGAATGAGTCCAGGCTAATGTCACTGGGGAGTTCCACAGCAAAGGGGCCACACCTGAGAAGGTCCTGTCTCTCGTCCCTGCCAGTTGCATTTGTGAAGGGGGGTGGGATCGAGAGCAGGGCCTCGCTCAACAGGATACACTCCCTTTGTCAAGTTCCCTACGCAGATCATCCACTAAGGAGACCAAGGCTGTTTCAGTTCAAGAAAGATGTGATTTTTTTCCCAAAACTCTGTATAGATAGGTATTAAATTCATCTCAGCAAGAAACTGTGAGTGATGTTGCTGCATGGCTCCTCTTTCCGGCTTTGAGGCATCACAGCGGCTCCTTAGTGTGCTTCCCCCTTTCCCCCATATAGCAGAGGAGGCGTGCTTTGTTGCTGTTGTTGTTGTTGTGATTTTAAAGAGCTCAGTTTACAATGTGACCATAATAATAAAATTCATTCATTCAATCAATTTGTACTTGGCTTCCCAGCTCCAGCACTAGGTTACCTTGGGCTGCCTCTCCTCAGAACTGCAATCAGAGACAGGAGGTTCCCAATTCTGATACTGATTCAAGTAAAGGTATAGTGGCAACTGTCTCTTTTACACCAAACAATTTTCAAACAACTGGAAGTAGAGTCTAACAGTATATAAAGTTATTTACCTTGGGCTTGTTTGGATGTGCTTTGACAGTGGAAAAAGGTTGTGGAGATCCAAAGATATTGCTGGTTTTCCCACCTGGGGGATTTGCAAGTTGACGCGAAGCATTTGGTTTATGGTCTTCAAATATGCCACTCTCCTTTCCACCTGCAAAACAGGAAGTGACCAGGAACTACACTTTTAATTCAGGTTTGCAAAGGCTGGTGAGATTCTAGAAGAGTCCCATGCCAACAACTACTATTTATTTATTTACTGTATTTCTATCCCGCCCTATCTCACCCCAAAGGGGGACTCAGAGCGACTTACAAACTATCACTGTTGCTTTCAATATTTGAGATTTATGGTATTCTGAAGAGGGGAGCGATGTGCCGCAATGCAAGAAGTAACACCTAAAATTTATTTACTTAAAATGGTATCAGTATATGGTGGACCAAATGGAATTTGAAATTATGGATGTAAAATTAAATGATTCAAAATATAATGAAAATAGAATGCAAGAAGTTGAAGAAAGATGGAACAAGGCCAAGAATTATATTATGAATAAGTTATACAGCATGTAAATCTAGAAGAATTGTTTCCAAAAGGATTAATATGGGAAAGAAAACAATCCTCGTGATGGTGGGAATTGTAACTGTTGTGTTTGTGTATGTGCATGTCCTAAAATAAATATATATATTATTTTTTTAAAGCTGGAAAAAACTAACACCTAAAAGAGCAAAGAAAGAGAATGTCGCCATCAAATCTGAGATGAATCAATGTTTTTCAACACTGTCATTGTTTTTAATGTATTTTTGGATGTTTAATGCGAACAACGCCAAAAAAAATGTTGTACCATAGACGGTTGTTTCACAGTTTTCATTATTAATTCCATTTAGTCTCATCTTACAACACAGAAATGCCAAAGCATGATGTGAAAAATCTGATTGAGCAAATCTGTGGATTTAAAATGCCAAAACATTATTTATTATTATTTATTTAAAATTTTATATTCTGCCCTTCTCACCCCAAAGGGGACTCAGGGTGGAGCACAGCATATCTATGGCAAACATTCAATGCCGGGACACACATTCTTATATACATACATAAATATTAAAAACATTTATCAAAATATTAAAATACACCATTTAAAACTGTCCTAGTCATCCACATCAAATCTAACTGGCCTGGTAATCTTTCCTATTGCTGCTTTATTGCCCTGTCCCGAAAGCTTGGTCCCACAGCCAAGTTTTTACCTTCCTTCTAAAGGACAGGAGAGAGGGGGGCGACCTAATCTCACCAGGAAGGGAGTTCCATAGCCGGGAAGCAATCACCGAGAAGGCCCTGTCTCTTGTCCCCACCAATCGTGCCTGTGATAATGGCGGGACGGAAAGCAGGGCCTCTTAATTTCTGCGATGGTTCATAGGGAGAGATGCGTTCGGACAGGTAATTTGGGCCGGGGCCGTTTAGGGCTTTATAGGCCAAAGCCAGAACTTTGAATTGTGCACAGTAGCAAACTGGCAGCCAGTGGAGCTGGCGTAACATGGGAGTTGTATGCTCCCTGTATGCCACCCCAGTTATTAACCTGGCTGCTGATCTCTGGACCAGCTCAAGCTTCTGGATGGTCTTCAGAAGCAGCCCCATGTAGAGCTCATTGCAGTAATGTAGTTGGGATGTAATTAACGTGTGGACTACCGTGGCCAAGTCTGACTTCCTAAAGTACAGGCGCAGCTGGCGCACAAGTTTTAATTGTGTGAAAGCTCCCCTGGCCACTGCTGCAACCTGGGATTCCAGGCTCAGAGGACCCCCAAGATGCTTAATCTACATCATGAAGCTAGTAGAAAGATGATTAAACTGAGGCTGTCGTATATTACCTAATGAAATGATTAGCTTAAAAAGATAATGGTCAAGAAAGATGTAGGACAAGAGGAAGGACCACATTACAGATGGATTGATTCAGAATTAAGGAAGTTACGGCCTTGAGTTTCCAAGACTTAGGCAGGGTAGGCAGGGTCATTGGTGAATGGGGCTTTTAGAAGTCTCTTCTAAGGATGTCAGAAGTCAGAGGTGACTCGATGAGAAATAACAACATACAGACACAATACTCCGTTCCCACCTCCCCAAATTACGATACAGTTTAACGTTCAGTGCTCGGGATTTCTGGAGACGAATGCTACTTCTGAACGTATACTTTTAAGATCAGCAAATCTAGAAATTGCAGTCTCTTTATATAATACACCTTATATTACACCTTGTTATATTCTCTCTGGTGCCCCCGGTGGCACAGTGGGTTGAAACGCTGAGCTGCTGAACTCACTGATCAAAAGGTCGGCAGTTCAAATCCGGGGAGCAGGGTGAGCTCCCACTGTTAGCCCCAGCTTCTGCTAGCTTAGCAGTTCGAAAATATGTGAATGTGAGTAGATCAACAGGCAGCACTCCGGCAGGAAGGTAACGGCACTCCATGCAGTCATGCTGGCCACATGACCTTGGAGACGTCTACGGACAATGCCAGCTCTTTGGCTTAGAAATGGATACAAGCACTACCCCCCAGAGTCAGACACAACTAGACTTAATTTCAAGGAGAAAGTTACCTTTATATTATTTCTAAGGAACATTCGGTCGTTTTAAATAAGCCAATTTAATGCAGGCAGTTCCCAAGTTAAAGACATTACATCCAACTCCTAGTTAAGATCAGGAGACAACAGGAAGTGAGCAAAATCTACCCCTCAGAAGGAAGGGAAATCCACTCTGGAAGTGCTATTATCATGGGGAAAAGGGGTCTCCACTGAAGCTTTCTCACCAATCCTTGTTTCCACAACAAGTGATTTTTTCCCATATCCAACAATCACAGGGATAGAAAGTGAGGTGAAACCTTCTGAACAGGGGAACAGACAGAAAAACAAATACAACAGGGCTGTTAATCGTTCCATGTGCTACCAAAAACAATTCATCTATCTATCTATCTATCTATCTATCTATCTATCTATCTATCTATCTAGCTGGAGTTACACTTCAAAATGTACATGTTCTGACATATATACAAATTCAACTTAAGAACGTACAGAACCTCTCTTGTCTGTAACTCAGGGACTGCCTGCAATCATAGAATCACATAGAGTTGGAAGAGACCTCGTGGGCCATCCACTCCAACCCCCTGCCAAGAAACAGGAAAATCGCATTCAAAGCACCCCCGACAGATGGCCATCTAGCCTCTGTTTAAAGCCTCCAAAGAACGAGCCTCACCACACTCCGGGGCAGTGGGTTCCACTGCTGAATGGCTGTCACAGTCAGGAAGCTCTTTCTAATGTTCAGGTGGAATGAACTTTCCTGTAGTCTGAAGCCATTATTTCATGTCCTAGTTTCCAGGGCAGCAGAAAACAAGCCTGCTCCCTCTTCCCTGACTTCCCCTCACATCTTGATACATGGCCCTCATCATGTCTCCTCTCAGCCTTCTCTTCTGCAGGCTAAACATGCCCAACTCTTTAAGCCGCTCCTCATAGGGCTTGTTCTCCAGACCCTTGATCCTTTTAGTCACTCTCCTCTGAACACATTCCAGCTTGTCAACATCTCCCTTCAATTGCGGTACCGAGAATTGGACACAGTATTCCAGGTATGGTCTGACCAAGGCAGAAAAACCAAAATCAAAAAGTGACCTCCAATTTAGAACATAATACAACACCCCAAAATAAAAGATTTCTCTCACTTCCTGTTGTCTCAGCTTCGTTCTTCACTAGGAGTTGTTTCTAAGTCGGATATTTGTAACTCAGGGGCTGCCTGTAAATAATTGAAGACAAGCTGTTGTGGCAAAGTTAAGTCATCCATAACGTCCTTAAGAACAGCTTGGTTCTTACCTGGAGGGTTTGTTTTCTTTGCAAAGGCTTGAGGTTCTTCGCCTCCTCCAAAAATGTTCGATGTCATTTTGTGTGGTCTGAGAGGGACAGAAACTTCTTCTGGACTTCCAAAGACATTGCTAGAGCATCCTCCCGGAGGTTTCAGCACTCTGTTTTTCAGAAGAATTATTTCATGAACAACAAAAGGTCAGCCATAAGCAGATATCTATCAATGACACAATTATGCCAGTTTTGCTGAATGGATTTTAACTGATTTCTTAAAATACCAATGATATTGCATCCTGTTTTAATGTTAGCATGTTTTGTATATTTTACATTGCATTGAGATGCTTTTAATGTAAGCTGCTTTGAGTCGCCTCGTGGAGAAAAAAAGCAGGGTATAAACATAATAAACACAACACAGAAAGTGAAGGAATAATTGAACGACAATGAAGTAGCTTCTTCATGAAGCAGCAATATTAATTTTATAATATAAATTGAGAATGGAATGATTGGTTATAACAGTGGTTCTCAACCTGGGGTCCCCAGATGTTTTTGGCCTGCAACTCCCAGAAATCCCAGCGAGTTTATCAGCTGTTAGGATTTCTGGGAGTTGAAGGCCAAAAACATCTGGGGACCCCAGGTTGAGAACCACTGGGTTATAATGTGTTGTTGAAGGCTTTCATGGTTGGAATCACTGCGTTGCTATGAGTTTTCCGGGCTGTACTGCCATGTTCCAGAAGCAGTCTCTCTTAAGGTTTCACCCACATCTATGGCAGCCATCCTCAGAGGTTGTGAGATCTGTTATAAACTAGGAAAGTGGGGTTTATATACCTGTGGAATAATGTCCAGGGTGGGAGAAAGAACTCTTGTCTGTTGGAGGCTGGCGTGAATGTAGTAATTGGCCAGCTTGATTACCATTTAATAGCCTTGCAGCTTCAAAGCCTGGCTGCCTGCTGCCTGAGGGAATGCTTTGTTGAGGGGGGGGGGGAGGGGGTGTTTGCTAGCCCTGATTGTTTCCTGCCTGAAGTTCCCCTGTTTTCTGAGAGTTTCTCTTTATTTACTGTCCTGATTTTAGAGTTTTTTAATACTGGTAGCCAGATTTTGTTCACTTTCATGGTTCCCTCCTTTCTGTTGAAGTTGTCCACATGCTTGTGGATTTCAATGGCTTGTCTGTGTAGTCTGACATGGTGGCTGTTAGAGTGGTCCAGCATTTCTGTGTTCTGAGATAATATGCTGTGTCCAAGTTGATTCATCAGGTACTCAGCTGATCCACAAGCATGCTGACAATTTCAACAGAAAGGAGAAAACCATAAAAATGAACAAAATCTGGATACTAATATTAAACAATTCTAAAATCAGGACAGCAAATAAAGACCAACACACAAAAAGCAGGGGAATTGCTGAAAATAATAACTCAGGGCCAGCTAACACCTCCTAAGAAAGGATTCCCCTAGGCAGCAATCAGTCAGGCTTTGAAGCTGCAAGGCCATTAAATGCTAATCAAGTGGCCAATTGCAACATTCATACTTGCCTCAAACAGAGAAGAGTTCTTTCTCCCACCCTGGACATCATTCCACAGATATATAAACTGCATTTGACTAGTTTCCAACAGATCCCACAACCTCTGAGGATGCGTATCGTAGATGTGGGCGAATGTCAGGAGAGAATGCTTCTGGAACATGGCCATATAGCCCCGAAAACTCACAGCAACCCAATGATTGGTTATACTTTTGAACTGATCAGTGACAAAACATGCTGGGTTGTACACAAGATATTAAACCCAAAAAACCCCACACAGAACATTATTTGGATAAAAATATTTCCTTAGCCTTGTGGTTTTCATGTGATGGTGACTTCAAATGGGGTTGGGAGAGGGGAAGGTATAAATATCTTATTTTGGTTGGAAAGCAAAGGCCTTGGTGAGTCATGCGGCTGATCCCTAGTTTAAAAACCCAATTGGCTTTCTGCAAAAGATAAAATGTGTTCAATTGCTTTGCAAGAAGAGTGTAATTAAGCAGTCACTGAACCACACTGGAGGAAATACAAGAGACACTGAGTCCAGAGACATAAATGTATGGCCCATGGACCCCAAAGGGGTCATGATGTTGCCTATGAAGGTTTCAAGAAATGTGATCAGCTTTTAGTTACAACAAGAACATAAGAAATACTGAAAGGCACAGTGGCACTTATATAGATATGATTATTAGAGGTTTAAAATGGAGAGAAAAAATACATGCTATGAAGAGAACAAAATAGAGTTTGAACTGCAGTTATGTGCAGATGATGAACATTTAATTGGCAAGATGTATAGAATAATAGAGTTGGAAGAGACCACATGGACATCTCTGACAGATGGCCATCCAGCCTCTGTTTAAAAGCTTCCAAGAAAGGAGCTTTCACTAGACTCTGAGGCAGAGAGTTCCCCTGCTGAACAGCTCTTCTTATGGTCAAGAAGTTCTTCCTAATGCTCAGGTGGAATCTCCTTTTCTGTCATTTAAACCCATGGCTCCAATGAGTCCTAGTTTCCAGGGCAACATACAGGAAGCCTTCTCCCTCTTCCTTATGCCATCTTTTCACATATTTATACATGGCTCTCATGTCTCCTCTCAACCTTCTCTTCTGCAGGCTAAACATTCCCAGCTTGTTAAGAGGCTCCTCAGAGGGGTTATTCATGGTGTCCAGACCTTAGATCATTTTAATTCCAGCTTAAGAGTCAATGCCTCTTTTGAACTGTGGTGCCCGGAACTGCACACAGTCTTATTCTAGGTAAAGAGGTCTGACCAAAGCCGAATAGAGAGGCACCATGACTTTCCTTGATCTAGACACTCGATTCCTTTGGGTGCAGCCCAAAATCCCATTGGCTTTTTTAGTTGCTGCATCACATTCTCGGCTCACATTTAACTTGTTCTCCACGAGGATTCCAAGATCTTTTTCACATGGACTGTTCTGGAACGAGACGTCACCCATTCTGGATCTTTGCATTTCATTGTTTTCTGCCTAAGTCAGTGTTTCTCAACCTGGGGGTCAGGACCCATGGGGGGTTGCGAGGAGGTTTCAGAGGGACCATCAGAAAACACTAGAAGGGTTTGGACATTGACCTTGAGTTTGGTGTTGTAGTTCACCTACATCCAGAGAGCACTGTGGACTCAAACAATGATGGATCTGGACCAAACTTGGCACGAATATTCAATATGCCCAAATGAGAACACTGGTGGAATTTAGGGAAAATAGACCTTGACATTTGGGAATTGTAGTTGCTGGGATTTATAGTTCACCTACAATCAAAGAGCATTCTGAACCCCACCAATGATAGAATCGGGCCAAAATTCCCACACAGAACCCCCATGACAGACGGAAAACACTGTGTTTTCTGTTGGTCATGGGAGTTGTGTGTGCCAAGTTTGGTTCAATTCCATCGTTAGTGGAGTTCAGAATGCTCTTTGATTGTAGGTTAACTATAAATCCCAGCAAATACAACTCCCAAATGACAAAATCAACCCCCTCCCAACACCACCAGTATTCAAATTTGGGTGCATTGGATATTTGTGCCAAATTTGGTCCAGCGAATGAAATTACATCCTGCAGATGAGATATTTATATTATGATTCACAACAATAGCAAAATTATAGTTACGAAATAGCAACAAAAATAATTTTATGGTTGGGGGGTCACCACAGCATGAGGAACTGTATTAAGGGGTCACAGCATTAAGAAGGTTGAGAACTACCGGCCTAAGTGGAGTATCTTACATTTGTCCTTATTGAAATGCATTTTGTTAGTTTTGGCCAATCGGCTCTCTCATCTGTTAGGGTCCTTTTGAATTCTGATCCCGTCCTCTGGAGTATAAGCTCTCCCTCTTAATTTGGTCCGATCTGCAGACTTGATAAGCAGGCCCTCTAAAACCTTCATTCAAGTCATTAATAAAGATGCTGAACACAACCGGGTCCAGGACTGAACCCTGCTTATGGCACTCCATGAGTCACTTCTTTCCAGGATGAAGAGGAACCATTGGGGAGAAGCACCCTTTGGATTCAACCGCTTAACCAACTGCAGATCCACCTAACAGTAGCCTTGCCTAGCCCACATTGGACTAGTTTGCTTGCAACAAGGTCTTGGGGGACTTCGTCGAAGGCCTTCCTGAAATCAAGATATGTTCCATCCGCAGTACAACCTGTATTGACCATACTTGTAATTCTATCATTTGCTATTGAAAATTGATGGAGATAGAAGAGAAATAAATTAAAGACTGTATGGCTACAAAAATTCAGAAAAAATATACAGCGCTCCATGCAGTCATGCTGGCTACCTGACCTTGGAGGTGTCTATGAACAACTCTGGCTCTTTGGCTTAGTAATGAGGATGAGCACCAACCCCCAGAGTCAGACACGACTGGACTTAAGGGTAAACCTTTACTTTTACCTATACAGATGGAACAAAAAAAATGTGGCCAAAGGGATTGAAATTTACTTTTGTGACTTAAAGGATAATTTTTATAAGATGACATGTCGGACCCCAGAAAACCTAGCTAATAAGCACAGAAGGCGCTGTTAGTATATCTCGGAAATTGGAACAAAAACGGGCACAACAGAGGCTGGATGGTCATCTGTCAGGAGCGATTGGATGGTGTCTTCCTTTGTGGCAGGGGGTCGGGCTAGATGACCTTTAGACGTCTCTTCAAACTATATGGGATCCTATGATATAGAGGTCGAATGGCCATCTGTCGGGAGGGATCGGGTGTCTTCCTTTACTTAGGTAATCCCTCATTGTCTGAGTAAGATTGTCCTCCAAGATCAGTGTCCTGGCGGTGGGTCCGTAGGTGACTGTGGAGCCCAATTCTTGACCTGCATGTTCTCCCGCAGTGAGGGCATTGGTTTCCAGGTGTAAGGTGGTCCTGGTCAGGGTTGGCTGGGCGCACCTTCCTCTTGGCATGTTTCTCTCTTTTGCCCTCTTCAAATTCTACAGCACTGCTGGTCACAGCTGACCTCCAGCTGGAGCGCTCACAGGCCAGGGCTTTCCAGTTCTTGGTGTCTATGCCATAGTTTTTAGGGCTGGCTCTGAGCCCATCTTTAAATCTCTTTTCCTGTCCTCCAACATTCTGTTTTCCATTCTTGAGTTCGGAGTAGAGCAACAGCTTTGGGAGACGGTGGTCAGGCATTCGGACAACATGGCCGGTCCAGTAGAGTTGATGGCGGAGGACCATCGCTTCAATGCTGGTGGTCTTTGCTTCTTCCAGCATGCTGACATTTGTCCGCCTGTCTTCCCAAGAGATTTGCAGGATGTCTTCATTTATGGCAGCAGGGGGTTGGGCTGGATGGCCTTTAGAAGTCTCCTCAAACTATATAGTATTCTATGATGTTGAGGTCAAATGGCCATCTGTCGGGATTGGATGGTGTCTTCCTTGGCAGAAGGGGGTCAGGCTGGACGGCCTTGAGGGGTCTCTTCAAACTATATAGTATTCTATGATGGAGAGGTCGAATGGCCATCTGTCGGGAGGGATTGGATGGTGTCTTCCTTTGTGGCAGAAGGGAGTCAGGCTGGATGGCTTTAAGGGGTCTCCTCAAACTATATAGTATTCTATGATGAAGAGGTCAAATGGCCATCTGTCAGGAGGGATTGGATAGTATCTTCCTTTGTGGCAGAAGAGAGTCAGGCTGGATGGCCTTAAGACAGTGTTTCTCAACCTGGGGGTCGGGACTCCTGGGTGGGTCACGAGGGGGTGTCATAGGGGTCTCAAAAGACCATCAGAAAAAACAGTATTTTCTGTTGGTTATGGGGGTTCTGTGTGGGAAGTTTGGTCCAATTCTATCGTTGATGTCCAAATGCTCTTTGATTGTCTATAAATCCCAGCAACTACAACTCCAAATGTCAAGGTCTATTTTCCCCAAATTCCACCAGTGTCCACATTTGGGCATACTGAGTATTTGTGCCAAGTTTGGTCCAGATCCATCATTGTTTGAGTCCACAGTGCTCTCTGGATGTAGGTGAACTACAACTCCAAAACTCAAGGTCAATGCCCACCAAGCCCGTCCAGTATTTTCAGTGGGTCATGGCAATTCTGTGTGCCAAGTTTGGTTCAGTTCCATTGCTGGTGGAGTTCAAAATGCTCTTTGAGTGTAGGTGAACTATAAATCCCAGCAACTACAACTCCCAAATGACAAAATCAATCCCTCCCCAACCCCACCAGTATTCAAATTTGGGCGTGTTTGGTCCAGTGAAGGAAAATACATCCTGCATATCAAGACATTTACATTACAATTCATAACAGTAGCAAAACTACAGTTATGAAGCAGCAACACAAATAATGTTGTGGTGGGGGTCAGCAGAACATGAGGAACTGTTTTAAGGGGTCACGGCATTAGGAAGGTTGAGAACCACTGCCTTAAGGGGTCTCTTCAAACTATATAGTATTCTATGATGGAGAGGTCGAATGGCATCTGTCGGGAGGGATTGGATGGTGTCTTCCTTTGTGGCAGAAGGGGTCAGGCTAGATGGCCTCGAAGGTTTTCCCCCCAATGCATGGGACCCCACCTATGCTCCGCCCGGGCCTTACCTGGAGCTGGGCTTGGCCACGTCGATTTCGGGGCCCTGGAACATGGCGACACTCCTCACAGACGCCGCTTCGCTTCGGCTATAAAGCGCAGCTATGGCGGGGCGTCGGCGGGCATCCTGATTGGCTCGCAGCCACGTCCCTCACCCGCGATCCCAGCCACTCAGCGACGAGGGGCGGCTCCTCGGCGAGTTTGAGGCGGAGCCACCGCGAAAAGGGACAGAGAGAAGGCGGGGCTTCGAGCGGGCCCGCCAAAGTTTCTACGCTAACCATTGGACGGCTATTGCCGCCTTTCTAAGCTACCTTGAGCCCTGATTGGGTGAAACGGGACAAAGGCAAAAGGTGATGGTTTCGAAGCTGCCCTAACCTCAGCTGCAAATGGGAAAGGCAGAGTTGCATTCACCTTATTTTAATGAATCTGTAATGACTGCAACCAAGTAATGTTTAGTTTGATATTATTATAAATATCTAATTATAATATATTACACTATGGAACACGATTTTTGTTCTTGGATTATAAATGTCATTTCCTAATTGATTCTATCATAAAAACATGCAAAAAAATTATTAAATTGCAAAACATCCTGCAGCACATAATAATAATAATAATAATAATAATAATAATAATAATAATAATAATTGTAGAGTAGGTAAAGGTTGTCCCCTGACATTAAGTCCAGTCATGTCTGACTCTGGGGTGTGGTGCTCATCTCCATTTCTAAGCCGAAGAGCCAGCGTTGTCCGTAGACACCTCCAAGGTCATGTGGCTGGCGCCGCTCCCCGGAATCGAACCTGTGACCTTTCGATCAACAAGCTCAGCAGCTCAGTGCTTTACCCAACTGCGCCACCGGGGGCTCCAATTATTATTGTATTATATTATATTATATTATATTATATTACATTATATAATTATATCACACTATGTAACACATTTTTGTTCCTGGGTTATAAATGTCATTTCCTAATTGGCTCTATCCATTGTTGTTGTTGTCATTCGTTCAGTCGTCTCCGACTCTTCGTGACCTCATGGACCAGCCCACGCCAGAGCTCCCTGTTGGCCGTCACCACCCCCAGCTCCTTCAAGGTCAGTCCAGTCACTTCAAGGATGCCATCCATCCATCTTGCCCTTGGTCGGCCCTTTTACCTTCCACTTTCCCCAGCATAATTGTCTTCTCTAGGCTTTGCTGTCTCCTCATGATGTGGCCAAAGTACTTCAACTTTGTCTCTAGTCTCCTTCCCTCCAATGAGCAGTCGGGCTTTATTTCCTGGAGGATGGACTGGTTGGATCTTCTCGCAGTCCAAGGCACTCTCAGAACTTTCCTCCAACACCACAGCTCAAAAGCATCGATCTTCCTTCGCTCAGCCTTCCCTAAGGTCCAGCTCTCACATCCGTAGGTTACTACAGGGAATACCATGGCTTTGACTAGGCGGATCTTGGCTGCCAGTGTGATGTCTCTACTCTTTACTATTTTATCGAGATTGGACATTGCTCTCCTCCCAAGAAGTAAGCGTCTTCTGATTTCCTGGCCACAGTCTGCGTCTGCAGTAATCTTTGCACCTAGAAATACAAAGTCTGTCACGGCCTCCACATTTTCTCCCTCTATTTCCCAGTTGTCAATCATTCTTGTTGCCATAATCTTGGTTTTTTTGACGTTTAGCTGCAACCGGCTTTTGCGCTTTCTTCTTTCACCTTGATTAGAAGGCTCCTCAGCTCCTCCTCGCTTTCGGCCATCAGAGTGGTGTATCTGCATATCTGAGGTTGTTAATGTTTCTTCCAGCAATTTTCACCCCAGCTTTGCATTCATCAAGCCCCGCACATCGCATGATGTGTTCTGCATACAAGTTAAAAAGGTGGGGTGAGAGGAGCCTTGCCGTACGCCTTTCCCAATCTTGAACCAGTCTGTTGTTCCGTGGTCAGTTCTTACTGTTGCTACTTGGTCCTTGTACAGATTCCTCAGGAGAGAGACAAGGTGGCTTGGGATGCCCATTCCACCAAGAACTTGCCACAATTTATTATGATCCACACAGTCAAAGGCTTTAGAATAGTCAATGAAGCAGAAATAGATGTTTTTCTGAAACTCCCTGCCTTTCTCCATTATCCAGCGGATATTGGCAATCTGTTCTCTCGTTCCTCTGCCTTTTCTAAACCCAGCTTCAGCATCTGGCAACTCTCGCTCCATGTATTGCTGGAGTCTTCCTTGCAGGATCTTGAGCTTTACCTTACTGGCATGAGAAATAAGGGCCACTGTACGGATGTTTGAGCAGTCTTTCGCATTTCCCTTTTTTGGTATGGGGATATAAGTTGATTTTCCCCAGTCTGATGGCCATTCTTGTGTTTTCCATATTTGCTGGCATATGGCATGCGTCACCTTGACAGCATCATCTTTTAAGATTTTAAACAGTTCAGCTGGGATCCCGTTGTCTCCTGCTGCAGCTCTATCCATACAACATGCAAAAAAACCCTTATTAAACTGCAAAAACTTTGTTTTTGCAAAAGGGACATCCTGCTATAGCACATGCTATATTATTGTATTATATAGAATCATAGGATCATTGAGTTGGAAGAGACCTCGTGGGCCATCCAGTCCAACCCTCATATATTATATAATTTTATTATATAATTATAATAAAAAGAGAAGAACTACCTGCCATAGGGGAGTGTGCTTGCTCCATCAATGTTTAACATTTATTTATTTATGAGATTTATTTGCCGCCCTTCTCACCCCGAAGGGGACACAGAGCGGCTTACAAGATATATACACATACAATATTTTATTAGCATAGTACAATATCAGTATTAAATATTACTATATTGTATTATACCATTATATTATAATATTATTATTAGTAATATTACATGTAATATAATTATATATTTATATTACATGTAATATTACTAATATTACTACAATATAATGTATAGTACAATATAGTAATATTTAATACTGATATTGTACTATGCTAATAATATCACATTATTATTACTATTATTATTATTATTATTATTATTATTATTATTATATTGCATTACATTTACACAAATGACCAGTCACTGCCAGAAGGGACAGAGAGTTTCATCTATGCTGACGATCATGCCATCACCGCTCAATCAGAGAGCTTTGAAATTATTGAACAGAAGCTGTGCAGGTACAGCTGTACCAGGAGCTCCAATTTTGTTTGCTTTGCATTTAATTCGTATTTGTTCGTATTTGTTGTGAACCGCTGTGAGTCGCCTTCGGGCTGAGAACAGCGGTATATAAGTAAGGTAAATAAATAATAAATAAATTAATGTTTGTTATAGTCCTAAGCTTCAGGGACTCTGCAGATAGGTGGCTTCTTTTGGCTGCAATCATAGGGCAAGCCACCTGTCAATTATAGTTAGGTTCCCTGGTCCCGCCCCCTTTTTGGGGTTTTGGAGGGAATAGGAGCCTTTTTGAGTTCAGTCCACACAGAGCAGCTTTCCATGCAGGACATAATACCAAGAGCTCCTGTAGAAAGCTTTGTCTTCTACGGCTTGGCCGGCGAGATATACAGCCTACAGCCTGACCGGGGTTGTACAGCCTTACAGCTCCTTTGCTGAAGAACATCAGTCAGCCATCACTGAAACCTGAACTCCTTTTTTTCCCCTGGAAGTCTACAAAGCTCTGCTTGGTAAGGGTCGCTCGCGGAAGCCAGACGCAGTTGGTACCGGGTGCGGGGGCTCCACGCCAACAGAGGCAAGTACAGACTGCCCAAATTAGAAGTTAAGGGTTTCCCCATTAGTTACAGTTAAGAAGATAGTGCCTGTTCCCTGTGGACAAGATTGAAAGAGCCTATAGACTGTTAAGAAAGCTTTAAAGTACCTGTTTGTTTTCCTTAATAAAGAACATTGTTGAACCTTTAAGCAATCTAAAGACTCTGTGTTTTAAGGAAATCCAAAGGCCTTTAATCTGAGGCAGCCCCGACGTCCTGTTGGGCACACAGAATTTATGTCCTGTCTACAGTCTGATGTACAGGCCCAGCGTGCGACAGCACAGAAGCTCTCCGAAGCTCTAGGTGCTCTTACTGCCTCTTACAGGGAAAACCAACTGATTCCTAATTTCTCCCCAAATTATGATAGGATACAAACCACCACACATGAATTAGACCAAGGATTAGTATGTATTTATGCACAATCATAGAAACAATTTTACAATTCAATTTTACAGGTTGAATTGGTAATTGAAAACAGAGGCATTGACAGCATTTTTGTATATTATATTAAATAACCCAAACACCTTTCTCCTCCTCCCCCGCAAAACAAACACTGGTAAATAATAAATAATATAATTTACAATATGATACAAAACAAAATAATCAGATAAGGGCAGGCTTCTTGCTTTATACATACACTATATATTTATTATGTATAAAACAAATTCACACCTCAAACAATACAGGAAAAAACCCTTTTAGATGATATGGCTTAACTATTGTTATTTTTATTTTATTTTATTCTATTTTTTTTAAAAAAAAACAGCAACAAAGTTTGCTGCTAAACCCACAAGCTCTAGAGCCAGTTATCACATTTTGGCAATGAATGATAACTCGGTGCTGTAGTGCTTTGCTGCCATTTTCACGTATTCAACACTGACAGATAAACACAGAGTCAAGAGAAGTGTTTTCAAAAGGTAATGTGAAAATGCAGTATTTTACTTACAGATGCATCCGTTTACTTCTGTGCATATGTGTATGTGTTTCTGTTTGCAAATGCACCCCCTCCCGCCCAAAAAAACCCAAAAAGAAAATGCAATGCCAAACCACAAAAGCTTTGTCAAGTCAAAGGACAGATGATCTTGGCAGATACAATTAACTGGGAATTGCTTAAGATGGCTGGAAAGGAGGAAGCATAAAAAGGCTCATTGAACGTTTTGGGGTAGATTTGGGGTACAGTTTTTGGGAATTTGTTCCTACATAAACCGCATTGAGTCGCCTGTCAAGGGCTGAAAAAATGCGGTATAGAAATAAAGCAAATAAATAAATACATACTTTCACTTCATTCCAAAGCGCATTGTGGTTGTGAAACTCCTGATGGATTCTTTCGAATTAAGAGACCAATTCATATACAGTGTAGTCTATATATATATTCTAGTCTGGATTCCTCCAACATTAAGCGAACAACACAAGTTGCTCACCTCCAATGCTCCCTCTGTCCTGTAAACAATTTTTTTTGATGCATGTCCCTAATTTATATGTATAATCTTAAGTAAATACACTTCCAATGCTCCCTCTGTCCTGTAAACAATTTTTTTTAATGCAAGTCCCTAATTTATATGTATAATCTTAAGTAAATACACTGAGAATATAATACACTTTTCAGTGAACCATCTCATATTGAAGCAACATTACTGCATTTGGCTTTCCAGGAACAAATTGCATGAATGGAAACCAGCTAAACATAGAAAAGATATTATTTTCTCAGTGTTTCGGGCAAATGTGAAGAAGTCAGGGGAAGTCAAGCTTAGAAGCAAGCCCTGCCTGCAGGTCATTACTCAAATGGACTTTGCGATAAACTCACAGTTGTCTGAAGGGGCCGAAATAGTACATTTCTAGAGATCCACCCGGCACTGACATCCATGTTGCTTCTCAAATGCCTGATCGGTTCAGTAAATTCAACACCAGCCAAAGTGCACATACTTCACATATGGGATTGAAGAGCAATCACAATAAAACACTGATTGAAGCCAACATTATTACTCGTTTTAAGTGCACAGTCTTGAAGCACAAGACACGAATAAACGAACGGCAGGTATCCCCATCTTAGTGGCTACCCAATATTAGTTCGGAAATGGGGCAAAAGGCATTTAGTGTGGCCTTGTGGCCAAGTTTAAAAACAATTTCAACCAAACAAGAGTTGATATTTAGTATTTAATGTTGGGGAATAACCTCATTAATTTTTGCTTTTGTTTGGATTCTTCAAGTCTTCTTTGAGCAACAAAGTATGTAATACTTCTGTCCTCAAAACTGATGACAAATTGCTCTTCCGCTTCTGACTTTGCGGCCGAGGAAAGTGTGCTGGTTTACAAGGAAAGGAGATGGGAATGGCAGGTCCTAATTTCAAGCTGTAAGATTCGCAAATACTCCTGACATACATAAGGTGAAAATCCACCCTTTCAGAAATACAGAAGCATGGGACAGAAGTGAAATAGCACTCAGATTGAAGAGCTCATTTTTTAAAAAAAAACCAGGGACAGAAACAACATACTATACTAAACGATTAAGCTTAAATAAACCCAAGGCATTATGTTGAAGAAAACATTATGTTGAGCGAAGGCCTTATATGGATGACACAACTATAAAATGCCTTGAGACAATGATCAGAAAATAGAGCCTCGTCCATGCAAAAAACTGGTCGGATAAACATGTTTTGGCACTGGAAGCATTTAAGTTGCCTTGCTAAATGCACATTCAGAGCCGCCACTGTCGACTTATCAAAACTTCAAACATTGTTCTATTATGAAAGGATATTCACACATTTGAGGATGCCTCACTGAACACAGAACACATTCTCTTTGAGAACAAGGGAGCCCAAGCACACAAAGTGCTCTATCAGGGCAATAAGAAGTGCTGGGCCATTATTTCGATAAGCACCAAGGACTGCGAAGGGAGACTGTGGCCTGAAACAAGACAGAAATCATGGCAGAATTCTTGGGGGTGGGGAGACAATTGTGGCCATAATGGATTTAAAAGCTGCATTTGATTCAGTCTCCAGACCCAAACTATGGGCCAAATTTGATAAGTACCTAACTGATAAAAGACTGCTCCTTCTCATTAAAGAACTTTACAGAGATAGTAGTTTACAGGTTAGATGCAGCCCATGGCCAAATTTCAGGGCCAATTCAAGTGACCAGAGGGGTAAGGCAGGGCTGTATCTTAGCTCCTACTCTGTTTAACTTATTCCTGAATGATCTTGAGGAAGTCATGATGGACCCACAAGGTCAATTACCCAGATTGGGTAAAAGGGAAGTCCCCATCTTGCTGTATGCAGATAATACAGCCATTCTCTCCAGGTCTAGACCAGGGCTCATACACAAACTTAGGAACTTCAAACAATTAAGAGAAAAGGTAAGTACTACAATAAAAGAGAACCATACTAATACAATCCATGAAGAAAAGCATGATTCTTGGTTATGCCATTTCTAGAAATCCACCCATGATTTTGTTATGGAAGCTCAGCCACTTACAGCTTACTTCAGTGCTGCATGGGGGACTCTGCCATTTCAGAAAAAAACACAACTTTTAAAGTATTTTGTGTTCAAACCTAAAAGAGGCTTCTGCATTATGCAACGAAACGACTGCTCCTAAGAAAAGGAAGTATTGAGGAAAATTTCAAAAAAATAGATAGCTTCCAGAAATCAAGGAGATAACAACAGCTGCCTATGTTTCTTGTTCTCTTGACATAAATATTATGTTGAAATCACACAACTCCTGTGGGTTATGATTCCAAAGTTTTATCTCCAAACAAAGACATGAAAGGAAGAATGAGAGACAAATAAGAGAATAATCAGAAATAGCGCATGTTTGGAAAGCCAAGTTCCTGCTAGTACTAACATTATCCAGAATTAATAACGAAAGAACCCATTTTAACATAGTCCTGCTTGTGGATGCTCAAGAAAGTGTGTGGTCATGTGGGAATGAGTCCTCTTTACAAGAGTGCAAGGAAAAGTGATAACATAGAAGTGCCAAAATGAATTCTCATTGATCTGAGCCCACGTATTTCAATTCTAAGAGTCAAATACAAGACCTAACGAAGATCAGTTTGTTCCCTCATACTTCAATTCTAGCAGACAAACATATGAAGACCTGATGAAGATCACTTTGATCTCAATGAAGCGGAGCAATGAACTCTAGTTTAAAATTACAAAGAAAAAGGAAGTGCCTTGTGAAGTTTGCTTCCAAAAGGTACTAAATCTATCTGAACAAATTGAAAACAACGTGCTGAGAATGTGCGCTCTTTTGCTATAAAATACAATTGTCCAAACCTTGTAATGTAGTGATTCGATACATCTGATGGTTTTTATTTGTGCACAATATTCTCTTCTGAGCTAACAATGTGTCATACCCTATAACCCATTTTTCAATTTTGGGGGATTTGGCATTTCTTGGAAGCAAATTCTAGAATTACATTCTCTCCCCACTTTATTGCATTTGTAGGGCATATTCATGCTAACCATTCCTTTTCAACTATTAGAGAACAGCATCTTCTGATAGATTTTATTTTCAAGAGGATGCTTAAATAAAATGAAGTGAGCACTAAAAGATGAAAGAGGACAATATTCCCAAATTTAAAACTGGGAGTATAGTGAGAGCCTCTTTCAACAACGTTTCTAGCACTTAAAGGGAATGGAAGGCAACTCATGAAGCGAGGACTGCTTTCTGGAAAAGCATAAACATAAAGGGTGGCAATACATTCAAAGGGATCCTAACTGAGATGAGAGGTTTGGGTGCAAGGCCCTCAGATCCTGAGCCTGCTTTTTATGTTGGAAAAAAATCCCATTGAGCTCCCCATGTTATGTTGGAATGTCAGTGAATGTGATGCATGCGAAAACAAATTCTGGCAAAAGCAGAGAAGAATGAATTGGGAATATCTATTTGACTGAGTTGTCAGCCATGGCAACTGGGAGACAGGGAACCTAGTTTATTACAACTGCATTTTTTAAAGAAACAAAAATCTAGAGAATACCACTACACTCCCTTTCCAGTTTAAAATGTAGGTTATCATCATGAGGATTTTGGCTTACAGTATAACAATGTAGCTTGTGGGGTATTGTGCCCAGATTGTTCCATCTCATATATTTACAGTGTCCGATAAACTTGGTAGTCCCCAGCCTTGCATGTCGTTTCCCACACTCCCACTCGTGCTGTTCCTAGCATATTGCACCTCCCAGGAACTGTGGACTGTTGAAGACAATGCCTGATCTTCTCACGAGGCATAATACGCAAGCCAGAACAACAACAAAGTCTCACTGCATAGCTGTAATGTCACTCCTCTCCACGTTGTGGGACAGTTCAAAGGTTTCTACCAGCCAGCTGGTTATATATAGATACATGCTCACTGAGAGAGGTCACTGACTGGAGGGCCACCGCTGCTGCCTCCATCAAAGAGGACCTCTCGGCGGACAGGCTCCGGTATGGACAGCTCCTGAGCCAGGTCATTGAAACGGGATATGTAATCAATGCTGTTCTCATTCATCATGCAAGCCAGCTGGGAATCCACCTGCAAAACAAGGGAGGAAAGCATGGATTCATTCTAAATCTCCACTTAAGACTATCCATTGTTGCTCGATGGGTTTGATGCACTGGAGAGGTTTAGCTGAAACCATTTTTTAAACTAGGCATGTGCTGTAAGAAAATGGGCACATTATGGAATACCCATATTTCCTTGAGACTAACGCGCCACTGAGTCTAATGCACACCCTAATTTTCAAAACCCTGGAACGAAAAAAAATTGCTGTTGAATGTAATCTGCAGCAGCAAGACATTCTTCTTTGTAATTTGGCCAAAAAATTATAATTTGCTGCCTGCTTAGAACTCTCTCTTTAAAAACTAAAGTGTTAGAACACCAAAGCTTCCAGCAATTGAAAAGTAAGCCTTGGGGTGCATCTATGCTGTAAAATGAATCCACTTTACCTGCCATGGCTCAGTGCTTTGGAGTCATGGGGGCTGCAGTTTTACAAGGTCTTGGGCGTTCTCTGCCAAAGAGTGCTGATGCTGTGCCAAACTACAAATCCCATCATTGCATAGCATTGAGCCCCAGCCAGTAAATGAGAGGTGAGGTCCCTCAAAGAGGAGCTCCAGAAGCGGCTTCCCCTTTGGCTTCGGCTCAGAACTAAGATTACTTTATGATGCAAATCTAATGCGCACCCTGATTTTGGGAAGGTCATTTAGCCAAAAAAGGTGAGCATTACATTCAAGTAAATAGGGTACTTCACAAGAAAAATTAAGTCCTAAATACTGTTCTGAATAGAAGTCCAGTTCTATGAAAATGATAACAAGTTGAATAACTTATTCTAGCAATAAAAATAACTCCAGGTGTCAGAGGTGGCCAGGAGCTCCTTCGCACAATTTAAACTAATACACCAGCTGTGCCCATAACTTGAGATACCAGACTTGGCCACTGTAGTCCATGCCTTGGTCACATCCTGTTTGGACTACTGCAAGGCTCTCTACGTCGAGGTGCTTTTGAAGACAGTTCAGAAGCTACAATTGGTTCAGAGATCGGCAGCCAGGTTACTAACAGGAGCGCCATACAGAGAGTGGACAATTCCTACATTACGGCAGCTCCACTTGTTGATGATCTGCTTCCAGGCTAAATACAAAGTGCTGGTTATTACCTATAAAGCCCTAAACGGCTTGGGCCCAGACTATTTGAAAGACCGCATCTCCGTATATAAACCAACACGAGCCTTGTGGTCAGTGGAGGGGGCCCTGCTCTTGGTCCCACCCCCGTCTCAAGTGCAGTTGGTGGGAATGAGAGAGATGACCTTCTCCGTGATCACACACACCTCTGGAACTCCCTCCCTAAACAGTTAAAATTGCCTCCTCCCTCCTCTCCTTCAAAAAGCTATTAAAAACACATTTATTCAATTCAGCTTACGGAGAGGAGGAAGATGAAATACATCTATTTGCCTAGCAGCTAGCATCCGCCCTGTTAACCTGTTGTTTACCATCCCCCCCCCCCAATAATTTAAACCTATTTTAAAATATTTTAAATGATATTTTTATGATTTAATATGTTAGTAATCATGTGGACCCATCTTACGTCTTAGTCATTTATATTGGTTTATAACTTACTGAGTTGTTTTTTATTTGTTTATTGATTTGTTTATGTATTACTGTCAGAATTGAATGTTTGCCATTGTATATTTTGTTGTGAGACATCCTGAGTCCCTTCGGGGAGATAGGGCGGGCTATAAATAAAGTTTCATTAATTTATTTATTCAAAGAGAGCCAGCATGGTGTAGCACTTTGAGCATTGAACTAGAACAGGCCTGCACAACCTGCAGATCTCCAGGTGTTTGGGACTCCAACTCCCAGAAGTCTCTATTGCCAGACTGTCCAATGGCCAGGAATTCTGGAAGCTGAAGTTCAAAACACCTGGAGGGCCACCGGTTGTGCAGACCTGACCTAAATGAAACAGTGCAACATGGGCTTTTTCATGTGGACTATAGCTTTCAAGGGCTAAGCTGCAGGCAGCACATACTTTCACCAACTGTGCTGAAACATTGATATTTTGCATGCTGCTTTGAGTCTCTTTTGTAGGGAGAAAAAGTGGGGTGTAAATCATCATCACCATAATCTAATAGGAGATTAGACTTTCTCACTTCCCCACTAGAGGCTGCATTGTGCATGGATTGAGCATGGTTTTACCTCAGCTACATCTGCGAGGGAGCGAGACGCAAAGGAATCCCGCGAGTTTCCATCCAGCAGACTGGGCCCCAATAGAGTGGTGCTACTGGTGTTACCATTAGAGGTCGGGAGTGTTTTTCTCCCCTTCTCTGGGGAAAGAAAGCTTGCTGCAAAACAAAAACAAAAAATATTTTCATGAACAGGTCTGTGAAAAGGAAAGAAGTTCACAGAGGCAACTTATCCATCTATTGAAACATGATCAAGATATGTTCCACTCAACTAGTAGGTCTAAAAATATGTTACACAGCATTTGATGTACTATGTCTTATAATATTTGTTGTGGAGAAGTTACAAAATGTTCAGGCGAGGCTCGTAATGATCACCAATGCTCAGGATTCAGGATGTGGATTTTGGGGTGAACAGAATGGACATTGATTCACAATGTCTTTGATTTATATATCAAGTCATTGATTTATATTTTGTAAGCAAACAGGAACCCTGGGACACATATGTTCTTCTCAACTGTTCTATTTCCTTAAAAGTAACTATAGCAAGTTGACCTTTCTGGAAACTCCCAGAGTATGATTCATCCTTCAAAAAGGTTGTGCCACATCTCTACACTGTTTACAACTTTTTAAGGCATTTTAAGTATATGTATTGTATTTTAATCTGTTTTTAACACACAGTTACTATTTAAGTGCTTTAATGGACTTTTTAAACTTGTCTAGTGTGGGATTGTTAGCCACCTTGAATCCTCACAGGTGGAAACCGAGATATATATAAAGTTAATAATAACCACAAACTAGCTTGTTTTCAGTATCAGAAGTGGAGTTTTGGCAAATTCCAGTTATGTTTTCTTTGTGTGGCCATCCAGTGTTCCAGAGCAGAAACTAGGCTCCAGATTCAAAGAAGACTTAAAACTGTTTCTTGATGGCAGGCTCCATGTTCTGCTAGTTTTACAATCGTGCATTAAAAGCCAATACTGAGGTGGCTGATTGAAACGAAACACGACCCTGCAGGGTTCTTTGCAAGTCTAACCTAGAACACTGTATTGCTTGAACTCATCACTTTTATTAATTTCTCAGCCCTCTATATTGACAACAGATTGCATATAAATCCAGTGTCACACGTGCGTATGAATACAGACTTTGACTATTACAACTTATGGCAGGCATGGCCAACTTGAGCCCTCCAGGCATTTTGGACTCCAACTTCCACAATTACGAGTTGTGGGAGTTGAAGTCCAAATGCCTGGAGGGCCCAAGTTGGCCCTTGCTTGACTTACGGTATCTGAAATTAGCTGCGTCTTTTTTGTTCTTGACACAGGCTTAGTCCGCACAAAGCCCATTTCAAGAGAAAAGCAAGAAACCCAGTAGTAGAATCGATCAACCATCCCCAACCCAATGTCCTGGCATAATGCCACTCACAAAATAAGCTACTCAGGGAGGAATCAGTGGAATCGTTGGGATACCACTGTGGGTCATGGCTGGGGGAGGCGATCCAGTTCTGTTGAGGGCTGCAAGACGGGGACGGAAGACTTTTCGAGCTGTCGCTGCCATTCAGCTTGGCCGGGGACAGAGAAACATTTTCACCTACAAAAAGGAAATATTACAAAGAAATTGAAACTGCAGGAGTAACAGCCAAGGCTTTCAACCTGAAGACTGTGTTTGCTGAAAAAAGAGCCAACTTCCTGTCTTGATTCAGCCAAGATTTTTCACCTCTGTTTTAAGAGAACATCCCTTCACTAAAATTCATGCAGGCATATTGGCAATACTAAGCTGCCCCAATATTTGTGAGCTGTGACAATATTTGGTATCATGAACAATAAACTGCCCAGCTTAGTCTCTTACCATACTGACCAGAGCTGATAGCTATTTCAATGATAGAGTCACTGATCTGAGAAGCAGGCTCCCCTTGGGATAAAACGTCTTCAGGCGGTCCAGGAAGTGAGATATCCAGCAGTGCAGAGACATTGGGAGGAGAAAGGCAGGCACCAGACCCTTCTGAGGGAAGAGATGGAGTGGGGAGGCCATTGGAGGCAGAGATTTTGGGCAGCTCTGGTAGAGAAAGACCCGGAGTTCCCTATGGGAGCAAGGAGAATGATAATAATAATAACACTATGTAACACAATTTTTGTTCCTGGGTTCTAAATGTCATTTCCTAATTGGTTCTATCATAAAAAAACATAGAAAAAGGTTATTAAACTGCAAAAAAACCTTTGTTCTGGTGGGACATCCTGCAGTACATTTTCTATAGCTTTTCAATGAATATCTCACAGAATCTCAACCAATTCAACATAGATTGTGGCATCCACAAAATATTTATTGCAGCCTGGTGATTAACCTGCTATGCTAAAGCCTGGCCCTTGCACATCCTTTTCTTGTTTAACTTAATTCACCTCGTTAGTCATTTACTTTGACTCATTATCTGTTCTCATAAGCTTAGGGCAATTATCAAGATTTTGTAAGGTGAGGCTTAACCCACATCTCTCTTACCTTCCTTTTAGGCACTCTGAATAATGGTATAAACTTCACGGTGGAAATTAAAATAGAATGCAATATACTCTCAACCCAAACTGTCACTTGAGCCAATCAACCTATCCTTGCACTAAGCATGTGTCTTCTAACCCCAACTTGGATAAGTTCCTTTTAACCAGACCCTGATGATAGCAATGAGGAGGGAGAATTACATGAAGAGTGCTCTGAATCAACCATTCTGTGCTGTGCTGTGATGGTTTAAGCTTTTCCCTAATTGTCGAATAAGAAGGGAACGCCTCTATCTAGAAAGTCAACCATTAGAATCAAGTAACCCTTACTTGGAAAGCCTATCCTTTACCTGAAAGCCATCGGTGATTGCCTCCTGCTCAGGTTGCGGGGCTAGGCCGAGGAATGGCACCCGACATTCACTACTTGAACCCTGGAAAAGCAGATCCGAGATAAGAGAGTCAGATTATCAAAGGAAAGAGAGTGAAAGCTTCAAAAAATGGCGGGGTAGAAATGCCATAGAAAAAAAGGGCGGGGTAGAAATGCATGAAATAAATAATAAAAAATAAATACTTTATTTTCCAGATCAAGAGACTGGGCCACAGCAACACATGGCAGGGGACAGCTAGTATTTCTATAAAATGCATATTAATTACACAGGACTGATACTAAAACACAAGACACAAGTTTAACATTCAGCATAGTTATTTGCACATTTCAAATCCAAATCCAACCATTCCAGTGTAACAGTTATGGCCCAAACCATCCTCAATCATTATCTGGTTATAGCTATTAAGTTATTTTTCAAATAGAATGGAACCTTAAGACAACTGACCGCTGTGTTCGTGATAGGACTTCCATTTTGATGACGTGCCGTTGCTGAATCTTGTCCTGCGACCATTGCAGTCACTGAACTTGGAGACAGCGGAGAAACGCCTGGCAAGCCTTCAGCACCAAGGACAGGCAAAGGACTGCCAGGGATAATTCCAGCACTTTTGGCTGCTAAATCAATAGCACCTTTTAAAAGAGAATGGAAAAGTATAAGAGAAAGGTTTTCCTTTATCCATTCAGAAAGCCGAAGTGTAGGTCCTACTACTAAGCTATACCTAATTCTACAGAAAAGCTTATTATTCCTGTATAGCAAGATGTTAGCTTTCGACGACCTTGAATAATATCTAATTTGTGTGATGAAGAAGAAGAATCCATAAACACGGAAGGTCAATGGTATTTCTGTATTGCCTCCCAGCCCACTAGGGCTCCCAAGCTGACTAAAAAATTAAAAACAATTAAAGTAGTACAAAGATAAAACATCTTGAAAACACATTAAAATATTCTATACTCTTCAAAATAGTTTAAAAACAAAACTAAGTGATTTCAAAACATTTAAACAAAGCAATTTCAAACATTTTAGTTATCTGCTAGAATTTCAAAAAAGATGACAGTCAATCTAGCTTCCTGGCATAGGAGATTCAACAGCTGCTTCTACGTGTGTGTGTGTGTGTGTGTACAATCTAATGTTTTATAATTTTTACTGTTAATTCTGTTTCCTTCTTTGCATTGTATTTGTTGTTTTATATTGATTGGTTGTGCTATTAACTGTTTATCCCACACTGTTTATTGCATTGTATTTTATTGTATTATTTATGCTGTGAGCCGCCCTGAGTGCCTTCTGGATGATGATGATATTATTACTGAGTTTGTACTTCTTATGTACAAACTCAATAATCTCGGAGTCTCTGTAAAAATTAAGATATATATTTATATATGTATATGTGTGTGTGTGTGTATACACATAGCTTAAATTATATATATATATATATATACACACACACACACACACACACATACATACACACACATACACACCCACACACAGGCATATATATATACACATACATACATGCACACACTCATACACTGACCTAACTTTGTAATGTGTTAAGACCTCTTCTGAGGATCTTAAATTTTACAGACTCATATGAGAAATACAGGCAGCCCAAGTTACGAACAAGACAGCTTCTGTAGATTTGTTCGTAAGTTGAATTTCTATGTAAGTTGGAACAAGGACTTTTTGAAGTATAAGTAAAGGTAAAGGTTTCACCTGACATTAAGTTTAGTCGTGTCTGACTCGGGGGTGGTGCTCAACTCCATTTCTAAGCCAAAGAGCGGGGATTGTCTGTATACGCCTCCTGGGTCATGTGGCTGGCATGACTGTATAGAGCGCTGTTATCTTCCTACCAAAGTGGTACCTATTGATCTACTCACATTTTAATGTTTTCAAATTGCTAGGTTGTCAGAAGCTGGGGCTCCCTGGATTCGATCAGCAAGTTCAGCAACTCAGCAGTTTAACCCATTGCACCACCAAGGAACCGTTTTTTGAAGTATAACTCAAACCATATGTATGTATGTATGTATGTATGTATGTGTGTATATGTATAATATAGAGAGAGGGAGGGAGGGAGAGAGAGAGGCAGGTTTTGGATGGCATAGGGAAGTGTTAACAAGCCTGTGGTGTTTGTTTTGCTGTCAGGGTCCCTGTTTAGAAGATTTCACCTCACTTTCTGTCCCTGCGACCATTGGATTTTGTAAAAATGTGGCTTGTTGTAGCAATAAGAATTAGGAATAAAGCTTCATTGGAGATCCCTTTCCCCCATGATAATAACTCTTTCAAGAGTGGATTTCCCTTCCTTCCGAGGGGCAGATTTTGTTCACTTCCTGTTGTCTCATCCCCATTCTTAACTATGAGTCATTTGTAAGTCAAGTGTTTGTAACTCAAGGACCACTGTTTTAAATGCCATTATCCATTGTAAACAGTGAAAAGTATGAGAAAAAGAGTTTAAAGGTCCCTTCTTTCTTCTTCATTCATTGCTAATATAATATTCCACTAGGCAAGTTCTCACAACTTTTGAAACCTACTGGACAGATGGTTGGAGGCTTGAGCTGGGAAAATCTTGGGAACAATGGGACGGGACACGGCAACCTTTGAAAGAGAAGACTGGATCGGCCGAAAAGATCCTCTACCTAAAGATGGAGATTTAAAGCATCCTCAGAAATGGTTCAAAGTGCTCTGTTGGCTGCCACTTCTGTCCCCAAGGGTCTTTTTTATTAAGGCAACATACCGATTACCACAAAAAAATACTGGATGATATGAAACCAAAGGTTGGATTTTTTGTTCATTCGTTCAGTCGTCTCCGACTCTTCGTGATGGACCAGCCCACACCAGAGCTCCCTGTCGGCCGTCACCACCCCCAGCTCCTTCAAGGCCAGTCCAGTCACTTCAAGGATACCATCCATCCATCTTGCCCTTGGTCGGCCCCTCTTCCTTTTGCCTTCCACTTTCCCCAGCATAATTGTCTTCTCTAGGCTTTGCTGTCTCCTCATGATGTGGCCAAAGTACTTCAACTTTGTCTCTAGTATCTTTCCCTCCAGTGAGCAGTCGGGCTTTATTTCCTGGAGGATGGACTGGTTGGAATGTATTGTCGAAGGCTTTCATGGCTGGAATCACTAGGTTCTTGTGGGTTTTTTCGGGCTATAGGGCCATGTTCTAGAGGCATTTCTCCTGACGTTTCGCCTGCATCTATAGCAAGCATCCTCAGAGGTAGTGAGGTCTGTTGGAATTAGGACAATGGGTTTATATATCTGTGGAATGGCTGGGGTGGGGCAAAGAGCTCTTCTCTGCTAGAGCTAGATGTGAATGTTTCAACTGACCACCTTCATTAGCATTTGAAGGCCTGCCTGAGCCTGGGAAAATCTTTTGTTGAAAGGCGTTAAGATGTGCCTGGTTGTTTCCTCTCTGCTGTTTTGCTGTTGTAATTTTAGAGTTTTTTAATACTGGTAGCCAGATTTTGTTCATTTTCATGGTCTCTTCCTTTCTGTTGAAATTGTCCACATGCTTGTGGATTTCAATGGCTTCTCTGTGTAGTCTGACATGGTGGATGTTGGTGTGGTCCAGCATTTCTGTGTTCTCAAATAATATGCTGTGTCCAGGCTGGTTCATCAGGTGCTCTGCTATGGCTGACTTCTCTGGTTGAAGTAGTCTGCAGTGCCTTTCATGTTCCTTGATTCGTGTTTGGGCCTTGCTGCGTTTGGTGGTCCCTATGTAGACTTGTCCACAGCTGCATGGTATACGGTAGACTCTTGTAGAAGTGAGAGGATCCCTCTTGTCCTTTGCTGAACGTAGCATTTGTTGGATTTTCTTGGTGGTTTGTAGATTGTTTGTATGTTGTGTTTCCTCATCAGCTTCCCTATGTGGTCAGTGGTTCCCTTGATGTATGGCAGGAACACTTTTCCTCTGGGTGATCTTTGTTTTCCCAGGCTCAGGCAGGCCTTCAAATGCTCATGAAGGTGGTCAGCTGAAACATTCACACCTAGCTCCAGCAGAGAAGAGCTCTTTGCCCCACCCCAGCCATTCCACAGATATATAAACCCATTGTCCTAATTCCAACAGACCTCACTACCTCTGAGGATGCTTGCCATAGATGCAGGCGAAATGTCAGGAGAAATGCCTCTAGAACATGGCTCTATAGCCCGAAAAAACCCACAAGAACCTAGTGATTCCAGCCATGAAAGCCTTCGACAATACAGGTTTAGCCATATTTGAAAGAAACTTGCTGATTTCATTTGGGCTTTTAAACTATAACTAACTAAACACCCTGTTTAGAATATGTACATACTTGCGTCTTACCTGTGACAGAAGAGTTGGATAAGATGGAGAAGGAACAGACATGCTGCGAGGGATTTCCTGATGGCCTTGGAAGCAGTGTTCTCTAAGAAAGGAAGCCAATATAACATTTGAAAGGACTGCTGAAGTAAACAATAAACTCTTTGTACAATGCAGTCAGAATACCTCTGAGTCACTCATATTTTCAACACATTCACAGCATCACAGTGAATTTTTTTTTCATTTGCGGAATGTGCTGCAGTATGTTCCTCCTGCACGAACAAAGTGTTTGCTATGTAATAAACTTTTTCCATGTTTTTATGATAGAATCAATTAGGAAGTGACATTTATAACCCAGGAACAAAAATAGTGTTAAATAGTGTAATGCATTTACATGTTGGATGAGTCCATATCCAAAATGGGATGAAACCACCTGTTCTTTCTCCTCCATGCCTTCTCATATTGGAAATTTCATAACTTATTGGCAATAACTGCACCATAAGTTTATTGAAAAGGTAAAAAATAACGTCACATCTGTTTGGCAAATGTGAATCTCCATGAACATGTGGAGACCACCTTTTGAAAACCACTAGTCAAGAAAAGCATGGCCTTGTTAGAAGTCAACCTTTTGAACAAGTGAGATTTATAAGTATTCATGTAATGGCACACAGGTAACTCAGCTGTTAAATTGAAGAACCATGTCTTTAAACTGCCAAGGATAAAGACATGCCACTACAAAAATATATCGAGTTAGCAGAGGATGGTAGTTTCTTAGAAGATGAAATTTGCAATTGCCAAAAAGATATACACTCCCTTGAAACCTCTCAGTTAAAATATGCACTCAGAGAATTTTTTTAAAAAAAGTCTTCTTTGAAAAATAACATATCCTGTTTACTCACAAAAACTTGTATTAATTCACCATACAGGCACATTTCTTATTGAAGTTAAGTTATAAATAGGATGTAGATTTCTCTCTGTGTCGAGTGCAAAGGGTATCCTTCCAACAATAGGCCATAGTCTTTAAGTATAGTTGTACTCACTGGAGTCCATAAGTCATACTTCTGTGCTAAAGGAAGTTGCATCCACTTCCACTGAGGTGTGATGAAAACACATCTACCTCCAATGAGGTGGTAAGCAGATTGAATTCAAAATGGAGTCCTGAGTCTGAACATTCTCAATATAATCACATGTCTATAACTCTTCCCACACCAAAGAGATAAGTCAAACTGGCAATCAACATATACATAGATTACAGGTTAGCAAATACATACATAAACAAATAAATAGTGAAAGGCTTGGGAGGTTCTATTACTAACATCCCAAACAGTGTCTGTCTGGAGAAAGTCTGATCATCATGGCACTGAATGCAGAAATACTTTGAAATGGCATCAAGGCATGTGGCTCTATTGTTGCAGGTTTCTTTCCTAAACTTGTAGAAGATTATGGCCTTATCTGCCTTTATGGCAGTGAAATAGATGTACAGAGCACTTAAGACAGGAATGAGCAGTCTTCCTACAGCCTCCAAAATGCCTTCTAGGGAAAATGGATTGGGGGGAGGGGAGCACATTTTCACAATAATGTATGCTGTGAAATGCTTAAGGGTCGCCTTGAAGCCCAAGTACTGCAGGACCAGCATAGAGAGGAGTCCCTCTCTGCCCCAAAATGAAGGTGGTCATTCCCTAAGAAAGGATGTGCTGTGCTAAGCAGACAAACCAAAGAAAGCAAATGCATCCACTGGGAGGTGGAAAACATCGGAACAAAATAGTGCCCACCCAACAATATGCATTTTCTCTGACCTGCACTACCAGTGGCTTCCGTAGATGTCTGCTACGTAATTTCCTTGGTTTTGGCAAGAAGAAATCAGACTGCATCTGAGAAACAAATAAAAAGGCAGCTTGGAACATGTATTCTGTTATCTGGCATTACTTTGTCAACCACCAGAAAGCAGCCTTCCAGTAACCACCAGAAAGCAGCCTTCCAGTAACTTTATGGTAGCAGAGGGATGTTACACTCATGAGTTTCTCCTTTCTGTGAGTATTGTCTTGTATCTTCCTTCACTCTGGCAGCAGAGATGAGGAACAAACAGGCTACTTGCAAACAAACCAGGATAAGTTTACTCAAGGCTATTTGGTTGGCCTTTAGATTAAGTGGAAGGATGGCAAGCATGCTTTCTTCCACTGATGATAAAACGGTGAAGTAACAAAGCATTGCAGAACAGGCAATTTCACCTACTGGGTGGAACCCTGACTGGAAGGAAAATAATTTAACTGGAGTCAACATGATCAAAGTTAAGGGTCCAACTATGCACTTCTGGAGACTCACTGCAAAACGAAGGCCACCTTGCCCTGGACATCTGCACATCTGTGAGGCTTGTAGGACATTTAAGAAAAACAAAAGAATGTACATAACTCTGACCACATTTTAGAGAGGTGAACAGCTAAATATGCACTCACATGAAATCATCAGTAAGAAGAATGCATATATTAGGCAAAGGCATGTAAGAGAGGACAAAATGAAGTCTCAGAACTTGAGAGACTTTGTTTTATAGATTGTGTTTCATGTTATTTTTTCCAATTTTCTTTTAAAGACAAGGGATGGAATGCAAATGCAGGTGGGATTTGCAGGACCAGAACAAAATAAGGACTGATTTTTTTTCATATCCCTAGGCTGCATTTACTAAACACTGTTTGGTCTAACTCCCATGATGTTAAACATAATAAGACACTTGGGAAAATCCTAGTCTGGCATTGAATAAATATTTAGTTAATTTTCCAATTTTAGAGGGTAGCTGGATTTTGATCAGTTAACTGGGAGCCACTGAACCCGTGACAGCTCAAACTTACACTGATTGTGTCCAAGCGCTGTCGGAAAGAGAGCTCAGCTTCTTTGCTTTGTAAGAAAAGCTTCCCATGCCGGCTGTTGGGTGGGAGAGTGGTTGGAACAGCAAAGAGGCTCCGATCTGCATCGGCACTTTCCGAATTTGAAGGATCAGCCAACAAGAGTGGCCTGGAGGAATTTCTCAAACCTAGTGGGGTTCCCAAAAACAAAATAAGGGACAAGAAAAGCAAACAACAAGCAAGACTTCCCATAAAGCCATGAACACTCATGGAGTTAGAATTGTAGTTAGAACTGACTTCCGCTGAGTATTAAAAATCTCTAAAATTATAACAGTAAATAAAGAACAAAACTCAAACACAGGGAAACTCCAGACAAGAAACAATCAGGAACAGCTAATCACCTCGCTACAAAGGATCCCCCCAGGCAGTAACAAGTCACACCTAAAAACTGTCAATCATCAAATGATAATCAAGGTGGCCAATTGAAACATTTACACCTAACTCCAACAGACAAGAATTCTTTCTCTCACCCTGGACTTTCCACAGATATATAAACCCAATTTTCCTAGTTTCCAACAGACTTCACAACCTCTGAGGACGCCTGCCATAGATGCAGGTGAAACGTCAGGAGAAAGTGCTTCTAGACCATGGGCATATAGCCCAAAAAACCTACAACAACCCAGTTCCACTGACATTGTTCAGAAATCCACATGTTTTTCATAGAAGAGATAATACACATTGATCCTTAATCAACCAGCCTGATCACAACTCTTCTGAAAAAAAATATCATTGGACTAAAATGAGATGATGAGCAACAAAAAGTATGTTCTGACAAGGCTAATTCAGGATGCCAATTTTAAGTTGGCCTACACTTCTCCCTTCTGCCTGATTCATTACAGTGGAAGAAAAGCCCTTATAAATGCATGTAAATATTGAAGACCATGCTCATAATATCGCTCAGTTCATACACATACACTGGAATACAAAATCAGTCATTTTCACTCTCTAGGTTTTTAATTCCCATGTTATACATACATCTACACACAGAGCTATGTTATGCTCATGTTTGTGTTCGGCATTCCCAGTGAAAGATGGTAAAAATGAACCTTAACAAGCCCTGTGTGAAGTAACCATCACTTATGTGAAGCCTATGTTGCTTGATTCCCTGAATCCTTTGCCACACAGAGAAAGATGTGGCCAACTTGACTGGAGGAAGAAATGTCAAAACTACTGCTGTGAGACAAAGACAGACAAATATAGACAATGTACTTTTTGCAGAATGTGAAGTGCACTTCTGCACTATACTCTGAGACACCCTGAGGTCTGACAAGAAAGGAGAGAAAGTATAAAGCAAATCATGCAAATGCCTATTGATCTCAGCGATGTCCCCACCTGAGGAGCTGGACGGAGCGCTGGGGGAAAGGGTCTTCTTGTGAAGGGCAGGCTGGTTGCGAGCGCAGCTGGGGCTCCTCATGCTGACGGCGATCACCTTCCCAGGAGGGGTCAGAGTGTGCTCTTCCTGAGTGGGTTTGATGGGGGAGGTGGCCACAGAGTTCATGTCAGCAATCTGCAGAGGAAAGGGTTTCTCAGTTTCTGTTGACTCAAAAACAGCACAGTTTAGATCAGGTGGGGCAAACTTCGGACCTCCCTCCAGGTGTTTTGGACTTCAACTCCCACAATTCCTAACAGCCTATTGGCTGTTAGGAATTGTGAGAGTTGAAGTCCAAAACACCTGGAGGGCTGAAGTTTGCCCATGCCTGTCATAAACCCCAACTCTGTCCTTGATTTTCCTGTGAGACCCTAAATTATGTCCATGCTTTCCCCCCTCTAGTTTTAAGAATATTTCTTTTCACCAAAGTTGTTCTCATTTTCTCTTTTGTGTATTTTATGTTTAGGCAATTCCAAGGTTAAAAAAATATTCATATGTGTGTGCCACATACTGGATATATTATTATGCAAATGTGTACGTTTCCCTGCATTTATTTCTTTATTTAAAACACTAGCTGTACCCGGCCACGCGTTGCTGTGGCCCATTGTGGAGAAATGGGAAAGAAAGAAAAGAGGAAGAGCTGGTTTCTAAGCTAGCAGTACACAACTGAAGTGGCAAAGTGTCAACCTAAGATAGGCCCATTTCAGTCTCCTCGAGGCTGATGTGTGGAAGGGCCCTGGGTTACCTGAGTCCACACTGCCATATAACCCAGTTTTTATAAAGGTATTGTTGTCATTATAGACATATAGATATTATTATAGGCATATAGATATTACAAGGGTTTAACCCACTGCATCACGGGGGCTTATCTGAGTCCACACTGCCATATATTCCAGTTCAAAGCAGATGTGGGATTTTATTCTGCTGTGTGGAAGGGGCCTGGATTATATGGGTGTGTGGAAGGGCCCTGGGTCCACACTGTCATATATTCCAGTTGAAAGCAGACAACGTGGGATTTTTTACAGCTGTGTAAAAGGGGCCCTCAGATAGACATTGTGGGTTATTCTGCCTTGTTATTCTGGGTACTCTGGCTATATGGCAGGGCCCCCAGGGGCCCCTCAGAAAGGGCAAGGGACGAAGCCTCGAGGCGCTTTTAGCCTTTCCCGCCTTTTTCACTTTTTAAAAAATTTCTTTAGTTTCCTTCGGTTCAGGCGCTTTTCCGTTGAAGTCTGCGAGCCTCCCCCCCCCCCCCCGCCTTTGCCTTCCCTTCCCAGCACGCGCCTCTTTTGCTGCTCTTCCGTCGTCTCTCCCTCCGGCCGGAGCCATCCAAAAAGGCAAGAAGAAAGCGGGGAGGGCGGAGGGAGGGAAGACGGAAGAGCTGAGAGGGAAGAGCGGCAGCAGCAGCAGTGTTCCTTGAATTTCGCCTCAGTAGCTTTCCAAGCGCGCTCCGACGGGCAGCGCCTCGGAGCGCTCCTCCTGTCGGCTGGGGCTTTTTTTCCTGCAGAGGGAAGGCTGCGGCACTTGGCAGCGGCGCTGCTGCTTCCCGATGGGGAGCTCGGGCAAAGGGCTCCCTGCCCGGCGGCGCCTTCGACGTAAGCAAGCAAAGCGGCATAAAAGCGAGGGCAGCGAGGTGCGGGACCCAGAGGCTGGCTGGAGGTGCCATGCAGCGGCAGCCAAAGGAAAAGGAGGAGGAGGAGGAGAAGGAACCCCTGCTGCTCAGCCAGGAGCCGGTAAGACCGTGCCCAGCCCTGGGAGTTGTAGTTCGCTACTGCTTCCAAGGATGGGGGTCTCTTGGAAGACAGCAGAGCTGCAACAAAAGACACATCCTGATCCTGACATACTATTACTACTGATAGTATTACTACTATTCATACATACTAAGCATGGGCAAACTTAGGCTCTCCAGGTGTTTTGGACTGCAACTCACACAATTCGCGCCGGGGGACTTCGGGGAAGAGCCTTTGCGCAGCGAGGAAGGATGGGGGCGTGGCTTGCGCAGAGGGTGCGTTGGCCGGCCATGTGCGCGCGGCGGGGCGCCATTGCGTATGCTCAGTTGTCTTGTCTAATTGTGAGCGTGTTTTAATGTTGTTTAGAATTTTGAATTGATTTGTGCATACCTTGTGGGTTGAGGTATGTGCATGGTAAATTTGGTAAATTTTCGTCTGGGTTTTTTTTTAGTTTTGCTGTCCCATTGGACGCCCTTTCTCTTTTTATATATATAGAAGATTTATATTCCACCCTTTTCACCCTGCAGGGGACTCAGGAAGGAGCACAATATAAATATGCCAAAGATTCAATGCTGGGACATAAAACCATAAATAGATACAAACATCAACATTTGTATTCCTATTATGTTCCCTAGAAGCAAAAGTATTAGGATAAGGCTAGAACTTCAGGCAACAAGAGCCATGGAGGACATTACCCTACCACTACTCTTCAAGCAGGTTCAGTTGACAGCTTTTTTACTAAGGATGGGGGAGCTCGTTTTGGCCCTTCATTCCTGATAATAAAACGTCTTGGGGGCAGCCATGACTGGAAAGCAGTGATCCTGAGTACAAGCTCCAGTTATACTTACCGGTTTGGGATTAACTTCAGTGGAAATGAGTTTTATGAGGCAACTGAGGAGCTTTTGTTTGTGACAAGTGGCTGGAGGCTGGACAGATTTGGAGATGGGCACCTGTTCCCTGGACTCCTGGGTTTCTGGCCCAAGGGCAACCAGCCAGTCGTACTCCAGCTGCAACTTGTTTGGCTTGCCCATCATGAGGTAGACTTCAGCCAAGGTAAGGCTCTCAGAGGTCCGTAAGCTCCAGCCCTCTTCTCTGACCTGCTGTGCGAGGCGGCTAGGGTCATCCTTGAGAGTCTTGGTGACCAGGTGTCCCTGAGATGATGGCGGCGGCAGGAGAGAGGAGCCAAGCTTCTCCTGCAAGTCCTCCGTTACTGAATCAGGCAGCTCTTTAGCACCCATCCCTGCTTGTGGTCCACAGCAGTTCGAGGCCTGAGTTTCAGATGCGGACAGACTGCTAGGCGAGGCCATCATGCCTCTTGTCGGTTGGGTGGGACTAAGGCTGCCAGCCTCCGAGATACCAGGTAGAAACTTTCCAGGAGGACTGGTCCTTGGCAAGGCAACAGCGTTCCCATTTGCTTTGTCTGTGCAAAGACACTTATCTGGGACAATGAGGTCCTGGCAAGATTTCATGTACCGGGGAAAAGGGTCAAGGAGAGACAGTTCTTCTAAGTCGGGGGGCAGAGTGCCACAATCACAGTTCGTGCCATCAGAGGGGAAACTACTTGCTAAAGCAACGGCCGGCATCTCCCCGTCTTCAACACAATGGACTGGGGGAACTGATTTATCAAGACTTGGACCTGGGTCTTGAAGTCTGGAAGACGACTTATTATCAAAACTGTTTGTAACACTGATACTTGGGGACACTCGTTCCAGAAGGCCAGCTTCCAGGGAGCAGTCTTCGGGATTCACAGTAGTGTCCGATACAGATTGAGTGTTTCTACTTGCTTCTGTAGTGCTCTCCGTTCGGGTCCCACCCTTAGCATCTGTCCCCCGTGGGTATTTCACATGCCCTCTGGCTGTCCCTTGACCGCTCTGGATGCCTAGAATCTGAGCAGGTGGCAGCAAATGAGAGTCCTTTGCATTCTGCTTATACCTGCCAGATTCCTGCCAGTGCACCGTACAGAAGGCTTTGGAGTGTACAACCCTGGCAACTCCAGGGAGGGGTGTAAGCGTGCAATTCTCGCCTGGAAAGAGATGGAGCACCACCTTCTCTTCTGAATAGTTGTCGCTTGCTTCACAACTATTGGAGTCTTGTAGCTGCCTTTCTGCAAGTGTTTTACGCTAATTGCAAGGGGTTAAGGAATGCAACAACGTTAAAATAGGACAGGGAATTTATCTATAATGTACTCCCCTGCTAGACACACGTATCAACTTTTAATGTAAATAAATTCTTTGTAAAGGTAAACTCATGAAAAAATTAAGTGGCATTTTAGCCACCATACAGCTAATTCTAAAATAAGGGGAAAGAAGTGCATAAGAAATGCCAAGCTTCAAGAACTCTAATGATTAGTTTGCTGTGAGTTTTCTTGGCTGTATTTATTTATTTATTTATTTCCGTCACTTTTACCCCGCCCTTCTCACCCCCTAGGGGGGACTCAGGGCGGCTTACAGAGAAAGGCACAATTCGATGCCTTGTCACATATACATACATATATAAAAACTATTAAGCAATTACAAACAATTAAAAATTAAAACAATTAACAATTAAAAACTATTAAGCAATTATGACCATGTTCCAGAAGCATTCCCTACTGACCTTTCGCCCACATCTATGGCAGGCATCCTCACAACCTCTGAGGATGCCTGCCATAGATGTGGGTGAAACGTCAGCAGGGAACGTGGTCATACAGCCAAGAAAACTCACATCAACCCAGTGATTTTGGCCATGAAAGCCCGATAACTCTAATTACATTGCCAGTCATGTCAAAGGTTTCCCAATTGTGGAGTTTGTTTCCAAAAGGGATCAAATCCCACCCCTCCAATAAAAAATGAGCTATTTTTTGGTTAGGAGTAGAATATTATGCACAGATTAAACTACCAAAATGTATCAAACCCATTTGTTACAGGATTTAGAAAATGGTGTTTAATACAAAAGAATGCAAATCCTAAGCATGTTTTTTTTTCATTCCAATAAAAATCTTTCAGATGGACACAATTGAGAAGCTTACGTCAGTTTTATTTATGTCTTTTTTCTTAATTTAAAATTTTGCTTGTTTAATTTATTGTTTCTTGTTTTGAAATTTTTCAAATGTCACACACCTTTTCGTATATCTTATAAATACATAAAATGCCCCCCCTCCCCCAAGACAACATACACCAACTAAGGATGACGACAACAAGGAGGATACAATGCGGACTTCGTGAAGAGCCCATTTCTGCTTCAGGAATTCAATGAGGCTGGATACTTTACGGTGCAGCTCCACAATCATCCTGGCAAGTCATGTAAGGAAGGATAAAATGAAGGAGTGAGCAAATAGTATCTCACTAACAATGTAGAGGAGCCCCCAGTGGCGCAGTGGGTTACACCCTTGAGCTGCTGAACTTGTGATTAAAAGGTTGGTGGTTTGAATCTGGGGAGTGGTGAGCTCCCACTGTTAGCCCCAATTTCTGCCAACACAGCAGTTCGAAAACATGCAAATTTGAGTAGATGAATAGGTACCACTTCTACAGGAAGGTAATGGCACTCTATGCAGTCATGCTGGCCATATGACCTTGGAGGTGTCTACGGACAATGCTGCCTCTTCGGCTTAGAAATGGAGATGAGTACCACCCCCCAGAGTCAGTCATGACTAGACTTAATGTCAAGGGAAACCTTTACCTTTAACAACCTAGAACAGTGACCAGATTTTTGCTAATAGTGGACAGAATGATTCAAAGGCTGTAGAAATTAAATCCTAATACTGCTGTCCAACTTACAGACTCTTTATTAATCTGTTTGCAATTATGAAACCAATTTTAGGTTCAGGTTTGGAGCTCCCTGTCCATATCTAGCATCTCATTTCAGGATACCTGAGACGTGGGTTCTGGGCCAGGCTCTGCACACGGGCCCACGCATGATTATTTCGCGGCTGCAGCTCCACAGGGACTTTCAGGGGGAGACGCACCGGCTTTTGATCCTCCTCATCGCTAATCCCTGGGAGGAAAGAAGTAGAGACAATGCTTGAAGCTGCTCCAAGGATGTGCTGCACAGTAACAGGCTCATAAGGGAAGCTGAAGACACAGAGAAATTGCATTTGATGTGTTCAAGAGGGCCAAAAATTTTCCAACAGGAAAACAGGAACCTGACAAACAAATGTGTTCATGTCCCAAGATTTCTACTTTCAGGATGTCCATACACATTGCAGGGATCTCTAGGACAGTGTAAATCAACAACGTCATGTCCTTCGGAGATTTTGCTTGCACCTTAATCAGCTCCAGCCAACATGAACAGAGTTGTAGTCCTTAATTCCAGGAGGACATCAGAGAGAAAAGGCTGATTTTATTTTTAGATACAATAGTAATAGTCTCAATAATAACGGCCATAGCAGTAATTATGATGCAAAAAACTGTCGCAGACAGAAGACATATTCTAATTTCATATGACACAGATTTTCTTGCAATACAAATCCAGCTATGATTATGCCGGCATGTGATAAAACTTTCAATTGCCATTCTGCTGGCACTTGAGTGGGAATGAGGCCACTAGCAAGACACAACCACATGTCTTATGTATGGTATCATATGTTTGTTGTGTAGATTATAAGCCTGGGGGCAAATTAACATTTGTAAGCTGCCTAAGTATAGTGGCTTACATATGTCCTTTTTGAAATTCATTTTGTTGGTTTTCAACAATCAGTTCTCCAATCTGTTATGGCCATTTTGGATTCTGATCCTGACTTCTTGACTATTAAGATAGCCCTCTTAATTTGGTACCATCGGCAAACTTGATCAGCATGCCCTCTAAGCCTTCATCTATGTCATTAATAATGATGTTGTTCAGCCCTGAAAGACCCAGGGCTGAACCCTGCAGAACTCCACTAGTCACTTCTTTCCAGGATGAAGAGGAACCATTGGTGAGCCCCCTTTGAGTTTGGTCCGCTATGCTACCTCTTGATCCACTTCTGCCAGCTGCACAGCACCTACAAACTGGAGATACATGCTCAGCAGCCAAGTGATAAGTGGAGTGTACTAAATCTTGTGCAGATCCATTCAGAACATGATCAGAACATATTTGGACATATTCATACAACATACTGTGGGAACAGGCCAGGCAATACACTTTGCTCTTTTCCTACAATTAATTCCAGCCTGTTTTGCTTCTGCTACGGTCTCTTACATACCGTCTGGATCACAGAGCTTCTTCAGAGCCCTGCACATCGGGGCTTTGATACGAAGATTCCTCCCTTTGTAGCGCACAGTTGTTGCTCTAGGAAAGAGTAGAACAGTTGGGGCATCAGTGGAACAGCAGGTCTCCAAAAAAATTTCATATAGGCTTTATGCAAAAGTCAATAAAACATTTGGATGTTGCATGGTTTATCTGGGCTTCAAAACTACAAAGGAATTATTATACAATATCTTGTAGATTTTTAAACCACCCAGTTGTCTCAGTAGCATAATGTTTTTAAAACATATGAAGTAGAAAAAGGAATTAACTGAAGACTGCCAAATATGAATTCAAACAAAACAACAGAAAATAAAACATTTTTCAGGTGCTTCAGGAGAATGTTTGTCCCCAAAATCTATGTAAAATAGATAAATATTAGCTGGAATTACCATATATACTTGAGTTTTTCAGCCCTTTTTTAGGCTGAAAATGCCCCCATCAGCTTATATTCAAGTCAATGTTATTTATTATTTTACTGTTATTAAGATTATTTTTATTACATTTATTAATTTTCTCTATTTATTACTATTATTATTACCTTGCAGTCATGCCGGCCACATGAACTTGGAGGTGTCTATGGACAACGCCGGCTCTTCGGCTTAGAAATGGAGATGAGCACCACACCCCAGAGTCAGACATGACTGGACTTAATGTCAGGGGACAACCTTTACCTTAACCTTATTACCTTTACAATATTTTACTTTATGATGATGATGATTACATGTATTATTCCGCTCTATTATTACCGTTATTATTACACCTCCATTATTTTACTCCATGATGATGATGATGATTATTATTACAGTCATTATTTTACTTTATTATTATTGGAAGGATACGTAAGCACATTGACATTGAAGAAGGTTAGAATAATGATTTAATCAGAGTTGGACAGTCTTATCTTAAATTCCAGTTTTATGTAAATATTCCAAAACATTTAACCTAATGATGCCTCAATTAATGTCATTTTATTGGTATCTATTTTTATTTTGAAATTTGCCAGTAGCTGCTGCATTTCCCACCCTTGGCTTATACTCGAGTAAATACATTTTCCCAGGTTTTTTTGTGTGGTAAAATTAAGTGCCTTGCATTATTTTTGGGCGGGCTTATACTTGAGTATATACAATAATTAAACTTTTTTGCAACTTGCATTACCCTAGTTTATGAACTGACAAATCCAGGAGGACAGACTCCTGTCTTGAACAGCTGATGAACTGATATAATAAAACATTTCAAAAGATAGCAATTATATACTGTTTATATTTTTTAGAAGAGAAATTACTTACCCAACTTGGATAAGCTCATTGAGTTTAGCTGCATTTTTGTCATCCATACCTTTAAATAAAATGAAGAATAAAACATGGGCAAGGTTGAAGAATTGCATGTTTTGGGAAAGGTAATAATGTCTAGATTTGATCTTTATTATTGGACAGTGGTGATTCTTAAGGACAGAGCATTTCAATGAAAATCCTACAAGAAGAATTTTTGAAGGATTTTAGAAATACAAAAAGAGGAGAAGAAAGGGGAGATGGTGGCCTTTCACTGTCAGTATCCAATGCTCCATTCTTTGATTGAGGTGAGATGGAATCCATAGAGTTTAGGACAGATCCAAGGTACTTAGATGATTTTAAGAACAGGTTGTGGCTGGGAATACACTCTGAAATATCTGCTAAAGCAGAGAAGCTATGGTGACTTTTACCTACTTCTAGTTTTCTACTAATGTAATAGGTATACCCCACTAGCACCCTTACAAAACAAGGGAGCATTGGAAGAAAATTCTTTAGTGATTTATCAGGCCTAAAAAAAAATCTTGCGGGTTACAAGTTACTGTGACACATTTCTTAATTCTACAATCTGTAACAGATCTGTAACAGATCTGCAAAACCCTACAACTTAGAGCAGTAAGAATTTGGCCTGCCTGGTTAGTTGAAAAAAAATATTGTAGAGAACTTTAGGACTTCACCTAACTTCCTATGAACGTAATACAGGCAGTCCTTAGGTTCTGTAGGTTTGTTTGTAAGTTGGAACAAGGATATTTTTAAGTGTAACTCCAGTCATCTATAAGTGCATGTCCACTTACACAGACAAACTGTTGCCTCCATAAACAGCTAAAGCTCCCAAACTTGGCAAACATACTTGATATGTTGAATTTTGCTTACTAGAGGGGTTGGGGGGAACTGGCCTTCCTTTCTGGGAGTTGTAGTTCACTCAAAAAAAGAGAAACTGTGACCTCCACCAATGATGGACCTGACCATATTTAGAACACAGAACCCCCATGACTAACTCAACTTGCTGGAGGGGTTTGAGGGAACTGACTCACCATGATGGGAGTTGTAGTTTACCCTACAGCCAGAGAGCACACTGAAACCCACTGATGATGCATCTAGAGCAAACTTGCCTAACATAACAAACTTTAAGTACTGATGGAATTTCAAGGGGTCAACCTGGCATGATGTCAGTTGTAGTTAATTCACAACCTTATGCATTTTGTACAATTTCAAAAAGGACTTTTTGAAATAACTTGGGCAATGTCGGGTACCCAAGGTAATCTATACAAAACTTTATATTGCATAGAGAAGGGTTATTTTATTTATCGTGTCATCAGCAGCCAGACATCTGTATTACATTTTTAACAAAAACAAACAAAATAGAGAAGGGTTAACACCCCTGAGGTGTTGATTTTACTGTCTGTGCCGAGGATTTCACTCCACTTTCTGTCCCTGTGAGAATTGGATTTTAAGAAATTTGGCTTGTTGTGGAAACAAGGATTGGTGATAAAAGCTTCAATGGAGACCCTTTTCCCAGTGATAATTGTCACCAGAGTGAATTTCTCTTTCTAGGGGTAGATTTCCCCTCACTTCCTGTTGTCTCACCCCATTTGTAACTAGGAGTTAGATGTTTGTAACTCAGGGACTGCCTGCAAAGCTTTCCAACCCTTCAACAACAGATGCCTAGCAACCCTAATTGGGACATCAATTAGTTGTGTGCAGGAAATTCCCACTGTTCCAGAAGGGAAGAAAAGCAGCCACATCCTCAACATGAAGGCAACATCTTCTTCTCCTCCATCTCTGAGGGGAAAGCTTTGGGAAATGTTTGGAGGAGTAGCAGGAGAAGGTGGCTTTTACAAACCTCCACCCAACCTCTCCTTTCTGATACCCATAAATACCTGTTGATTAAGAAAGGCTGTCTGGCATTTAGTAGCCTGATTTGTACATGTGTGGGATTTTGTACACACATGCAATGTATCAGCCGTTTGTTAGGCAAGCAGAATAATATGAACAAAATAACAGAGGCCCCCTTGTGTGGTTTATATATATTTTTTCTCCTCTGTGAATTCTTTAATAGTGCTATATTTTGCAAAAACAAACAACAACAAAACCACCCCCCCCCCCCAAAAGAGTCAACAAAGGAGTAACTTGGAAATTTCCATACACAAAGCAATCAGAATGCCTACGGAAAAAATACCTAAAGCTCACTTAAAGTTATCACAAACATCTTGGGAAATAGCCACAAAGCACTAGGTAGTTTTCCTTAAGAACACTGAGAACACCTAACATTTTGTGAATGTCTTGCGAATGAAAAACTCTGATACTTACAGCCCCCAATTTTCTTCCTTAGCTCTCCATAACAAATTAAGCCATAGAGCTCCAGGGATGATTTTTTCAGCCCTTGAGAAAAGACTGGGGGGGGGGGGGGGGGAGAAGGAAGATGAAACCACAAATGTTAAAGGAAAAAGAAACACTCTGGTTGCATCAACAGAAAGCTAAGACTTTCTTATTTAGGAATTTTTAGAGAACAAGTTAAAAATCATTATTTAGGAATTTTTAGAGAACAAGATAGAAATCAACCATTGTTTCAAAAGGTTCATGGTAAATCAAGAGATTTTTCTGTAATTAATACAAAAGGGATGTTTTCTGGGATCAGAATCATAGAATAATAATCTCAGATGGGACTGCAAGTTATCTATTTAGGATTTTTGATTATTTCCTTGTTATTTTGGATATTATATTTAAGTAACTTGAATTTTAAATGCTATTTTATTCAATTTTGAGGTATTTCTTGGTCACCTATAAGTGAAAGGATGTTATGACAAAGTTAAAAAGCTAAAATAAATAATCACAATGATAGCATTTGTCAAATTAGTGTGGGCATCTGATCATGCATTCATTGGAATATGTACTTAACATGACACCTTCTATACATTTTGAACTACAACTCCCAACAGCCTGGACAACAATAAAAGAAGTATGAAAACTTTGACCTGGAATTTATGGAAGCAACTAGCTTGCTTCGCCTTTGCAAACCCTGCTGGTCTCTCTCTTTCAGTTCAGTACAATGGACTCCACCGTCTGCTATTATCCTGTACCATACATGATCTGCTAGCAATATGAAGAATGTTTGTGCTGATGCATCTGCACACAAATCACCACCATTTAATAATATGGGATGTGATCATCTGTTTTTGGAGGGCATCTGCAGATCCAGAGGGTCCACTGTACTTAGATACAAAATCAATTGTGTTGGAAGCAGAATCTAGAGTGCAAAGTATCTTTATTGGTTCATTGCACTAGTTTCAGCAATCCTGTAATTTGTTTTGGCCGACCATAAGGATGTCACCTGGGTTGCAGAAAGGGGTGCAAATGGGACATACTAGTTTGATGCACTGCTGAGTGATTGCCTCTTACTTTCAAGCATTGATTCAATTTATATTGCACTTTCCCTCCATCATAGAGTACAATGGGATTTCTGCATGGTGTCACCTTCAGGCATCGATCAAACCTTTACTGTGAAGACCATACTGAGGGACATGCTCTAAGGAGTAACATTTTCCATGAGCAACCTTAGAATATCATTGTTGTATAGCTACATCAAGTGTAAAAGTGCTCACCATTATCAAAGTCAATGTATTTGGAAATTTTGTGCCAGGTGCGATAGTAGAAATGGCGAACCTGCTCCTTGTTTTTCACCATGCTTGCTGGCTTGCTCTTCTTTTTATATTTCAGGGCAATGTTGTTCTGAATGGCTTCAAAGTCTTTTCCATGCTGAAAAGGCAAATGTAAACAAGTGATGGGCAAGAGTCTAGTAGGAATAAGCAAGAATGTATAAGAGAGCTAGATGTCTCATTTTCATACCTATTGGATGATTTAATGCCTATTTGAAATAATTGATAAAATTCTGCAGTTACCGAAAGGCTTACAGGATTTAGTTGTGGCTTCAGAATGTCTACTAAAAATAGCTATACATGTCAACTGTTCGAAAATCAGACAGAAGTTAAGTAATTTGAAGCTCTGGGAACAATTGTTTATGGGCTTTATAATAGCAGGATGTATTATTCCATTCAATTCAAAATGTGGAATGTTCCGCAGCATTGGGGAATTGTCCTATTCACCTCAGATGACTAAAAACATTTAAATACATTTGAGATAAATGCTGTCGCAAGCATGGGCAAACCTGGACCCTCCAGGTGTTTTGGACTTCAACTTCCACAATTCCTAACAGCCTACTGGCTGTTAGGAATTGTGGAAGTCCAAAATACTTGGAGGGCCCAAGTTTGCCCATGTCTGCTGTTGACCATGCACATCTTTGGAACACACTGCTTGAGGACATGGCAACAATGAACTCCTGAACACACTCACCTCATAGAGACCCTCAAAGAAAGTATTCTTATCCTCTGTACTCCAGGATTCCCACTGACGTCTGACTTTCTTGCCTTCTTCTTTTTCTCCAGCCGAGGAGCTCAGGTTCCTGGCAGCTGATTTTGAACTGCCAGCTAGGTTGCTGGGGAGGATTCCCGAAGAGTTGCCAGATGAGGCCCCACTATTATCTCCACCTTTTTATAACACAAAACAAATGCCATATACTCCCTAATGATTGTACCATGGTATTAAGAAGAAGTCACATGTCATTAAAATTGTAGCAACAGTTTAAAACGTTTTGTGAATAGATAGTCAGGAAACAGAACAAAAATAAAGAAAACTGCAGACTTAAAAACGAGCTTCATTTCAAATAAGAGTACAGTTTAGAGCTGTGGTTCCCAACCTGTGATCTGTGGGCCACCAGTGGCCTCATCATTACTACACCGCTGCAACGAGAGCAACTGGCCCTCTTTATAGTGCCAAGGCAATGGGGGTGTCAGGAGGAGAGCCTCCTGACTGCCGCTTCTCCTTCTCCTCCTCCCTCCCCCTGAGCGGAGCCATTCCATGTAGCACCTGGAAGCCTTGGTGTCTTTATTTTTAGGCCTGTTCTTTGCGTTATTTGGGGTGCTGATTCAGAAAACTGCATGTGGCAACAAGAGCAACTGGTCTTGCAAAACCCTCTTTTAGTGCCGAGGCAACAGGGATGTTGGGAGACACTGACTACCCATGAAAGATTTCTACTATTACATCAGCTCTAAATTATTAAATATGGTTTACTATGGGTGAGTAGATGGTGACTACTGGATGGCATATGTTCTGTATCAGAAACTAGAGTTGATGTGGTATATCCAATGCAATTTTCTGAATCAGCACCCCAAATAACCAAATTGAATCTAAAGTTGACCAAAAACTGGTTCATAATCCTTTTGGTGCTAACATTGTAGAGTGGTCCCTGGTCAAGTAGTCCCTGGTCGAAAAAGGGTTGGGAACCACTGTTTTAAAGTAACAAAGTAACATACCTGAGTTCTGTATTATCAAGACCTAAAGAGTTATGTGAAATGCAATTATTACTACAAAAGAGTTCAGAATGACAATGTTCCGCGGCGGCGGGGGGGGGCATGGGGACAGACCTTTACACCAGATCGAAATGCAACAGGTTTTAATAAAGTAATTTTTGTTGACACCATGTCATGGATTAGTCCTCTTCATTTTGGGCCCAATGCTATTCAATCTTTTTTCTAAATGCATGATGGAAGAAAGGACACACTTATCAAACTTGCAGGTGGCATTAAATTAGGAGGCCAGAATGAAAATTTAATATTATCTGAAGAGCTGGCCCAAAGCAAAATAAATTTCAACTGGTATGGCACTTCGGAAAAAATCATGCAAAGATATAGGCTAGGTGTACATGGCTTGACAATAGTACATGTAGAAGGGATCTAGGCGTCTTAGTAGATCACAAGTTGATCATAAATCAACAATGATGCAGCAGCTAAAAAGCCAATGAGATTCTAGGCTGCATCAATAGGAGAGTTGTATCACTCTATTCTGCTTTGGTCAGACTTCACCTAGAATACTTTGCCTAGTTCTGGGCACCACAATTATGAAGGATACTGACAAACTGGAAGGCGTCCACATAGTGTGGACCAAGATCCCAAGTGGTAGAGCTGGGCATGTTTAGCCTAGAGAAGAGAAAGTTAAGAAGCAACACGAGAGCCACGTTAGAACATTTGAAAGATGGAGTCAGTTTTCTGCTCTTCCCATAGGCATTTATTCAAACTACGAGAAAAGTGATTCCACCTAAACATTAGGAAAACCTTCCCAACGGTTAGAGCTGTTCGGCACTGGAATCTGCCACAGCCTGGGAGTGTGGTGGAGTCTTTTTCTCTGAAGGTTTTTAAGCAGAAGCTGAATGGGCCTTTGCTGGGAGTTTTCTCATTGTACATCCCAGCATGGATGAGGGTTGGACTGGACGGTCTTTGGGGTCTTTTCCAACTCTCTGATTCTAACTTCAATAGGATTACAATGCTTCAGTCAGGCTGTTGACCAGGACTGATTAGAGGGAACATGTAAACCGTTCGTTGCAATGGCTTTATTAGCTACTGGGCTTCCAAAGTGCTCATTATGACTTTAAGACCCTCTATCACTTAGATCCAAACAATCTGAATGATCCTATCTCCCTTGTGAGTTTTAAGGCTTTACCTTTTTCCCACCGCCATCAGAGGGAAATCTGGTAAGGAGTCAGGGGAAAACGTTAATGGCTGCTCTCACTTTATAGAACTCTTCCTGTGTGAGGTTCATGTGGCCCCTCTCCCCTAGCCTTTGGCTAGCAGGCAAAGACTCTTTCAGAAACAGGTCTCTGGCTTGTAATTTATGTGACAAAAAATGTAATGTAGTGATGTTTTTATCTTTTCATATGATATTTATGTTCATATTTCATTACATTTTAAATGTTTGACTAATGAATGACTTAAAAAACTGAACCATAATTTTTAAATACTTGGAAACCACTTCAGATCCTGTATATGGAGAAATATGGGATGTAAATATTTTTTAAAGCTCTTTTAATAGTGTCCTTCATATACATCACAGGAAGCAAGCACGATAGAGAGGGACCTTCATTATAGCCTATGACTCTCATAGAATTTTCTATCGGAGCCTTTATATTTCTAGATTTAAATCTACCTAATAAGGTCTTTGTAAGGTTCATCTGAATTGCCAGTTTTCTAACAAATTACAAGCCCATTCTGTGCTTTTAAGTGAATTTTTCATGTTAGGAGCAACTTGAGAAACTGCAAGTCACTTCTGGTGTGAGAGAATTGGCCACTTGCAGGGATGTTGCCCAGGGGACACCCGGATGTTTCACCATCCTGTGGGAGGCTTCTCCCATGTCCCCGCATGAGAAGCTGGAGCTGACAGGTGGGAGCTCACCCTAACCCTGGATTCAAACTGCTGACCTTTAGGTCAACAGTCCTGTTGGCGCAAGGGTTTAACCTATTGCGTCACCAGGGGCTCCTCTAAGTGAATGTGACTACCTATTAAAACAGCTGTTCCCAACCTTTGGTCCTCCAGTGTTTTGGACTTCAGTTCCCACAATTTTTAATAGATGATAGGATGGCTGGGATTTCTGGGAATTGAAGTTCAAAACACCTGGGGGACCAAAGGTTGGTAACCACTGTACTAAAAGAAATGTACGAGTTGTTGAAGAGCTTTCATGGCCTGAATCACTGTGCTGCTGTGAGTTTTTCAGACTGTTTGGCAATGTTCCAGTACCATGGTTTCTGGACGTTTCGCCTGCTCTGAGGCTGGCATCTTCACAGGTTCTTCAGAACGCAGGCAAAACATCGAGAGAATGCTGCTGGAACATGGCCATACAGCCCGAAAAACTCACAGCAACACAATATAACTATTAGGGTTAATGAGAACGTCAGCTCAAGACTGCTGAAAATCACTGCGATAAAGAGATATTCTACATCATATTTGTAAGCAGTGCAAACGTGCCCAGTGAAGTTGAATGAAGACTCTCAAAACCTGTGCTAGCCAGATTGCTTGTGATGTGACTGAATCATGGGATAAACAGTTTTAAAATACTTCCACAGTTCTGCTGAGTCTGCCAAACAGAACATCTCAACAACTGAGATGAAACATCTAATGGCACGTCTACACTGAGTAATTAATGTGGATTGAAGGCAGCTTGAAAATACAATACTTAAATTGTGCCTGACATGAACTCATGCATGAACATGAAATGGTCTTAAACTGGAATAAAATTGGGGTATACACTGAAATAAGGACTATAATGCACACCTATTCGCAAAGGTATAAACCACATTGCATGGAGAAAATAGTTATGGGACAGGCACTCACGTATGAATTGGGGCAGGGGTTTGGGGGAAGAAATGAGTCCTCACCAGCCAGGAAGCCACAGATACTTCAGATTCTGGAAACAGATCAAAGTCAAACTCTCTGGTGCAAATAAGCACCACTTATTTGATTCACTTTCTCCTCTGCCATTTTGTTGAACTCAGAAGGAGTGAGCAGAAAGAACTGATTTTGGAGACATGGTCAAAGGTACCTCTATCAAATTTTATTACAAAAGATACAGTCTTTACTTCAAGCCAATCTGAATATCTGAATAATGAACAATTTCAAAATATTCCAAACATAGGAACTCAACAAGAAGGTAGCCATCGACGCCTGAGATAATCAGCTCCCCAATTCCTCCAAAACTGGCCATGGCTTATGAGAACTGTAGACCAAAGCAATTGGAAGGCACCATGTTGACAAATCCTGTGTCCACTATCTGCAGCAATCGCTTGAAAATATTGAGAATGGGATGACTTCTATAATCCAAAATGGCTTCGAATTATAGCATCGCCGACAGCACCATCTCACTCAAATTTTTACTAGCCTTCACATTTAAATATTTTATAAGCAGCTTGTAACAGCATTAATTTTGTTTGTAACTCAAGTGTACACATTTCAGTAATTTTAACAACCCAAGAGGTTGAAATATGGAACAGATTGTTACACAAGACAAAATGTCATACATTGCTGCTCTACAGAATATGACAAAAATAAAGAAACCTATGGAGAAGCTATGCTTGAAAGGGAAAACAAGCCTATGGTATCTGCTACGCAGAAACTGTTAACAATGTCATAGGGCTTCACTGAGTAGTCCATATTTTCATTACTGAATTCTATTATAACTGAATCCCCCCACTGGCATTTTGAGATGTCAAAACTTTCAGAGATTACTATAAATATAAAAATGCATGTATGATCCCAAAAGTGCATCACCAGGAATCTGTTCACTACAGAGGCAAATCAACAATACATAACTATCAACAATTTAAAAATATTAGGTTTAACAACTCTGCTGTTAATTTCTCTCTTGATAATTCTTTCGAACAGCCTTCTGTAGACATTTTGTTTTGAAAAAAATCTGGTGACCTAAGGGATACTAAAGTAAAAGTTTTTCCTTGACATTAAGTCTAGTCGTGTCCAACTCTGTGGGATGGTGCTCATCTCCATTTCTAAGCCGAAGAGCCGGCATTGTCCGTAGACGCCTCCAAGGTCATGTGGCCAGCATGACTGCATGGAATGCCATTACCTTCCCGCCAAAGCAGTACCTATTGATCTACTCACATTTGCATGCTGGGGCTAACAGCAGGAGCTCACCCCACTCCCCGAATTCGAACCGCCAACCTTTTGGTCAGCAAGTTCAGCAGCTCAACAGTTTAACCAGCTGTGCCACTGGGAGCAGATACTATTATAACAAGCTTAATAAATTAACTGACATACATTGAGATTTGAAAGCATGCAACCTGACAGTAACATTCATTACAATTCTAAAACTTCAAATCTTATATGACACTAATCCAACATGGCAGTCTGTTGTGCAAAGGAAAGCTTGCAAATAAACACCTGAAGCACCTCATTGCACGTTTGGATCCTGTACACTCTTACTTGGGAGCAAGAGTAATGCACATGAATGGCCTTCTAAGCTGAAACGAGTAGCACTGTACTGATAATGACATTCTAGATCGGGGTCCTCAAACTAAGGCCTGGGGGCCGGATGCAGCCCTCCAAGATCATTTAACCGGCTCTCGCTCAGAGTCAACCTAAGTCTGAAACAACTTGAAAGCACACAACAATAACAACAATCCTATCTCATCAGCCAAAAGTAGGCCCACACTTCCCATTGAAATACTAATAATTTTATATTTGTAGAAATTGTTCTTCATTTTAATTATGTATTGTTTTTAAGTGTTTTTTTGCACTACAAATAAAATATGTGCAGTGTGCATAGGAATTCATTTGTGGGTTTTTTTCAAATTATAATCCGGCCCTCCAACAGTTTGAGGCACTGTGACCTGGCCCTCTGTTTAAAAAGTTTGAGGACCCCTGTTCTAAATCCATTGATTTAACAGGACATATGTTAAGAGATGTACAATTAACATTCCCAGGACTGACTGAAATGTCCAGTGCTATTCAACATCTGTATCAGTGACTTGGACAATGGAATACAGAGCTTGCTGATCACATTTGCAGAAGATACCAAATTGGGAGGGAGAGCAAATGCCCCTGAGGACAGGATCAGAATCCAAAATGACTTGAACAGATTAGAGAGTGGGCCAAAACTAACAAAATTAATTTCAACTGGTAGAACTGTGTGGTACTATACTAAAACAAAGAAATTAACAGATACAGGACACCTGACTTGAAACAGTCTACATGAAAGGGATCTAGGAATCTGAGTAGACTGTAAACTGAACATGAGCCAACAGTGTGATGTGACAGCTAAAAAGGCCAATACGATTCTAAGCTGTATCAATATTAGAACAGTGTCTAGATTGTAAGAAGTAATAAACGTAGACACCACAATTCAAGAAGAATATTGACAAACTAGAACTTGTCTAAAGAAGGACATTAAAAGTGATCAAATGTTTGGAAACCAAGCCCTAAGAGGTGCGTGTGAGGAAGCTGGGTATGTTTAACTTGGGGAAAAGAAGGATAGGGGGGATATGAGAGCCATGTTTAAATATCTGAAAGAATGCCCCATTGAAGAGAAGGAGTCAAGCTTGTTGTCTGCTGCTCTGGAGACTAGGACACAATGGAGCAGTAGAATTAAAATGCAGGAAAAGGTATTCCACCTAAATATTTGAAAGAACTTTCTAACAACAAATAGTTGTTCAACATGTTGCCTTGGAGCATGACGGAGTCCCCTGCTCTGGAGGTTTTTGAGCACAGGCTGAATGGCCATCTGTCAAGAGTGCATTCACTGTTTTCTCCATGGCAGAATGGGGTTGGACTGGATGGGTTTTGGATTCTCTTCCAAATCTATAATTCTAAGTGGATCACATGCATACATGAAACTAACTTTAGTAACATTTGGAGAACAGGCTCCTGATCTCTTTCTTTGCATATGGGAGCATGGGTACAAAGATGTGCCCAAGCGAAAAACTGAGGATGCAAAGGTAGTGATGGGAAGTGTCAATCAAATACACAAAATGACATGGGGCCCAAAACAACGTGAGGATGCATACCAGACCTTCCTATGCAAGACCTCTGAAGTTTTGGCATGTGAAAAAAACAGGACTGTACCTTTTCCTCTTGTTACAGCTGTGTTGTTGTTGTTGATGCCGCTGGCACTGTGGCCTCCCACTCCTCCTGCAAGGGCACAGGGTGTGTGGGAATCCTTCCTGAACCTCTTGCTCTGAGGCCTGACGCTGGACCTGAGGAAGTGATGCTGGTCCTGTGTCGGTTGCGTTGAGGACGGGGCTGGAAGCAAAGCAGTGGTGGCCAAGGAGGACTCCCCATTGGTGTGGCTTGGAAAGGGGGCCTCTTCGTCGTCGGCTCCCTTTGTGCTGCTGCTGGGGGCTGCCTCTCCTCCTGCCGCCTGTCCGGCCCCTTCATCTCCTTCCTCCTCTTCTTCCAGAGACCCCTCTTCACCCGCTCGCTTGCCTGGCTTCCTCGACCCTTCCTCAGTGCTACTGCTGCTATCGCCCAGCTTCACTGTCATCCTGGGGAAAGAGGAGAAGAATAAAGCAGAAACTAAAGTGGGGAGGGGGTACAAAGTCAGCCAAAAGAAGAGACCCCCAAGGAGCAGTAAGAAAGAACAACAGCACGGCAAACCCTGACAGAAAGAGAGAGCCTTGTCTTTTGGAGAGGAGAAGTTTAGCTGCTGGAAATTCCTCTCAACATGGCCGCCGTTGTTTGTGACTAAATCCCCTTTCCTTCGCTTGTGTCCCGACCCAACAACCTGTGCCGAAGCAGACGGGGGGAGCAGGGCAAAAAGGAGGGCAGCAAAGACCCCCCTCCCTGAAATAAGGCTTACCCTGACAGGCCCCTTGCAGGGAACTTCAGGGGCAAGACAAAAAAAAAAGTCAGGCCTTTGGGAAGAGCTCTGCAAACGGAGGAGGAGAGGAAAAGCAGCCTCAGGGCGGCGCAGGGGGAAGGGGGAAAGGAGAAGGTGTCTGAAAAGTGGCCCCACGGCACTCCATCCTACCCATGATGGGGGTCTTCTGGGCCTGGGGGGCTCTTCTTCCTCCTCACCATGAGGCCAAGGCAATGCGATCCAAAGAGGGGGCCGGATTCATCGCCTTAGATGCATGCAGCAAGCGAACAGCTTTGCCTCCTCCTCCTCCTCACTCTCCTTCTCTATGCGAGGGAAAGGAAGGAGCCACTCTCTCCCTCCCCCTTTTTTCCAGGGCTGCCAAGATTTTCAAACCCACCACCCAAAAAAACCCCAGAACCCCACTCTTAAATATTCTTTCTGATCCCCCCCCCCCCCCCGAAACCACATCTTTCTTCTCCAGGAGAGAGAGACAGAGAGCTTTCCAGGGCAACAACAACCACTACCAAACAGAACAACACCTATTTGCCTTTTTTTGATCATACACTAACATCCCCAATGGTAATTATTACCATAATTTTTTATTTGATAAGCTGGGGAGTTATTTGTACATTGGCAAAAATACTAAGGAAGCGCTTGGGAGAGTGGTTTTTTGTTTTTGTTTTTCCTTCAGATTCCTAGTATTTGGCAACTGGCCAATTTAAAACAATCTTTTTGCTGCAAACATTTTCTCTAAATGTAAAGCCGGACAAATTTCAATTCTAAAGGGACTTATATTGTAACTATTTTGCTTCTGAGATGCTTCCTACTACAACCACATTAAACAATCCCTACTTCAAATAACAATAAGCGCTTTCTGCTCTTACTTTTCTTGGAAATCGTCAACTATACATATCATGTTAATCAACCAAGGGGTCTCTGGCTATTGATAAGTTGTTAATTCCATGCTGTAATATATCTAGAAGCACCGCAAACACAGTACCATAGGAAGGGTTCAAGAAAGTGGCAGCCAATGCTGCAACCTCCCTATCTGCCCTACAACCTTCAATGGAACCGAGTTACAGGTGAACGTGCATGGGATCCTGCAAAACTACCTAAAATGTGACTTGCTTCTCATAATAACAATAAATCATCATTGCCCAAAATAGATCATCACTATCAAGAATACGCTCCATGTTGAAAGCCCAGCACGTGCCGAAAGGAACATTTTAAAGTGCAGAAAGAATGTAGCAGTACTTCGTAATACCTTCAAAAGAACAAGACTATTCTTCTCTTTAACATATACAATTCTTCAAACACATTGACACAGAAGCAGGTCCCACATTCTGGCTGGAACGAATTGGCAAAAAAACCCACTAGGAATGAAACACGCTTCTTTTGGGCAACATAAAAGTTTCAAATATCTTTAAGAACAGGCACGGGCAAACTTTGGCCCTTCGCATGTTTTGGACTTCAAGTTGAAGTGTTTTAGAAGAAAACATCCAGAGAAGTCAAACATTGTCAGCTGATATTATCCTCTGATAGGACAGCCCAACTGAAGACGGCGATTGTTACTCAGAGCAGGCCTGGGCCAACTTGGCCCCTCTGGTTGTTTTGAACTCCAACTCCCACAATTCCTAACAGGCTGTTAAGAATTGTGGAAATGGAGTCCAAAACACCTGGAGGGTCCAAGTTGGCTCAGGCCTGACTTAGAGGTTCAGCATAAAGAAGCAACCAGATAAACTTCCCAGGCCGTGTGACCCTTTGCTGCCAATGATAAGGAGTGCCGGGAGTTGGAGTCCAATCTAGGAAAGGCCACACCACTCTTATCCTTCCTGGAATGTAACAAAGAAGCAACTAGGTAAACTTCCCAGGCAAGGAAGGGTGCAGCCTGACACACATGACTAGACTACAAGCCCCAGCAGCCTTTGCTGTCTAAACAATGACAGGGAATGCTGGGAGTTGGAGTCCAACCTAGGGAAGGCCGCACCCCTCGTATCCATCCTGAAATCTCCTATGCTTTAATAACCATAGGGTAACAACATCACACCTTTTCCTTCCTCTAAGACATTCTCTCCACCTTTGATTAGGAAAAGCCTGATTGGGGTGGGTTCCACCTCAAAGGCCTACCTTGCACACTCAGGCTGGGCCCACACGTTATGTGAGTCTACACTGCCAAATAATCCGTTTCAAGAGACTTAACCTGTAGTAACGGCACTGCAGTGTGGACCCAGCCTCAGCTGGCAATGCTTCCTTCGTTCCTTTTTTTCTTTTCGGTAATAATAATAGAATTCTCCTCCTCCTCCTCCTCCTTTCTTTCCTTCCTTACCTGAGTCATGAGGGCCCCGCGGAGGCCTCCCCGTCGTCGCCGTCGTCGTGACCCGTCCCCCGGAGCCTCCGAAGGCGTTCCGGGCTGCTCAACCCTCACACAAGCTTCTGGGACTGCAGCTCCCGCCTCTTCCCGTAGGCTGAGGGCAGAGAAACCTGACTTCCGCTTCCGTCCTGCCGGGAATGCAAAAGAGAAGGCCGCACCAGCAAGCCCTGCCCCCAGGCAACCCAAACAGAGTGCCTTATTGGCCGGCCGGAACCAAAGGGGCGGTGCCGCTGGAAGCCGCGGAGGCGAAAGTGACCAATAGAAAGCGGTGGGGGCGGGGCAGCTGGAGCCTGGTTGGTGAAGGTCTTCAGGTTATTACAGGGAAGCATTCTCTCCTGACGTTTCGCCTGCATCTATGGCAGCTATCCTCAGAGGTTGTACTTACTTAGGCGATCCCTCGTTGTCCGAGTAGGATTATCTTCCAGGATCTGTGTACTGGCAGTGGGTCCGTAGGTGACTCTGGAGCCCTATTCTTGCTCTGCATCTTCTCCCGCAGTGAGGGCATCGGTTTCCAGGTGGAAGGCGGTCCCGGTCAGGGTTGGCTTGACGCGCCTTCCTCCTGGCACGTTTCTCTCTTTCGCCCTCCATTCGTGCCTCTTCAGATTCTACAGCACTGCTGGTCACAGCTGACCTCCAGCTGGAGCGCTCAAGGGCCAGGGCTTCCCAGTTCTCAGGGTCTATGCCAGAGTTTTTAAGGTTGGCTTTGAGCCCATCTTTAAATCTCCTTTCCTGTCCACCAACATTCCGTTTTCCGTTCTTGAGTTCAGAGTTTGGGAGATGGTGCTCAGGCATCTGGACACCGTGGCCAGTCCAGCAGAGTTCACGGCGGAGGACCATCGCTTCAATGCTGGTGGTCTTTGCTTCTTCCGGAACACTGATATTTGTCCACCTGTCTTCCCAAGAGATTTGCAGGATTTTCCAGAGGCAGCTCTGATGGAATCGTTCCAGGAGTTGCACGTGACATCTGTAGACAGTCCACATCTCACAAGCGTTTAGCAGGGTTGGGAGGACAATAGCTTTATAAACAAGCACCTTGGTATTCCTACGGATGTCCCAGTCCTCTAACACTCTCTGCTTCATTCGGAAAAATGCTGCACTCACAGAGCTCAGGCGGTGTTGAATTTCAGTATCAATGTTGACTTTGGTGCCAAGGGAGTGGAAATGGTCAACATTTTATAATGTTACACCATTAAGCTGTATTTCTGGCATTGGAAAGGGATTGGCTGGTGACTGCTGGACAAGCACTTTGGTTTTCTCGATGTTCAATGACAGGCCGAGCTTCTCGTATGCTTCTGCAAAGGTGTTTAGAGTGGCTTGTAGATCTTCTTCTGAATGCGCACAAACAACATTGTCATCAGCCTATTGGAGTTCTATATAAGAGATGTTGTTGTAACCTTGGTTTTGGCTTTCAGTTTGCTGAGGTTAAACAGCTTGCCATCTGTCCGATAGATGATTTCCACTCCGGTGGGAAGCTTCCTGTCAACAAGATGGAGTATCATAGCAATGAAGATGGAGAATAAAGTTGGGGCAATAACACATCCCTGTTTGACACCCGATTGCTTCTGGAACATTGCCGTACGAACCGAAAAACTTACAGCAATCCAGTGATTCTGGCTATGAAAGCCTTTGACAACACGTATTACAGACTCAAAGCGGCTCACAATCAAAAACAGTACAACCCAAAATACAGAAATATACAATAATAAAACAGTATAATTATATATTATCAGTAGTAATTATTTTTAATATATTACTATTACTTTATTATATATTTTTATATTGTATTATTATAAATGGAGCCCCCAGTGGCGCAGTGGGTTAAACTGCTGAGCTGCTGAACTTGCTGATCGAAAGGTCGCAGGTTCAAATCAAGGGAACGGTGTGAGCTCCTGCTGTTAGCCCCAGCTTCTGCCAACCTAGCAGTTTGAAAGCATGCAAATGAGAGCAGATCAATAGGTACCACTCTGGCAGGAAGGTAACGGCGTTCCATGCAGTCATGCCGGCCACATGACCTTGGAGGTATCTATGGACAATGCTGGCTTAGAAATTGAGATGAGCACCAACCCACAGAGTCGGACACGACTGGACTTAATGTCAGGGGAAAACCTTTACCTTTTTTATGTAGTATTAGTATTATATTGTATTATATTATAATATTATTATCAATATTATAGGTATATGCAATATATTATTAGTATAGCACAATATTAGTATTATATATTACTATATTACTACACCGCTCTCACTCGAGTTGGTGTATATAGTACTACACCACTATACTGAAATATTAGTAATATTACATATAATATAATTATATTATAATATACTATATAATTACTATATTAGTATACCACAATATATTTGATACCCTACCAGTATATTATACTATTAGTATTATATAATATATTGTACTATAAGTTGTAGTGTATATAATATTTTGGGGGTGGTGACGACCAACAGGGAGCTCTGGCGTGGACTGGTCCATGAAGTTACGATGAGTCGGAAACGACTGAACGAATGAACAACAACAAATATATAATATATATTGATTAATTTATTTACTATGCTTGTATACCGCCCCTCTCAGCCCGGAGACGACTCGAGGCACTTTACATTTGGCAATCAATGCCCCACAAGATAAAATATAGTCAAAAACAATTACACATAGTATAAACCGTATAAAAACAATAACAATAAACAATTAAGATCACAAAATACAGTTCTCAGCATATATTATATCACAACATTAATATTATATATAATTTTATTTATTGTATCAGAAGCGAACTGAAGGTACAGTTGTAACGTATTAAAACACACACACAAAGTTTAAAAACTTGGTACTCCAAGTGGCCAGCTAGCGCTCAAAGGGCATTTAGTATAATTATACATATATATTAGTATTAAACAAAAAACAACAATTGGAACATAATAAAGTAGCAAGACTATAATAGAACACGTTACAGATTAAAATATATCCAACACTTAAGGTTTATTTGAAACTAAATAAAACCATTCCTTCCTTGAGTGGCAAGTGGAGTGATTATGTGTGTGTTTCCAAAGAGGGCGGGGCCGCTTGGAAGCCGCGGAGGCGAAAGTGACCAGTAGGAAGCAGCGGAGGCGGGGCTTACAGTGCTCAGGGCTCGATCCTGGTTGGTGAAGGTCTTCAAATAGGCAGGGCTTGGGGCCTCTGCTTACAATCTCATTGGCTGATTGGATATGTGTCTTTTCCTCGGAGCGGTAGAGACGAGTCGAGAGAAGCTACATAGGGTTGGTCTGAGAACGGGTTAGCCGTTCGGGAATTTCCGTCAAAGTGTTCGGGAAACATCGTGCATTTCCGACTGCGGCTTCGGCTGTTTCCGCTCCGGGGAAGCGCTTGCCGTCGCCAACGGTAACGCTCGGCGTCTTCTTGGCGTCGAGGAGCGCGCTTTCTTTCCTCTCAGGCAAGCAGGCGAGGGACGGAGAGGAGGCCTCGTTGGCTTTCGTTTTCCTCCAGGCCTAGGGACCGGGGCCTCGAGTGAGAGGCAGGCCGGAGACGTGAAGGGTTGCTGGGCTGCGAGGGTTTCTCCTTTCCCCAGGACGAGAGACTCCAGTTCTTCTCATTCACCTTCAAGGAAACTCTTGTTTATGGTTGACAGGGCCGAAGATGGACAGAACCTATCCTTTCCTTCTCCAAACTGAATGGGGCTTCGGGCAGGACTTTCTCAAACAGGACCATTTACAAGCTTCAGGTAAAATGAAAGGTGTCCTAAGAAATGTACACACCCTTCAAAGTTTAAAAGCTGATAGCTCAGGCCTGGGCCACTTGGGCCCTCTCTCCTGGTGTTTTGGACTTCAAGGCCCACAATTCCTAACAGCTGGTAGGAATGTTATATTAATTTCTTGTATCACCAAGAAACAAAATGTTTTTATTTCATTTCCTGACAAAACTTACTTAAAACACTTAGTGAGGGAGAGTTATTGACCCCCTACAATTCATATTTTAATGTGTGGTCAACTTTCCTGTTTCCTCTGATGTTCGGAGTCTTAATTGTTACAGTTTCTTGATTGCTAAATGCTTTTTTGGTATTCTAGATGTGTAGCGTTTGCCTTTCGAAATGGCTGTGTACGTTAATCATCAAATAGAAGCTCTTGAGTCCCATGGACCGCACTTCCACATTGCGTGGCACCACATTCATCCGTTTTTGGCCATTGCATCTGTTAATTCAAATTCTGGGGGCAGTGTGGGTATTTTTCTAGAGCAGGTAAGCATTTCAAATGTTTATTTATTTTGTGTCAAAAGCATTTCATAAATAAATATAAAACTGATAATATAGAGGGAGCACAAGCGGCGAAATATTTATAGACCAGAAACAGGCAACAGTGACTGCATTGTCTGTAGCTTTAAGCAGTTTTTCCTCTGTGCATGAGGCAGGGCATTGTGGGCAAGCATACAGGAGCCCCCGGTGGCACAGTGGGTTAATGCACTGAGCTGCTGAGCTTGTTGATCGAAAGGTCGCAGGTTTGATTCCGGGGAGCGGCGTGAGCTTCCGCTGTCAGCCCTAGCTTCTGCCAACCTAGCAGTTCGAAAACATGCAAATGTGAGTAGATCAATAGGTACCACTCCGGCGGGAAGGTAACGGCGCTCCATGCAGTCATGCTGGCCACATGACCTTGGAGGTGTCTACGTTGTCTACGGACAACGCTGGCTCTTCGGCTTAGAAATGGAGATGAGCACCACACCCCAGAGTCAGACATGACTGGACTCAATGTCTGGGGACTACTTTTACCTATACAGATGCTGAGTTGTTTGTTCTGCTCCGTAGTTGCACAACGTAGACGATTCTTCTAGGTAGGGCCATCTTGCCAGGTTGTCTTTTGATCCACCAACTCCACTTTTGAATCTATTCAGGGACTTCCACATTGCCCATTCTTGGTTTGCCCCCTGCAGGCAGACCCTCATGTGGGGCCATCCGGTTGGGATTTCCTGGTCTAGCTGCCCAGAGGGATACCCTTGCTGTTGTTGGGAGAACATTAAGAGGAGTGGTGGTTCTCATGAAGCTTTTCCTTGATTGGACTCTACTGGGAGGAGGCTGGTAGCCATTCAGTGGATGGCTTTCCCAGTGTTCAACTTTATCTTGCAATTGGCAGCAACTTCCCGTCGCAATGCCAGCTAGCTTATACAGTCAATCAGGTGTGGGTTTGAGACATCCTGTGATAATCCTATATGCTTCATTTAGTGCCATATTCACATGCTTTGCATGGACAGACTAGTACTAGACAGAGCAGGCACACTCAGCAGTTGAGTAAGGCAAGGCTAGGGCTGATGTTCTTATTAGTTTTGGGTCTGCACCTCATGTGCTGCCAGTAAGTTTCCACAGAATATTATTGTGTGCACCTACTTTATGTTTGGTGTTCATACAGTGTTTCCTAAATATTAGTGTTCAAGCTAAGGTGTCACCGAGATACTTAGGGTGGGAACATTTGAAATATGATCTGGTTGTATATAGTCCCATAGAAGAACGGGAAGGGGGGGGGGGCATAGCACTTCTGTCACCAACCACAATGTGCAAAACGGAGTCTTCCTGTTTCAGTTCTGTGGAGGAAAGAAAGTTTAAATTTGTTCCTCCATGACAAATTTAGCTTTCATAAAAAATAGTTTTGGAAGCTGCTTGAAAATATGTAATGTCATAAATGCATGTATGCACTTTAACATATGGAGAGGAGGAGGACTAAGATGCTCTAACGCTGGCGAGCCCATTTGCACTATATGGTGGCTATAATACATTTTTAATAAACACCTGTGTTCATGATTTGAAATGCAATTCATTTCTAACTGCTTTTAGTGATATATGTTTAATGTTCACTCATGTCTTCGTTTCTTGTCTAACTTGGCTTATTGCTATCAAGTTCCCATTTCAATGTTTAGTTTTTCATAAGTTTATTGTTATTATGGTGCATTATTTTGTATTATTCCTGATGTTGTTTGTACTTTGTAAGGCACTGAATGTTTGCCTGTTTCTGTGTGTAAACCACCCTGAGTCCCTTTTGGGAGAGAGGGTGGTATAGAAAAAACGAGATTCAGCTTTGATAGTCATTATGTGCAGTTCTGCATGAATTACTTCTGATTTGACAGGAACCTATTCAATAATTAATTTTGAATTTAATTTAACCTGTTAATAGCTTTTAGACGTACATGTTTGTCAACTTCATACATCACACAATATGTATATAAAGGTGATCAACATGTAAAAGTTCCAGTCCATGTCTATTAACATTGGGTTAAATTGGATTGTTTCTTTTCTCAAAGTTTTTTTTACAATATATTTTTATGAATTAATCTTATTTAAAAATAAATATATATTAGTAGAAAGAAGAAAAGAATTCCCCTTGACTCAAATAACCTGTACATTGTGAAGATAAAACACTCTTAGAGGACCGAGTCATTTTCAGAAAGTGGGTTTGTTTGTTATTTGCTGAAAAGGCAGGATATATGTTTTATAAACGAAAAATGTAAAAAAGCATGCAACACATCATTTCCAGGGTGAGTATGCTTGTGATGCCTACTTGGAAAGAAACTTTCGAGCCACGTGCCTCAACTGGCACCCATCCAAACAGATCCTGGCGGTGGGCTGCGAAATGGGGGACGTAGTGGTGGTGAACAAGCAAGACAAGGAGCATCATGCTGTACCTTCCAACCACAATGCTGATATCACAATCCTAAACTGGAGCACTAATGGAACCCGGCTAGTTTCTGGTGACAAAGTAAGTGGCAAGATGCAAATGATTCTCTGCTGTACATCATTTTAACAACTATCATGCATGTTTGTTTGGAAACAAATTTAACATAATTAACTGAAGAACATTTAGTGGATAGTAACAGTGGCCACTACTATAGTAAGAATCATTTCAAAAAGGATCAAGGGAAAAGGGACATCAGGGTATTTGGAGAAGGCTGACAATAGATAATTTAATTCCACAAGAGTTAATATTGTCTATTATCTGTTTTTCCAATTTACTATATTTTCTTTTGAGGTCATGGCCTGTAGGCAGTTGTCTCTTTCATTTAATATCAGAGGAACTCTGATTAAGGCAAGGAGAGGCGGATAATAAATATTATTATTACTACTATAAAGACTGGTCCATTTAGTTTTCTTGGCAAGGATACTGGAGTGGTTTGCCATTGCCTTCCCCAGGGATCACGCTTGGTCTGACCTCTCTGCCACAACCGTCCCGTCTTGGGGGGCCCTTCACGGTTTCGCTCATGACATCATTGAGGTGCTCAAGCTCCAGCGCCCCGACAAGGCGGTGAGAGCTGGACCTTAGGGAAGGCTGAGCGAAGGAAGATCGATGCTTTTGAACTGTGGTGTTGGAGGAAAGTTCTGAGAGTGCCTTGGACTGCGAGAAGATCCAACCAGTCCATACTTCAGGAAATAAAGCCCGACTGCTCATTGGAGGGAAAAATAGTAGAGGCCAAGATGAAGTACTTTGGCCACATCATGAGAAGAAAGGAAAGCTTAGAGAAGACAATGATGCTGGGGAAAATGGAAGGAAAAAGGAAGAGGGGCCGACCAAGGGCAAGATGGATGGATGGCATCCTTGAAGTGACTGGACTGACCTTGAGGGAGCTGGGGATGGTAACGGCCGACAGGGAGCTCTGGCGTGGGCTGGTCCATGAGGTCACGAAGAGTCGGAGACGACTGAACGAATGAACAACAACAACTATAAAGACTGTTCCTTCATATGCACAATTGTAGAGTGTGGAATGCTGAAAGCAGATTTACATTGATTTCATGGCTTTGGTATTTGGTGACACAGCTGGAAAACAGCTTAGGATACTGGTATCTTGCTGTCTAAGGCTCCATCTACACTGTCTTATAATCCAGTTTCTGACTCCAGATTATCTGGTTTGAACTGGATTATTTGGCAGTGTAGACTCATATAATCAAGTTCAAATCAGATAATCTGGATTCAGAAACGGAATTATATGGCAGTGTAGATCCAGCCTAAGAAGGCCCTTAATGTAATTTTCCATATTTTTTAATTTGTTTTGAACAATTCCTAACTCATCTTTCTTTACAAGGAGACCCAGAATGGCTCACAACAGAAAAAAAATCAAATATGTTTACTAAACTAGTTTCAGGAAATTCTAAATGACTTTATGAATCAGATGATAACATGCAATAAATGATACTATATTAATATCTCTCTTTATAGCTCGGTGTCCTTGTTTTATGGAGGATGGACCAGCGGGGTAGAGTTCAAGGCCCCCCACTCCTTAAGCATGAATATGGGAAGCATCTCAATTGTTGTATTTTCCGGCCACCTCCTCCTGGCGAGTAAGTAGAACAGTTTGGCTAGATTTCTGTCTAGCAGAATTATTGTATTTTAGATTATATATTTTTATTGAAATTTGAGTTGCTGACATCCTCAGTCTTCACTTTGCAACATTTTTGCCATAGCAAACCTCATCTCATTATGGATGTTCTTGAAACTCCGCCTTTATGGCAGATGCCAGTTTGGATTCTTTGCAATTTGACTCACAGGCTATAGAGATTTCAGCTGTGGTTGAAAAACTGAAGAGCAAGTAATAAACCCAAATCTCATTTTGACGTTATGCCCATTTAGGAGTTCTAAATTGCTTGGAGATGCCCTGGAAGAGCTGTTATTGGAGACTAAAAAGTGTTACCATCTTTGGGCAAGGAAGAGGGAAAATCCTTTCAGCTGGGAACCCAATTGTTTCCTTGATGCAGACCAAAATTTTAGCAGTAGCATAGTAGACATTTAGATTACGTTGGAGTTCAGCTTAAAAACACATTTTGGCCTCTAGTGTGGTACCATTAATAGACCAACTTTAGACAGCAAAATACATTGTTTTTTGTAAAGAAATAAGAAATAAACAAGTGACTATCAGAATATGGAGCCCTGCCTCCCCTTTTTTGCTTTTGATTGGCTAAGCAGGCATAGCCTAGAATAGGGAGAGTAAACTCTTTAAACTGCCTAGCATTTCAAATTATAGAGTAATGATTTGGTACTCCATGGGTGGACCTTTTTGCCTCTCAGGATAATTGCAAACTGTCTCAATTTGTTTTGAGATTTTAGATGGAAGGGGCACTGGCTATTGTTTGGACCACCTATTAGTTATAACTCATTGTTCTGCATCCACAGTGATATTTCTTTTTCTTCTGCTGGCTGAAAGTAGTTCTCCTTCTTTTCAAGAGAGAAAGTTCTATTGCAAAGGAGGCATAAATAACCTGTTTTATTCTTGCCTACAGGGACTTGGTGCAGTTGGCAAAAGCGGCAGTGAGTGGTGACGAGAAGGCCTTGGATATGTTTAACTGGAGAAAAGCTGGCATGGGAATGCCTCTGAAGATGGGACCCCAGGAAGGACTGTCCTTCTTTATCAGTACAACTGATGGTAAAGACAAAACTGGTCTAGTTTGCTGATCAATGTTTGTTTGTTTATTTAGTTAGTTGGTTGGAGCATTTATATCCTGCTCTTCAGCAACAAAGGTTTTCAGTGTGGTTTATAAATCATTAGGTTGCCCTCAGGATTACAATCTAAATAAGATGTGGCTGAGAAGGAAAAAGGAATCACAGTAAGGAAGGGGATTAGACATTGCTGCTTGGTTTCTCCCTCTGAAGCCTGAGCAGTCTTACCTTGCTGATGCAATCTCCACTGTCCTCCTGTGGAAAATTGAAGCGGCACACTGCACATATTCTTTTAAGCTCTTTTCTTTTACCCCATTCTTAGGGACACAATTATCTGTGAATTCTACCTCTTTCTTTTAGTCACTGAAATCCATTTAGACCAGTAAAGGAGTGGTTTTTTTTCACCTAATAATAGAAAAATAGTAGCAATTAGTGGGATTTGTATTTTTCACCTGTTAAACCCCTGTGCCAACAGGACTGAAGACCGACAGGTCGCAGGTTCGAATCCGGGGAGAGGCGGATGAGCTCCCTCTATCAGCTCCAGCTCCTCATGCGGGGACATGAGAGAAGCCTCTCACAAGGATGATAAAAACATCAAATCATCCAGGCATCCCCTGGACAATGTCCTTGCAGACGGCCAATTCTCTCACACCAGGAGTCACTCCTGACACAACAAAAAAAAAACCCCCAAAAAACATGTTAATGGTAAAATAGTGACTTAGCTTATCAGATATTTTTCTTATATAAACCAAAATAACAGCAAAGCTGCAATTAAAATGAAATAAGATTTTCAGGGGAATGCTCAAGATGAAAATGCTGGGGTTTTTTTTGTCATGATCTGAGTTTTTAGAACGTCGCTGAAAAGCACATTTGTTTTCTGTTATTCAGAAATAACCATTGTTACCTTTAAAGAAATCTTAACTGGGTTACTTAATCACTGCTCATGGCCCTTGTAAGTATTTAACCATTGCCAACAACTCTATAGGTGCTCCATCAAATGAAACAGTGCAGGCTAGAATTGCAGTCATTTCAATCTGAGGGAATGGGTAGTCTGACTTCTTGGAACCCTCTGCAGACTACATGTTACTGGCCCATTCTTTCCTGTTGTTGACAGTGAACATGACGATCCAGAATGATTATATGCGTAACTTGCAAAGTGACAACTCTTTTAAATTATTTTCCAGATCCAATTAAATTATGGTCTGAATCTTGATTTAGCTGAAGATATAAAATAGAAAAGGTTAAATATTTTGAGCGATGATTTATAGCTCAAAATACTGTGCAGATAAAGTAGATATTCCGTTCATAATGCTGTGTATATTCCGTTTGGGGATAATGTATCTTAAACTCAACACTTCTTGACATATCAGGTTGTGAGGCTGATGTAAGACAACTAGTTTTGTGGTGTAAGATATCAGAACTGCAAGACTTTTGATTACTGAGAAAAATAATTTTGGTCTTTGTCTAATTAAGCAGGGTTTCTTTTCAATACGTGCACAATTGTGGTTTTGATTTGCTCTATAGCAATGCCAGTTGAACATATCATTGAACAAGTCTTGGGCTCTGTTGCAGGAATTGTGCATTATGTGAATGAAAGAGGGAAAACAAGCCAGGCATTGACTACAGAGAGTTCAATTCAAAAACTGCTGTTTATGGAAAATGATGTCTTGGTGGTCATAACAGAGACACTCCTTTTATCACTTCATAAAATTTCCCTTGAAGGAGAAACAGAGGAACTCTTGAAGGTAGGTAATGTATACTATAGGATCATTGATTTAACACACACTTAAGTCTAAGATTTGGTTGTTGGGGTTTCTAACAAGTTATAGACTGACACAATGAATTGTTGTAGACTAGGCATATTTTGTATATAATTTACAATGTATAAAGCTCTGAACCCTGTATATTGGAAAGAAAAATAACAATATTCTGTGCCCGGTTTTGTTTACATCCTCTATTGAAGAGGCCCACACATCCCTGTCTTACCTTTTGGTGTTCTCCTCTAAGCAAAGTCTGAAGAGAACCACTAGGGAGATGGGTGTGCAGTCTGAGGAGGTTCTGGTTGTCATTTCCTACTCAGAAGAAGAAATTTTGGACCAATGTTTTCTCTCTTGCGATTTGCTTGGAAGGCTTGGAAGGTTTGGTGCAAGAGTGTTGGTTCCTGAGGTGCTGAAATGTGCCAGATCCGACCTAGAACCTGACACAGCTCAATATGACCACTCAGTGAAACATAGTTCTACATAAGCAGCATGTTTTTACTTGCCCTAGCTGAAATCCATTGATGACTAGCTATGTAAAATATAAATCCTGGTTTTCAATATTGTTATCTCACAGGATATATTTTATCGTTAGGTAAAGCTGAGTGGGAAAATTGGTCACCCTGCTGATATTATTTTGACTGACCATAGCCTTCTTATCACTGCAACAGGGGAACCAGTTGTCAGGTAAGAAAACTCATGAAAGGTTTCATTTAATAAATAACCTGTATGTGTATATATAAACTTCTTTATGTTTGTGGACTGTTTTTCAAATAAATATTGTTAAAATGTTGTGTAAAGCAGTTGACTTAGAACCAAAGAAATGAACAGAGAGCCAATACCTGCCTTTTTTTGCTGTATTGTGAACAATAAACCTCCATTTTTGAAAAAAGGCTATTAAGTGTATACGATATTATATATTATCAATCACTGGTCTTATGGACAGTATTGAAAAAATGACTATAGTATTTTGGGTTGTTGTAAGTTTTTCAGGCTGTATGGCCATGTTCCAGAAGCATTCTCTCCTGATGTTTCACCTGTCTCTATGGCAGGCATGCTCAGAGGTTGTGAGGTCTCACAACCTCTGAGGATGCCTGCCATAGATGCAGGCAAAATGTCAGGAAAAATACTTCTGGAACATGGCCATACAGCCCGAAAAACTTACAACAACTCAGTAATTCCGGCCATGAAAGCCTTCGACAATATAGTCTTTTGGCTTTAGCCTCCAACCATGGGTATTACACAGGTATACCTCAGTTAACAAAGTCTTTGACAAAGAAGCTTCTTTTTACAAGGTCCTTTTTAATCCAATTTTTAAACAGCAATTGAATGATGGTAGAGCAATACTGTAGAAATGCACACTTTCAGTTGCTTGGTTGCAGTAATATTTCTACCATAAACAGAAATAATGGGATTTTCTTCTAAGACAATCCTATTCCATCTGTCTGTGCCAGGCATAGAAATAGTCCCTTCTCTGGGATCCCTTCTGGCTCATTAATTAAAAGCAAAACTGCCTTGTATCATAGCCAGTAGTGGGGAATAGAGACATTGTAGTCCAGTAGCCCACCGCAAACAGCCAGCCCAGGATAGTGCTAGATGGTACTGGCTATTACGTTGAGTCATTTTCTGTGATTTCCCTGGAGCGGCACTGAATGACATAATAAGATCTTCCTTTGTATTGGGAATGGCTGCAAAAGAGAGGAAATTAGCAAACAAGGTGCACAAGAGCATTGCAATCTAGCTCAGTTTCTGTACAACTTTTGTTATTTTTCCCCACCCAAGTCATATCTTATAGGAAACTCCTATTGATTGCCTTCTTTGCTCTGTAGATTCTGGGACTTGGAGCGAGGTGAGAACTATGTAGTGTCTCTGGATGAACAGTTCGGATTTGAAGTAGGAGAATGTGTCAACTGTATTTCCTATTGCAGTGCTAAAGGTGAGAGATTTTGTTGCACTGATTTTCAACATCCTATTCATCCTTATTTACAGACAGACAGCATTCAGTGGTGATTTACTGGAGTTCATAGGAAATCATGAAGTAAACTGAATTATAGTACTTGTTTTTGTTATAGTACTTGCCTTAGAACCCTATAAGTTCAACTTTTGTTTTCCTTAGTTTTTTTTTCATTTCAGCAGTAAGATTTGGGATGTGATAGGATGCATTTTGCTACTGCTGCCAGAAATAAGCAGTCCGTTTAAAGCCCCAGAAATATACTAATCTTGGAGAAAATGACACCGTATGATCCAGACAACTACCTCTGTAAACCTGAATGATCACATTCTTTCCTACATAAAAAACAGGATAGTTACTCATGTATAAGTCTAGAAATTTTAGTCAAAAAATCAACTAAAAAAACCTGGGTCAACTAATCCATGAGTGTGAGTACTGTTTCTTAACCGTTCTCAAAAATGAATCATTACCTTTTTAAAAAAATCTCAGAAGAGAGGCAAAAGGCAAGAGCTTAGTTTATATAGGGAGAACCTAAAAAGAACCCGGTTTTTAAAAATTCTTTTCTACTCTTAGCATTTTAAACCCTTGCTTCTCTGCCTTTTATGGGCAATCTTTGTGGTTTACTACTTTGTGTCTCTATATTGCTTTTCTGTGCCACTCTCTAAATTCCCTCTTCACCTTGGTTCCCTCTTCACCTTTTTGAGATAATGTATTTTCTACTGAAGTTCCACTTCATTTCCTGTTGATTTCAGTGTTTATTTTTTCCTTTTTTATTTTTGAATTTAAGTGTTTATTTATAAAGACATTTACATACTGCCTTTTAGCACCTCCTCCATAAGTGCACTTAGGTGGTTTATAACAATAACACAAAATACAAAAATGAGATCATAGAAACAAACAAAAGATAGCACCATTAGCAGACAAATTAAATGCACTTTAAAACCTAGTAAAATTTATATTATCTTCATTGCCCACATAAGAAAAAAAAAATAACTAGAAAGCATTAACTACGGTGAGCCTTACAATTATTGAAAGCAGAGGCAGTTACATTTCAAAATCCAAGGCATCGTTATGTTGTTATGAATCTGGGTTAAAATCCCTGTGTAATTTCCATTTAAGAAGGGCAAAATTTACCTTGAGAAGAGGAAAAGAATTACTAATGTGAGAGTAAAAAATATGCATGTTCAAAATGTTAGTTTTCCTGCTGGCGGATACCTGCTTCAACCTTTATATCTCACCAGAGAATTTACCTGTCTGCTTTTATAATGATAACAATGACAAATATTATTATAATTATTATGATCACTATGTCCACCTAAAAGTCTGAGCCAAGTCCACATCAATCACACAAAATTGTTGTTGTTGTTATCATTATTTTATGTGATTAATGCAAAGCTGGCCCAGACCCTTTAATTTGCAAGAAAGATTGGGAACCCTCCAGTGTGCCTCTGTGCCTCGTGTCTCCTTTGTCACAAAAAGCTCCCTTGCACACTGTTAGGAGTATAAGAGAGCCTTTTGTGACAAATATCCCTGTGACGATGTGTAAATTTTATTCCTTTGGTTATGTGTAATTTAAACAGTAGTTTATGGATGGTAAGTATGGGGGATTATGTTTTGTTCGAGATGGTGGCTTGGCGTTAGCTGAGTTGCCATAGCAACAGGGGCGGAGCCAACTGCCTCTTCACGGGGCAGCTGTTTTGAAAAAGTCAGTCAGTAAGCCAGTGAGCTACTGGGAAGACTGAGTCTCTGGGTGGAGATTCAGGGAATGTGTCTGTAGCTGGTGTGCTATAGGGAAGACTGAATCTCTGGGTGGAGATTCAGGGAATTAATTGGTGACCAAAGGGGTTACAGAAAAGGACCCGGTAGTGATAAAACTACAGGGGGTTATTGATTCTGAGTTAAGAATCAAGGTTTGGCTGGGAGCCAATTCTGTTAATAAGCCTTTTAGCTTATTTGTTTTATTTAGGACAGTTGTCCAGAAGAGTTACATCTGCTTATAGAAACCTCTTGAAGTCTGTGCCTGAGATTACTCATGAAACCTTATTAATGTAACCAATCAAGATTTGTGCCTCTTGTGAAGAAACAGTTAAACATGTTATACTCCTGTTAAAATAAACTTGTTACTGTTTTCCTCAAGCCTTGCCTGATACAGTTTCTCTCAAGGCAAACAGCCTGCATAAGAAGTAAAGTCAAGCCAGGGACAGTAAACGCTACGCTATCAAATGAATAAAGCCTTCTGTAATTAATAGTCCCTTTATAAAATAGCTCCTAAGCTGATATTGATCGTTGCCCAGCTTTCCTCACACATTAGGTGGCAGTAAGCTTTAACCACACTCTTTCACAATCCCCATCCCCCTTTCCTTCTTGTCTTCCTAGTAGGTAGCATGATGGAAATATGTGTGTGTATGATCTTCATGTAATATGATCAGTATGGTATATTTGACAGGTCTTTTATCAGGTGGCACAGATAAAGGGAGAATAGCTATGTGGAGGAAAACATCACTCTCCAGCCAAAATACATGGTCGCTGGAAGGAAAGGACAAATGGAAGCTTCAGGCACCTACTGAGTTGGAAGGGAATATCATTCAAATACAGGTAAACAGGTCATAGATTTCTTTTTTGTTTTGAGGTGGATAAAGAATGGTTTAATCTCAATGCCAATGCCTATTTGTACTGCCCCCAGAGTATCTACTGAATTGGGGCTGCTATAGACATGAGCCCTTATCTTCTCCTTGACTATAATAAGCCTTCATAGTAAGTCCTCCAGTACATCTTTTTTAACCTTTGCTTTTCTATATTCATCCTAGTGGGGATCGAAGAAAAATTTGTTAGCTGTAAACACAACCAACTCTGTGCAGATCCTTAGTGAGCAGGCCATGTGTTCGCATTTCCACCAGCAAGTGGCAGTGGTGCAGGTTTCTCCAAACTTATTCAGCGTGACTTCTTTTAGCGACAAGATGACTGAAAATCTCCGTCTTGACATGCGGGTGAATGGGGTTTTTGCCACTAAGGTAACTTGGCATCACAACTGATTGACTGGTGTATGATTGAGAGAAGGGAGAGAGGACGGACTCAATGGAAGATTTTAGACCATGATTTGCTGAACTGCTCTAACAAAAACTCTATATATGTTTTAAAAAGAAAAAACAGCCCCAGAATATAGTTGTTTATGTGAGCAAACTGAAGCAGGACCTTATGCCACCTGTTGTGATAAAAGCTTACTGTGTCTTTTAAAATGGAAAGGAAAGAAAGGGGGGTATATAATACAGTAAGTTTGATTGTCATAACATGATTGAGATCTTCCTTGAGGGGGAATTCCATAATTATCATTCAGGTACATCCACAATAATGTGTCTGTAATCCAGTAACCATTCTGTAAGCAAGGGGATGGTTCCTTTTTTATCTAAGAATTAATACTTAACCCTAACTTTTATCAAAAATTAAACTATCTGCTTCCATAAATAGAGTAGCAAAAGGTCTTTTGAATGTGGAAATAGCAGCAACCAGGAATAACTGGTGCTCTGAGGTGGTACTTAGTGCCTTCATCTCCATAGAATGGATCTGCAGAGTGCTGCGCAGAGTGCCAAACATGTAAGGTAAAGGTAAAGGTAGTCCCCTGACATTAAGTCCAGTCATGTCTGACTCTGGGGTGTGGTGCTCATCTCCATTTCTAAGCCGAAGAGCCGGCGTTGTCCATAGACACCACCAAGGTCATGTGGCCAGCATGACCACATGGAACGCCGTTACCTTCCCACCGGAGTGGTACCTATTGATCTACTCACATTTGCATGTTTTCGAACTTCTAGGTTGGCAGAAGCTAGAGCTGACAGCGGAAGCTCACGCCAAACATGTACCCTCTACTTATTCACAGGTTGTACTAAAATCCATAGTTTTGGCTTCAAAACCTGCCCTTGACTCATATGTGAGGTGAACTTATACTCAAGTGTATATGATACATTAAGTAATGAAGTGCATCAAAGAATTTCAGATAAAAATCAGCCTGTTGTTCATAGCCACTTTGAGTCTCCTTTGGGAGAGATAAAGTGGGATATAATAATAATAATAATAATAATAATAATAATAATAATAATAATAATAATAATTAACAACAAGAACAACAAGAACAAACCAAGCCTTTGTGTAGATCATGAAAAACTATGGATTATGTGTGCCACAATATTTGTGTGTGCCACAATATTTAATTATCCTGATGCATAATCTTGTGATGAATGACTATTGGCAGGACAAAATGCAGAGAAATGGAATGGCTCCGATTGTCAAAGCAAGGCTATATTTTTATCATCATAGACCTGAGCTCTTTTCTTATCCAGTTCTTTGCCTTGTCTTATCTCAGGTCAGGTCCTTCTTTCTCCTAGCCTTGTGATCTTAATCTGAGGTTTATGTTGGATTTTCTAATATGAGATGATTTTTTAAAAAAAATATAAGCTCTACTATGTCTATGGAAATAAATGAAAATTAGATGGTAAACTGACATAATAGTCAAGACATATAATGTGTAATTTGGCCGTAACGTGGTAGCGGATAGATGCTAAGTATGAAGTAGCTTTATGCATTTTCTAAGTGTGTTGTTCTCCCCTCGATTTTGTGCAAATCTTAGGATGCTGTAGCCTTTTGGAATGGAAAGCAAGTTGTTGTCTTTGAACTTTCGGGTGCCACTTTACGAAATACAGGTATGATCTGAATAAAAAGATCAGTGGAAGTGGATTTTAGATAAACATTCTTATGTATCTTCAAATCATTTCTGATTTATGACGCACCTAAAGCAAACCTATCATAGTTGTCTTCAAGAAGAGACTAGATAGGTACCTGCTGGGGATGCTCTAGCTAAATTTTCTGCTTTGAGCAGGACCTTGGATAGCCTTTGGAGTTCCATGCAATTCTATGATTCTGTGATTATATGTTATCCTAGCCACTTATTCAGGAACATGGGAGTTTGTAAAAAGCTGAATTTTAGTTTTCTGTTATGAACATTTATAGTTCTTAAAAATATCACTGAATTGTACACATTCTTGAGAGCAATTGGTCAAATACAAAGAAACTAGGAGAAAAATACTATATTGTGTAATTCTGCAGAATATTGCTGAAACAAGATGGTTTATTGAGTGGAAATTTAAATTGTATGTGTCAAATATGTTAAGATTGTGATGGAAAACTTCTCTTTTATTTGGGATTGCTCCAGGTTCTTTCAGTTGTGATTCTCCAGTGCTGGCTATGCATGAAGAAAACCTTTACACAGTTGAGCCAAATCGGGTCCAAGTTCGCACCTGGCAAGTAAGAAAGCTGATATTATTGAGTTATTGTGAGTGTCTGTCTAAGAATTTAATTTTAGAGGGTACCAATCAGTAACTGGTGTTGGGAAAGTTTTTCCCAAGATTATTACTTCCCAGCAAACAAATATGACAACAACAGCAACAACACTTTACTTATATTCTGCCCTTCTCCCTGAGGGGACTCAGAGTGGATTACAGTATATAAGCAGAAAAAGGCAAACATTCAATGCCTTATTACAATGACATACAATGAGACACAAACACACAGACAAAGGCAAAGGCTTCTCCTTTCATTTTTGGCTCTTGGGGCGGTGATTATCTCCAGCTCTGGGAGGAGGTGCTCTTTCTCTATTTCTAAACTGAGGAGCCTGCATCCATAGACACTTCTTGGCCGTGTGGCTGGAATGACTGCTTGGAGCTTTTTTTTTTTTGCCTTTTTCTGCTCAAGCGGTAGCTATTGAACTACTCACATTTGCATGTTTTTGAATTGCTAGGTTGGCAGGAGCTAGAGCTAACAGCGGGAGCTCACCCCATCTCATGGATTCGAACTGCCAACCTTCAGTACAGCAGTTCAGCAGCACAAGGGTTTAACCCATTGCACCACCACAACCCCTATAATCCTCTCCCATCCTCTCCCTCGATTGAGGTGGAAATTATTGAAGACATGGAAGAAATTGTGTATGTCTCATTCTTCCAGATTTTCCTCCTGGCCTTTCACAGCCTTATTAGTAGGATATGCCATCCTGGAAAAAGACAGTACTTTGTTGTTCTGCAAGAAACATATTCTTTTTAATGAGGTGTAAAATTTAGGCATTTAAAAAAGCTTCCATTACAGATATGGCAATTTCAGGAGACTATAGAATTGAAAACAAAGAGGGGAAGGATTATGGAATATCAAGACCTGCTAATTCTGTACTTCTGAAAATAAGGGAACTGTGGTTCAGGCATTGATATATGCTCTGGAAGCAATTTCAGGCAGAATGACAAAACACCTGAATGAAATCACCATAGTGAAATTACCATAGTGAAATCAACCAGGGAAATTTCCTCATTGATTACTAGATCTTTGGGTCTAATCTGAGGCAAATTCCATTCAGTAACATCTGGGAAGCAAGATGACAATAGTAAGAATTTCTATAACAACAAATATATAGTTAATAGTTTATGGTGAAAGTCGTAGAGTGACAGAACTGAAACTTTAAAATAAGACTCTATGCATGTCTCTCCCTCCCTTTTTCGCACTCTCTCACACACATATGCATTCATGCATGCAGGGGTATTTGCTGCTTGTTAGTGGTTAGCAAATGAAATTGAGATGAGCCACTTTGGTCTTTGTGGTGATTTTTAAGAAAGAGGGGAAGTTTGAGTTTTGAAGAATTTACTCCTCTTCCATTCCAGGGCACAGTTAAGCAGCTACTAGTGTTCTCTGAATCAGAAGGAAATCCATGCCTCCTTGATGTCTGTGGGAATTTCCTGACAGTGGGAACAGACTTGGCAAACTTCAAAATATTTGATCTTTCTCGCAGGTACAAATAAGACATAACATTGGGGGGAAAGAAAGAGCTCCATTCTGGATTATATAGAGTCTTTTCTAACCCTGGACTGTTTCATAGCTATGAATTAGGGTGTAATACTACTTTCAACACAAGGAAAGATTCTGCTAGCACAAAACATTGCTCCCTTTGCTACGTGCATACAGAGAGGGAACCCGCAGGTAGCCTCTGCAGAGCGCTGTCCATATTTGCTTGTTTATGTAAAAACAGGAAAAAGGGTATGGAAAAGAGAAGGGAATACCTGCTGTCTTACTTAGAAATTGGTATTTGCGTGATAAATTAATATGTGCCCACAGTGAACCATGGATTTATTTTTCTGGTCAAAACAACTAATGTTGCTCTTAAGGCAACATGGAAAAAAACACTTTTGTAACACTCAGTAGTTTTTTCATAACTGTGAAAATAGATCACAAGGCCTGCAGGCGGAATACAACCCGCCACGTCATTTTATGTGGCTTTCTCCAGATGCTGGACTACAGCTCCTATATTCCTCATGACTAGAGCTGATGAGAGTTGTGATACAATAACATCTGGAAGACTGCAGTTTGTTCTGTTCAGTCAGGAGAGTGGGGTTTGGATTGAGAGACAAGGCTTGTAGATATGAAGCCTGACTTTAAAATGTCCTTTAACCTTTCCCCATCCTCAGAGCCACAAGGTCTGTTGGGTAGCAATTCCTGTTATCCCCAGATAATAAAAAGGGATGGAAGTTGTCCTTAAAGAACATCTTGGGACCCAAAACGGGTAAAACCTAAAGAGCAGCGACCACTATGTAAAAAATACATAGTTGACCCCCCATCCATGGATTCAACAGCTCTTTGAAGGCAACCAGAAGGCTGATGTAGCCCTCAATGAACATGAGTTTGATACCCCTGATTGTTCCAATTCTTCCGACAGAGAGGCGAAAGTGCACTGCAGCAGTAAGGCTCTGACAGATCTGCTTCCAGGTACCGGTGGGATTACATCTGTCAAATGCAATGCAAGTGGAAACAAAGTGAGCATTCTCATCAACAAGGTGAGCTTGGGCTGTATTTTTTGTTGTTGTTTGGGACATGTTTTCTTGTAATTAAGGCCTGAAGCAACATCAGAGCTTACAGAGTTGGAAGGGCCAACCATTCCAACCCCTGTTATGTAAGACATCCATGATGACTACTTTGAAGTGCATTTCTTTGCATTTTAATGTTTAAACTAGAGATAACCAGTAGGCTGTGTAAGTGAATGTTTTAAATTTTTAGGTCTAGAATTAGAAATATTCTATTTTTTAAAGATTCAAAACTGTTTTTAAAAATTGCTCAGGAGTGGCTCTAAACCCAAGAATATCAAGGCCTTTATGCATATGTGTTGTTCTTTATTTTTCTCATTCCCCCGAGTTATTATACCTTTCCCCCCACATCTAACTCTTCCTCTGTATACATTTGTAGGCTGATGGGAGTCTTGATTCCAAGATCTGTTTCTATGACATTGAAATGGATACAGTCACCTTGTTTGATTTCCAGTCTGGCCAACAGAAAGATGGCAGGGAGATTTCCTCCTTTGGACAGGAAGCTGAAGGGTGAACATTTTTCTTAATGCTTACATTATTCTTTGAAAAAGCTTACTCTGAAATGATTTTTTTTGTTCCATTACTTTGTGCTATATAACAGTGTTACCTTATTCACAACTTGAATAAAGTAAGCGTGGAGAAGGGAAACCCTATCCAACTTACTGAGCTCATTAGAGGAAAGGAAGAGATCTCTATCTATACACATAAAAGTGAAAATATGTATATGTGTGTGTGGCTGACGTGTCCCACTTACACAGACAAGCTCTTGCCCCCACAAACAGCTATAGCTCCCACTACTCAGGAGACACCAATGGCCATCCCTCCAGTGCCATTACAGGTTACAGTGAGTGCCATGAACGCAAACTCCTTACTGCCAATCACCCAAGTGAAGGCTTTCATATGGGAACAATTTCATCTTAGATTTTATGTGTTTCCTCCACCACAGACATCCCAGTGTTTCAGACTCTCTCCATTGGTGTGGAATTTGCATGACCCCGCCCATTGCCTCCCTTAACCCTTTCCTATTCTTTTCTATGGCACACAGCAAACAGGAATTGACCAGCAACTGAACATACTAGAGTGGTTTGGGGAGAATTCATCATAATTTATAGGAGTTGTGGGTCCTGAAATGTATAGTATTCGAATATTGGTGGCTTTTGAGGGGAATTGGCCTGGACATTTTGGAGTTGTGGGTACTAGGATTTATAGTTTCACCTGCAATCAATGAGCACGCTGAACTCCGCCATGGAATTGGACCAAACTTGGCACACAGAACCCCCATGACCAAGAGAAAATACTGGAGGTCTTTTGGGGGGGGGGGAGTCACCTTGATTTGGGGGAGTTGTAGTTCACCTACATCCAGAGAGCACTGTGAACCCAAACACTGATGGATCTGGACCAAACTTGGCACACATACTGATATACTGAAATTTAATTACTGGAGGGGTTTGGGGGAAACTGACCTAGCATTGTAGTTCACTCACAACCAAAGAAACTGTGACCTCCACCAATAATGGACCAGGACCAAACTTTGCACACAGAACCCCCAAGACTGACTCACCATAGTGGGTGTTGTAGTTTACCCTGCAGCCAGAGAGCACACTGAACCCCACTGATGATGCATCTAGAGCAGTGGTTCTCAACTTGTGGGTCCCCATGTGTTTTGGTCTTCAATTCCCAGAAATCTTAATAGCTGGTATACTGGCTGGGATTTCTGGGAGTTGTAGGCCAAAACACCTGGGGACCCACGGGTTGAGAACTACTGATCTACAGCAATATAACAATGAAACAATCTTCAAAAGCATTATAGTATTTTTAGCCTAATACAAGTTTAATTTAGAGTAACCTTATCAACATCCCTCCAGTTTGTTTTTTCATTGATTTTGGAGTTGATTGTTGACTTCTTTGTGGGCTGCTTTTAAACACAAATATTTTGTATAAATCCACTTGAGGGCACTGTGAAACTATCAACCGGCATTTCAAAATGTTGTCAGTTGCTATCAGCAATAAGCTTGCCATTTAATATTGAACATTTAGTGTACATTTTGATAGAATATGTTTATTATATTAAGATGTATACTATATCAGTTCGAAGGGAAAGCCCCAGAACCAAAGGACTGTAGCCTCAACATGTTAATATTATAGTTATAGGAGTAAAAATAGTATTTCTATAGCAAGATGCATATTATGTCTGCATTTGACATGATCTGAATATTCATTAAAATTGAATCTGTATATCCCTCTAAAGTATTTTTAGTATACATATTGAGGCTATAGTGCGGTTTCTTTCATTTAGTAGAGAGTTAGTGTACATTTTAATATAATACAATATATTAAAATGTACACTAAATCTGTATTAAATTGGCTGTCAGTTGGTGTCACCAGTAAGATTGCCATTTAATATAGCTCCCATCATGTACTGAAACTCTAATATTATTCTGTTTTAGTTTCAATAAATGCAGTGGTCTGTGTTTTATTCTGTTTGCATTCTGTATTTTCGGTGCCATTTATGGGTTTTACGAAGTATGGTTACCCGGATTAATGCCTGTGTTGTCTCAATAGGAGAAAAATCTCTGATCTTCCTGAGCTGTGGGATCACATCCCTGTTAGCCACTTCTGGGATCAAAATGAGCCGAGGCTTTTCATCTGTGAAACTGTCCTTGACCCAAATCAGCAGTCCCTGGACAAGAAACAACAATCCACAGAAAGCCTAGTATGTCTTTTTGTTGTTGTTCATATCTCATTGGGCACTACCCAGGAATTGTTTCATGCTGACACAGTTCTAGGCATTTAACTAGCATTTTCAGCCATGTGCCATGTGAGGGAGAGCTGAAAACCTGGAAATTATCATTCAAAAGACTGATTCTGATTAAATGCAATAGAAAAGAGCTAAAATAATAAATAGAGCACCCTTGATAAAGGTTCATTCTTGTCACATCAGTTAGCTGCCCCCATCCCCTAGACAAGGTGGGATCACCTGAATTAGAAGGCTTGTTTTATCTAGAGAGATCCCTAGCTAATTTCTTTCTATAATGAAGCCAATATGAGGAGAGAATGAGAGGTAAGTAATTTGCAAAACAAACAAAACAAAACAAAACCAAAAACTAACAACAGTGCAGTAGTAGAATACACTCTAAATGAAGGGCCCAAGAAGAAGCAAACCTTTCCCTTTTGTAATGTTTTTTAAAAGTAGAAGCATCAGTCCATAAAGCTATTTTGCAGATTTCCTCCAATGGAGCATTTATGGAGAAAGCTGCAAACTGAAATGAACTCGAGAGGGGAGAAAAGCAGGGTATAAATAAAGATGATGACAATGACATAGTCCTAGCAAACTATATGCAATTTCACTCACTTTGTTAGGTTTGAGTAATTGCTCATGTCTGTGGTCTTCATGTTTAATACTTTGTTCATTTTTGTTTGGATAATGCCCTTTCTTAATAAAATGAAATATGAGAAAGAAAACTGAGAAGGAAGATTGGATTCAGCTGGGCCAGGGAAAGTACTGAAGGAGGAGGGGGTCCTTTTCTGAGAGAAACAAGTTGCCCGACTGAAAAGTTTCTCCTACAGACAAGGGGAAAATTATTTCTTTCAGGATTCTGCAACTTCATTGGATATGGGAGACGTTATTATCTTCATTTCATTCTGTTCATTTTTAATTCTGCCACTTCTCTATGTTCTTGTAGTATTTTCAATAGCAGTTTGATACTATTCACCGGGTCGTCTGCAAATGCCTTTGTCTTACATATATTTTCAGAAACATTAATGTTGAGTGGCCAGTTGTGTTGCAGTCTACAGGCAGTCCCCGAGTTACAAACTGTTGGAAGTAGAAAGCTTCACAAGCCTCCATTAGTTATTTGTTATGTATATAATGGTGCCCCCGGTGGCACACTGGGTTAACCCGCTGAGCTGCTGAATTTGCTGACCGAAGGGTTTGAAGCCGGGGAGTGGGATGAGCTCCCATTTTTAGGCCCAGGTTCTACTAACCTAGTAATTCAAAAACATGCAAATGTGAGTAGATCAATAGATACCACTCCAGTGGGAAGGTAACAGCGCTCCATGCAGTCATGCTGGCCACATGAGCTTTGAGGTCTGTGCACACAATGCTGGCTCTTCAGCTTAGAAATGGAGATGAGCATCACCCCCCACCCCCACCGAGTCGGTCGCGACTAGATTTAATGTCAAGGGGAAACCTTTACCTTTTATATAATTGCTTATTGTATTGTATATGTGTGTTTTCTTGCAGTTTTCTTTTAACTCTTTGTTGTGGGAGGGGCTGCAGACCATGTGATCAGAACTGGGATTATTCAGGGCTCAGACTCCATTTTAGAACTGTTTTCTTTAGACTTCAGAAGGAACAGTATGCTTACAGACTCCTTTGGACTTTCAGACTAGACAGAGACTCTATTAGAGATGTTTTAGATTATGGACTGCCCTGTGTTACCTACACATAGAAGGTACTTCAAATTCTACCTGTAACAGGATTGATAAACAAAGTACCTGTATGCTGTTTGTGAGTAAAGAAACGGTTACTTTTTAAGAAGTCTGCTCATTTTTTACTCTTGAGAGCATGATTTGAAAGGCAAATATATTTTAAGGGGGAGTAGATGTTTTTGGGCAACTAAGGAGACGCTTCTGAAACTTTGCTGTACATAGTTATGCTTTTTTGTGCTTTGTCATATCTTTGTCTCTAACCATTCAAAGGCATACCTAGGCACAGCAGTTTAACAACTGAGAAACCTAGTTACCTTGCATGAACACCATTTTATGAAAGGTTATGAGTTGTAACTGGTCATGCTTTTTACCAAAAGGTTATGGCAACATTTTTCAAAAGTTTGTGACTTCTAACAAGGTCATGCCTTTCCAAAGATCATAAAATCTCCAAAATGTTCTGGAGATTTCCATTTTCTAAAACAAACATCTGACTTACAAATGATTCATATTGAAGAACATGCCTGAGACAATAGGAAGTGAGAGAAATCTACCCCTAGGAAGGGAAATCCACTCCTGAAAGAGTTATTATTACATGGAAAGGGGGTCTCCACTGGAGCTTTTTCACCAATCCATGTTTCCCCAACAAGCCCATTTTTTCAAAATCCAATTCTGATAGGGACAGAAAATGAACAGGGGCACAGAGAGCAAAACAAACACCACAGGGGTGTTCACCCTTCCTTATGAAATCCAGAGCTAATATATATATGTGTGTGTGTGTGTATGGCTGAAGTTATACTTTAAAAAATTTCCTGTTCCGACTTCCATACAAATTCAAAGAACAAACCTACAAAACCTGCTTTGTTTGTAAATTGGGGATTGCCTGTATATATATTTTTTTCGAGAGGAAACAAATAGCTTAACAATCTAACAAAGCAAACATAAAAAAATTGTGCCACTAATTCCCAAATATTATTCTTTTTTGCTTTCCAGGTGGATGCTTTGATTATATGCTTTTTCATTACTGAAGAGCATGGCCTTTTGCTGCAGGACAGCTTTCCATTGCCATCATCCTACCAGTCTCTCTTAGGCATGGAGGTGCCACATTACTATTTTTCTAGAAAGGTGAGAAAACTAAAGAGGTCACTTCTGAAATCCTAGCCTCTCTCTGCATGCTGCAAACCTGTGCAACTCTGGAGTAAGTAATGATACACTCATAATAGAGCAGAGCTACTGAAAGTGATGATCCCTGACACATTTCCAGAAAAAGAGACAGCAGTAACCAATGGGTATAAATGTGCCAGTCCCTGGTTCATTAGACCAAAAAACAAAACAACCCCCCCCCCCCCCCAAATAAACAAAACAAACAAACAACCCTGATCCTTCACATCAGATAACATAAGAAGTACCGGACTGGAATACTGATTTTAAAATGCACAAATATTTCTCGGCACAGTGTAAAATTCGAATGTCACAGTCACTGTTGGCAGGTTTTCAATCCAATATATATTAAAATGAAGGAACAAGTGAATAGCATTAATTGTGGGTGGGTTACATGGCACGTATACATTTTAGATGTATGCAATGTCACTGCGACATTGCATACGTGTCGCAGTGACATGTATGCAATGTATGCTGAAGTGGGGCAATTATGTCAAGGGCCGTTCTCCAGGACTTGGATGTTGTTGTTCTTTAATTTCAGTTGATAATCCTTTGAAGTTTCATGGTAGATAGAGGATATTGAACCCCCCACTCCCGTACCTCTTCAAAGTGTGTCTTCTGGGAACTTAACCTGATAGGATCAAGTATTGTTGTGGTACTAACAGAAGAGAGGTAACTCCTTGGATAATCGGCACCCCCTGCCTTCTCCTGATAAAGAAAATTATTATCATATCTATAGAGGAAGTGGGAGAAAGAAGACAAAGTTATCAGGAGCTTCCATCCAGCTCCTGATAACTGTACCACCAGAGGAAATAGTGAGCCATGAAGTTGCATTGATGTAGTATTCTGGGGAATTCAGATGGGTAGAACAGCTACAAGGAGGACAGTGCATACTAGAAAAATCAGCAATTTAACCTAGAGCAGCATTTCTCAACCTGGAGATCAGGACCCCTGGAGGGGGTCGCAAAGGGGTGTCAGAGGGGTCGCTAAATACCATCAGAAAACATAGTATTTTCTTTTGGTCATGGGGGCTCCGTGTGCGAAGTTTGGCCCAATTATATCATTGGTGGGGTTCAGAATGCTCTGATTGTTGGTGAACTATAAATCCCAGCAACTACAACTCTCAAATGTCAAGTTTTATTTCCCCCAAATTCCACCAGTGTTCACATTTGGGCATATTGAGTATCTGTGCCAAGTTTGGTTCAGATCCATCATTGTTTGAGTCCACAGTGCTCTCTGAATGTAGGTGAACTTCAGCTCCAAGACTCTAGGTCAATGCCCATCAAACCCTTCCAGTATTTTCTGTTTTTCATGGGAGTTCTTTGTGCCAAGTTTGCTTTAATTGCATCATTGGTGGAGTTCAGAATGCTCTCTGATTATAGGTTAACTATAAATCCCAGCAACGACAACTCCAAAATGACAATTGGGCGTATTGGGTATTTGTTCCAGATTTGATCTAGTGAATGAAAATGCATCCTGCATATCAGCTATTTACATTATGATTCATAACAGTAGCAAAATTACAATATGAAGCAGCAGCAAAAATAATTTTATGGTTGGGGGTCACCACAACATGAAGAACTGTATTAAGAGGGTCGCTGCATTAGGAAGGTTGAGAAACACTGTTGTAGGATCACTTTGTACCAGCAGCATGGGTCCTACCCCCTAATTGGGCACTACAGGTGATGTGGCATGGGACAATGCCATATCTTCTCTATTCCCGATGACAGGCATGGCATCACTCGTGCTGGACATGCAGCTTACCCTATCTGAATTACAAATGATACTTGGAATCAGTGGGACTGGGACACTTCTAATTTAAAGACTCTTGCACACAAATAGCATGAAAAGGCAAATGTTAAATGACTGACAAAAGACCTCTATAAGTTTCTACAAGTGATCTTTATAGCTGCAGTAGTAGTGTAACATGAGGCTTTTTAATTTCACTATACCGCCTGTCATTTCAGTTTATCTGTATTACTCTGCATATTGTTTATTATTTTATTTGCACTTCTTTCTTTTTTCGTTTCTGCTACCTATAGTTATTGTTTTGGAGGGGAGCTCTCTATAAACCTTATGTAAGTATTATGAGCTGTCCTGTCTTCATTATTATTTGTTTTCATTTCAAGGGCTTCTTTGATCCAGTTCCTGTTTGCTTTATTCTGCATATTTATTAATAATGCTTTTTGGGAGGTGATCATTTTTTTTTTCTGAGGAAAGTCGATTTGCAGATATTATCATATTGGCATCATGGAAACCTGGTGGAATGAGGCTCATGGTTGTAATATAATTAATTTCTGAGAAATAGACTAAACAGAAAAGGAGAACTTAGCAGCACTATACAAAACGTTTACACTTGTAAGGATTTCCATGACTTAAAGCAGTGGTTCTCAACCTGTAGGACCCCAGATGTTTACCAGCTGTTTGGATTTCTGGGAGTTGAAGGCCAAAACACCTGGGGACCCACTGGTTGAGAACCACTGACTTAAAGAATATCTGGGTAGAAATTAAGGGGGATAATACATTCCTGGAAAAGAAGTCCACATATTTAGAAAAGAGAGATATAATAGTAATGTGAAATTTCAGCTATCCTAGACTAACAGTTGGAAGATATCCCAAAGGCTATCTGGTCCACTCACTTACCATGTAGGAATACGCAATCAAAGCACCCCCCGACAGATGGCCATCCAGTCTCCACTTAAAAATTTCCAGCGAAGGAAACTCTACCAGACTCACAGGCAGCATATTACACTATCAGATAGTTCTTACAGTCAGGAATTTCTTCTTAATGTTTAGATGGAATCTTCTTTCCTGCAGTTTGAATCCATTGTTCCATTGAGTACTAGTTTCTGTGGAACAGAAAACAAGCCTTGCTCCTTCCTTCTCAATGGAACATTCTTTCAAACATTTAAGCATGGCTATAATGTCTGCTCTCAGCCTTCATTTCTCCAAGCTAAACATATTCAGCTCCTACAGCCATTCCTCATAGGGGTTAATTGCCAGACCTTTCATGGTTTTGGTCGGCCATCTCTGGACTTGTCAATATCCCTTTGAATTGTAGTGCCCAGAATTTGGTGTCACCTGCAAATTTTGTAAGTATGCCTTCCGTTTCACCATCCAAGTCACTGATAAACATGTTGAACATGATTTGCTGTGCATTGTTTGTTCTTGTTTTGCTATATAACAATTTTTCCTTTCAGCCAGAAGCAGAGAAGAAAGATGAGATGGAGCCTGGTGTGATATCGCTTTACCAGATGGTAGCCAGAAGGCCGATGCGCGATTTCGTTGGTCTGGAAGAGTGTGACAAAAGTACGCTTGACGCTGTGCTTAACTTCAGCTTGTATCTTACAATTGGCGATATGGATGAAGCCTTTAAATCCATCAAACTTATAAAAAGGTAGGATCAGTACTCGATTTGAATGTGATTGTTGATGGTGTTTATTTTCTCTTTCTCTTACTAATAAGTGTCTTCATTCTGTTTGGAGCCTGTTATCCAGATTTTAGGCATGATTCGATTTGATTTTGGATGTGATTTGGTTGTTTTGAGACCAGTTTTCCATTGAATGTGCTTGTCTTATGTGTGTTTGCCCCATGCCTCATTGTAGTTATTCTTAATAAAACTTATAATTAGGCTGCACAATAAAGAAATCACAGATGTGCAACCATATTTTGGGCAAAACCCATCTCTGCCTGCTACTTCCACCAGGAGGAATTGCCATTCGATGCCTGTCACTTCCATCTGACTCCTTTCTCTGCTTCTTCAGCGTGATACCTGTGGTATTTCCTGCACCCACGCAGCTGTTCGGATTCTTCTTTTAAAGCTTTGTTCAATTAGGGACTCCAGCCCTGCCATCTCCATCAGTTATATAACACGGCAGCGAGGCTTGAGGCTTTAGCTCCTTTTGCCAATGGAAGCGGCAACCTCGGTATTTGCTCCACTTGCTACAAAACGACTCTCGGTATTGACTTGGCCTGCTTCCTGGAAACAGGAGGTTGTCCTTTCAACCCTTATGAAGCCACCTTTTGAACCAATGGCTACTTCCGACATATCTCCCCTGCCCTGGAAGACTGCCTTTTTGGTGGCTGTCACTTCTTCTCGTCATACTAGCCAGCTCACAGCTCTGCGGATCAATGACCCCATCTCAGGTTCTATAAGGACAAGATCATACTTCATATCTTTTTTTGTCTAAGGCAGCATCTCAGTTTCACATGTCTCAGGACATTGTTCTTTTCATTCCATTTCCAGATCCTTCTATGCCTCTTGAGTAGTCACTACATCTCCTTGATGTATGCAGGGCTCTTGCTTTTATGTACATCGCATAGCTCCACTATGGAAGTCGCTGAAACTTTTTATCAAGTTCTGCAAGGATACCATAGGTCTTCTGGTATCTACTCAAAGATTGGGAGCATGAATTGTCTCAACTATCCACCTGGCATACCAGTTGGCAGGACTGGACTTACCTGTTCAGATCCATGCACATTTTACCTGGGTAGTGGCTGCATCTACAGCATTCTTGCATGGGGTGCCACTAGATGACATTTGTTGGGTGGGTATTTGATCAAAATTGCATGCATTCATCTCCCACTACAAACTGGATTTGGCCGCCAAAGAACATATGGCATTTGGCAGAGCGGTTCTATTTTCTGCATTGGCATGATGCCTACTGTAATGTATTGGCCTACCTTAAAGGTTGTTGTAAAAGGTAGAAAATAGGCCCAGCTTACAAAAGGTAAGGAGAAAGGTGAGTGGAGCAAGCAGGCAGCCTCATAGCCAGAAGTGCAGTTTGATTGGCTAATGAAATTGGAGGGAAAAACTCAGTAACTGGAGATGGGCGGAGCCAGAGGCAAAGAGAAGATGCTGAGGCAGCCATTTTATGATCAGTTAGAAGTTTGGTGTGGAAGAAGAAGGGTTAGGAGTTTGAAGGCAGGAAGTTTTGAAACTGTTAATGGTTTATGAAAATTCCTCTTTGAGGGCAATAGTTAATAGGCCTCTATAGTGATTAGAGTGCTGTGGAAGGAAGGGAGATTTTAAAAGTTTTAAAAGATCCTGTTTGGATTTGTGTGTGTGTAACTTCGCTGTAAGAAACTCAAGATAAAGGTACCATCCTCTGTAAGAAGTGAAGCCTGATAAGTTATCTGAAACCATTACACATATTAACTGTTCAAAATAAACAACATTTTCCTGTTTTATTCCAATCGAAGTCTTCATGTGGCTCTTTAAGCATTCCAGTGGAGGAGGTAGCCTATTAAAATAATAAATTGCTGGCAGCAAAAGAAATATTAATAAATATTTGGAGGCAGCAAAGGCAAAATATAAAATACAGTAGTTTCCCACTGACTGGCCTTCTGTGTGTGTGTGGGTGGGTGGGTGGGGGGTGCACTCTGATTTCCTCACGGCTTCACCTTGGGCCAGACCTTGTCGTTTGTCCTCCATCTTGTGTGTGGTATGCCCGAGGCAGATTCTGCCTGCCCTCACTCCATTGTTATAATTGGTGGCAGTTATACCCACCATCTGTGGTGCAGCTTGCTAGTCTACCACAGGTGCGTACTTCACAGGGACCATGCTGAAGAAAGTAAGGTTGCTTACTTGTAACCATGTTTCTTCGAGTGGTCACCTGTGAAATTCGCACAACCTGCCCATCCTCCCCACATACTTTTATGCCGTTGTTTGCGGCTGCTCCTTGCGGTACAGAACTAAGGCCTCAAGCCCTGCTGCCAGTTATATTACTGGTGGGAATGGGTGAGGTTGGAGTCCCTAATTGAACAAAGCTTTTTAAGAAGAATGTGAACAGTTGCACAGACACTACCACAGGTGCGAATTTCACTGGTGACCACTCGAAGAAACATGGTTACAGGTAAACAACCTTACTTTATTGGTTGCAGTTAATTATTGAAATGCTGGTTATGTGATTGTATATAAAATTGCATATGCTCTCTTCGTTCATGTTTTATTAGGTGCATATGCTAAGTACCAGTGTTGGTTTGAACTCAAAAAGCTACATTTCCATGGGATGTTTCTTAAGTAGCTGCCTCCTATGACAACTCTCAAATAGTTGGTGATATGCCATTTGGCATTCATCCAGCATTGCCATTCAGAGGGAGGAAAAACTTTCTGCTGGAATGCTTTCTTCTTTGGCACATAAAACAATGTATTGGTTCCAGAATATTTTTTCTATTCTCATAAGAATAGTATAATTCAATGTCTCTTCCCACCTCCTTTCTTCTTGAAGGTAGTTGAACTTCTCAACTTTATTTACTTTTCTAATATAAGCACATTGATTCTAAATATTGTAGTAAAAATGTCCACAGAGCCCCAGTTTTTCCTAATTTTACATTATTATACTTATTGCAATACTAAAAAGGTAACAAATGGTTCTGATATTTTAAATACATATTTTAATTGCAGTTAATGAGAGTACATTTAATTTTCAGCAAATGTAGATCTTTCCTTTAAAAAAGCCAAGTCAGTCAGACTGAGATACAGCCCATTTTTTGATTATTTGGGTCCCTATATAGCAGTGGTTCCCAACCTTTTTTTAAAAAAAACCAGGGACCACTTGAACAGGGACCACTTTGACCAGGGACCATTCTCCAAAAGGGTTACAAATCATGTTTTGGTCAACTTTAGATACAGTTAAGTTATTTTAGGGTGCTGATACAGAAAATTGCATTGGATAGTCCACGTCAGCTCTAATTTCTGATACAGAACATATGCCATCCAGTAGTCACCATCTGCTCGGCCACAGAAAACCATATTTAATAATCTAGAACTGATGTGGTAGTAGTAATCTTTTGTAGGTAGTCAGCGTCTCCCCTCCTGACATCCCCATTGCCTCGGCACTATAAAAGGGTTTCGCAAGACCAGTTGCTCTTGTTGCCACATGGTTTCGAGGCAGTGGTTTAGTAATGGTGAGGCCATGGAGCATCTTTTCGTTCTTGGGGACCACTGGCGGTCCATGGACCACAGGTTGGGAACCACTGCAGTATATAGTCTTACCAAGATGTTCTGACAAGTCTTATTTTAAGACATTCTGGAGACTTGCTGTGATACTTTCATACAGGTTTTTCAAACTTCAATTATAATTGGTTTGATAGCCTTTAGAAATACCATGGCAAATAGAACTGCTTTGAAGAAAGAGTTTATAGAATCATAGAATCATAGAATCAAAGAGTTGGAAGAGACCTCATGGGCCATCCAGTCCAACCCCCTGCCAAGAAGCAGGAATATTGCATTCAAATCACCCCTGACAGATGGCCATCCAGCCTCTGTTTAAAAGCTTCCAAAGAAGGAGCCTTCACCACACTCCGGGGCAGAGAGTTCCACTGCTGAACGGCTCTCACAGTCAGGAAGTTCTTCCTCATGTTCAGATGGAATCTCCTCTCTTGTAGTTTGAAGCCATTGTTCTGCGTCCTAGTCTCCAAGGAAGCAGAAAACATGCTTCACAACTTCTCTACTTGTTTTGATATTTTGCTGTTACACATCAAAACAAACCAATGCATATACAAAAGCCAGAGACTTATTTTTGAAATAAAAAGCTTCGGGTGATATAGTGCTTCCATGGAAGGGAAAATGTAATTCCAAACGAACTGTAAATATCTGTGAGCCTTAAAATACCCACAATATATTTGGGCTTGAGTTCATTCAACTTGTCTATGTAGCACCTCATCACAATGGAAATCAAGAACCAGCTTGATAATGTATTTTGTGAAGAAAATGACAGGGTGGAAGTGGGGAGTGAATGGTTGATGCCAGCATGAAAATGAAGGACAGATTTCAGATTATTATATATTTTAAAGGTCTCTGATAAAGAGACATTAAATATGAAGCGATTCACATGTCCATAAAACTTGGTTGGTTGACTGTGTAGTAGAGCAACCTCTCCCATCGTTGCCAAATATTTTGCTTAAGTGAACTAATAGATTGGGGAGGCCAGTTCACATTTCCTTTCATGTGCTACAGATGTCACTTTCTACTACTCTTACCTTTTTATGTGTCCTGGTCATTGGACAATGAACATCCCCATGGTACAGCAAAAAGATTAGGACTTCCTATTGAAAGGCATTTTTTGCATTCCTATCATTTAAATAAGAAATAATACTTTTTTTTTCCTTCCAAGAAACTTAAATATGCAATATTTCCCATTCCTGCCTTCACATCCCAGTAACTTTGATAGTTCATATCTTGGTACGAGACTTGGCATCTTTGGTACTTAAAACAAAGTGGCATCAAGTATGGCAATGGCCAGCCATCAATTTTGAACTTAATTATTGGTTTGACACCCTGGGTTGAGAATTGTATGGCCTTCCAGATATTCAAATGTAATTTCCAGCAACCTGAGAGTTGTAATCCATACATATCTGGAAAAGCCGCACAGCTACATTTATTTGTTGGAACTTAATGGAAAGAGGAACAAAACATTTCTGCTTTGAATAACTATAAATGGAGCACATTTTAGAACGGTGATCTTTAGGATGTACCTCTTTCTCAACAGAATAAAGTTTCCTAAAATATCACAGAAGACATGTTTAAAATAATAAACTTTCATTTCTTAAAAATGATGTTTTCACAATACCTGATAAGCTGTGCCTGTGATTGATGGACTTGCCCAGCTTTGATACAGAAGTATTTTTATCCACTTAGATTTTGTGCATCCCATCAAGTGTTACAAAAACATTGCAAAAATAGTGAGTCGGGTTAATTTGTTGTTTCCTCTTTCAAACTGTTCAGTTGTTGGTTCTGCAAAAGGGCCAAGAACCCTTGAGCTTGTTTGCCTGTTATGAAATACAGGCTAACGTTTTTTTCGTAAAAAGATCGAGAGCTTGGACTGTTGAACTGGCTGTTCCCCCATTTTCACTCCCACTCCCTCACAAAACTTCATCCACTTTATATCTCACACAGTTTGAATCATCTACCTTTTGACTGGCATTCCATCAGGGTTGTTTAGTGGTTAGTATTTTACACTGTACATCAGAGGCATATTATATATAGATGTAGCCCATCCAAATAATAATATTGGGCTTCTTTAATAGACATGTGAATGTCGTGGTTTTCTTGAGGATTTAAATAAAGTGGCATATTTATAGAAAGAAATCCATTTTTAAAATCTTCTCCGGAGCATTTTCCTTTCTGCCCACCACACATTCTCAACATGGCGACTCAACATAGTCATTGTCCAGACCTCGCCGGAAGCGAGCGGTCAAGGTGCGGCTGATCACGATGACCCTGGGTGCCATGCAGTCTTCCCGTCTGTGAAGGATGTTCCATATGAGAATGGCCGCGCCCAGGGTGGCCAAAAGGCAAGCCCCAATGTTCAGGTAACAGGACCAGGACAGCGTTGTGTAGGGTCCTATGCGGTAGAAGGTGACCAGCCCAATGACCAGGGCAAAACCTTTTTAAAAAAGCAATAGCATTCTAGGTTAGTGACATTCCTATCATATTGAAAAACATCTAAAACAGACTAACAAAACATGGAAAAATTGCCTATTTTGATTCAGGATGATACAACAGAAGTTTAAGCTACAATAGAACTGGTTGTGACATAACAGCCATATTGTTTGAGGAGCAGAAGAAATGATGCTAAACAAATGTACATATAGGTTATATTGTTTATAAATAACTAGATTAACTATAATTGTGAGAGAAATAATACTGTGAAAGCCACCCACTGTATGTCTGTCAGCCTCCTCCCAGTAGACTCAAATCAAGGAAAAGTTTCATAAGAACCACTATTCCTTTAAATCAGTGGTTCCCAGCCCTTTTTTGACCAGGGACTACTTAACTAGGGACCACTTTGACCAGGGACCACTCTCCAACATTAGTACCAAAAGGGTCACATAACAGTTTTTGGTCAACTTTAGATTCTGTTTGGTTATTTGGGGTGCTGATTCAGAAAATTGCATTGGATAGACCACATCAGCTCTAGTTTTCGATACGGAACATATAGCACTCAGTAGTCAATGTAACCACTCTCCAATGTAATGTTATGAATCAGCACTCCAAATAACCCTAGGAACAGGCCTAAAAATGAAAAAACCAAGGCACCCCCACTTCCAGGCAGCTCTGCTTCCGGGGGGGGGGGGGGGGGGGAGGAAGAGAAACAGCAGTTAGGAGGCTTGTTGTCACACCTTTCTTGGGTAGTCAGCCTCTTCCCTCCCAACATCCCCATTGCATTGGCACTATATGAGGGTTTTGCGAGACCAGTTGCTCTCGTTGCAATGGTGTAGTAGTGCTGAGGCCATAGACCATATTTTAGTTCTTGCAGACCACTGTTGGTCCACGGACAACAGGTTGGGAATCACTACTCTAAATGTTCCTCCACCAACAGCAAGAATATCCCTGTGGGCAGCAAAATCGGGCAGTTCCAACTAGATGGCCCCCCAATAGGCTCTTCCTCCAGGAGCAAACAAAGAATGGGCAACTTGGAAATCATTGAACAGACTCAGAAGTGGAGGTGGTAGATCAAAATACTACCTGGCAATATGGCATTACTTAGAACAGTGGTTCTCAACCTGGGGTCCCCAGATGTTTTTGGCCTTCAATTCCCAGAAATCCTAACAGCTGGTAAACTGGCTGGGATTTCTGGGAGTTGTAGGCCAAAAACATCTGAGGACCCCAGGTTGAGAACCACTGACTTAGAAGAATATGGTACCTTGTGTGACTGGACCAGAACAAACAATTCAGCATCTGTATGCTTGCCCACAATGCTCTGCTTCATGCACAGAGGAAGAAACGTTAACAAAACTACAGACAATTCAGTCGTCGTTGACAGTTTTTGGTCAAAAACTATTTAGCTGCTTGTGGTCATTTTATCAGTTTTAAACTTCTTTATTTGTGCAATGCTTTTGACACAAACAGATAAATAAATTAGATTAACCTATACAAGTAGTCCCTGAGTTACAGACATCTGACTTACAAATGACTCCTAGTTACAAATGGAGGTGAGAAAACAGGAAGTGAGGCACATCTCCCCCACGGAAGGAAGGGAAATCCAATCCTGGAAGAGTTATTACCATGGGGAAAAGATGTCTGTACTGAAACTTGTTCAACAATCCTTGTTTTGACAACAAGCCAAATTTTCCAAAATGCAGTACTCACAGGAGCAGAAAGTGAGGTGAACTCTTCTGAACAGGGGCACACACAGACGGCAAAACAAACCCCACAGGGATGTTAACCCTTCCCTTTGCTATCCAAAGCTAATATACATCCTTATTTTCCACAGCTATTCAATACTATGTTTTTTTGCTATTTGGAAAATTGATTCTTCTCAAAACTTCAAAGATGCCAGGTGTCCTCCACAGGGGGAAAATATCAATTTTCTGAAAATCAAGTCTCAGCTATTGCAGGTTGCTATACCTCTGGGTTACTTGAACTATTTAAGCAGGAGCCAGTTCACAGTCACTTAGACTGTTAGGGGGACAGGGGACTAGTTCGTTGTGTTTCTTCAAGTTGTTTCAAACTTAGGCCGACCCTATCACAGTTTCCTTGTCAAGATTTATTCAAAGGAGCTGAAAGGAGCAAGAAAAGGGTGGTGATAGCAGATGAATAGCAGGGGCAGTGGTGGTATAAAATCTAGGGGCTGGGTAAATGACATTTGGGGGGCAGATCTGGCTTGCGGCCCTTAGTTTGGGAACCCCTACTACAACTTGTATGTTATTGTTAGAGCTGATTCAGACAAATAAGACAACTGTGTGAGTAACTCATTTGACATACATACACAATACTATGTTGGGTTTTGCACACGACTTTTAACAATACTAGTATAATAAATGATCGCCTCAAAGATTTGATTTGCCATGACCAAAAAATGTGTTTTATCTAGGATTTGATCTTTTTCTGTGATATGGCAGGAAAGTTTCTGATATTTCAGGTGCAAGAGTGTTCTACATTTTGGTAGTACATTCTCTCTGTTTTGAAGATGTTTAAGTGTATAAGTATCCCATGATCCCTTCCTGTTTCATATATATCTTAAATATCCGGTGATTCATGTTTCAGAGTTGAGGAAACTGAGGTGAGGAGGCTTGTCTAGCCATACAGGAAATCTGTCAAGGTTCACCAACAGAACCCAAAACGCCTGACCTCAAAGTCTTTTGAGTATAATCACAAAACTATCCTCCTTTCCTATACAACGGGCATCAATATTACCCAGTTTCTTGAAAAGCTTTATGTATTATGTTAGTTTCCCTTCCTTTTCTTTACTCTTTTGCATCGAATTATTAAATACAAGTATAGACCAGTCATGAACCATACAGAAAGCATCAAATATATCTTGCAGATTAGGAAAGTAAATTGGCTTTGTTTCCTCATAAACACTTTCACTTCACTTCACTTTATTTCTTAATTAGTCGCTCTCCACCAAGGTTCTTAACTACCCCATGTTGAGGCATACCGTATTGATTATTTGGTTCTTTACACATATATCTGCTCATTTGTTTGCATACACAGACTTGCATATGTACACTGGATTATGGGTGTTGTTTTTAAATATGCTGATTTTATTTGCTTTAAGTAGAGCTTTGCAGGACAGGTTCCCATCAGCTAAGATTGCTTATTGTTGTGTGGCAGATTTATAAGGCAATATGGAAGCATGAGAGAATGGGACAGAGGGTGGGTTAGGGAATGATTTGATAGGATTAATTAATCAGTCGGGGAAAGTCTTCCAAAGAGGGACTGCACCTCGAAAAAGGGGTGAAAACCTACATATTACCCTATTTACTTGAATCGAATGCCTCCCTTTTTTGGTTAAGTTACGTTAACAAAATCAGGGAACACATTAGGTTTGATAATACAGTAATCTTAGTGCTGATCCAAGCAGAAGGGGAGGCAACTTCTGAGGATGCCTGCCATAGATGCAGGTGAAACATCAGGAGAGAATGCTTCTGGAACATGGCCAGACAGCCCGAAAAACTTACAGCGCAGTGATTCCAACCATGAAAGCCTTCAACAATACAAAGGGGAAGCTGTTCAGGAGTTGCACCTGGAGCTCCGATTTGAGGGAACTAATCTCTCATTTAATGGTCAGGGCACAACTCTATGAGATTCTGTGATTTGTAGTTTGGTGAGGCATCTGCATTCTTCGGCAGAGAAGGCTCAATACCTTGTACAACTTCAGCCCCTGTGACTCCATAGCATTGAACCAAGGCAGTTAAAGAAGATTCATTCTGCAGCTTCCCAAAGTTTTCTTTTCCATCAGTTGGAAGCTTTGGGGTTCTAAATGACAAAGAGTGCACTTTTTGCCGTTGTGCATTACATTCAGCAGGAGATACTTTTTTGGTTTCAGGGGTTTGAAAATTGGGGTGCCTATTAGATTTGATGGTGCATTAGACTCAAGTAAATATGGTATTTGAATTGTATTGCCTATAAATATATGGTGACAGTAAATTTTTATTATCTGACAAACATCTGTGGTGTAGTTGCTGCTTGGTTGTCTTAAGTAAAGCTTTTCTAGCTCTCGTGAACTTTAGTGTCTGAACTTAGTAAGCCTGTATATGACACCAGCAAAGCCTGAGGCAGTTCTGTCCACATTCAAGAAAGGACAAACTCAGTTTGATGGCAAATTACCTTGTTCCTACACATTGTAAACTACTCTGCCTCTATGGACCATTGCCTGGCAGCTGTGATGAACTGGATGAGGGTCAACAAACTGAGGCTTAATCCAGACAAGACAGAGGTCCTCCTGGTCAGTCGCGAAGCTGATCGAGGTATAGGGTGGCAGCCTGTGCTCGACTCCCCCTGAGGACACAGGTCCATAGTTGGGGGGTCCTCCTGGACTCAGCACTGACATTTGAAGCTCAGGGATCGGTGGTGGTCTAAAGGGCCCTCGCACAGTTAAACTTGTACACCAGCTGTGACCGTACCTCGAAAAGCCTGACTTGGCCACGGTGGTCCATGCCTTAGTTACATTCAGAATGGACTACTGTAATGCACTGTGCATGGGGCTGCCTTTGAAGATGGTTCGGAAACTGCAGTTAATGCAAAGGTTGGCAGCCAGAGTACTAACTGGGGCTAGCTATAGGGAGCATACCACGCCCCTATTAAAGCAGCTCCAATGGCTTCCGACAAGTGTCTGGGGCCAATTCAAAGTGCAGGTTATCACCTATAAAGCCCTATGCACTTCAGGTCCAACCTATCTTCGAGACTGCATCTCTTTCTATTTTATTTATTTATTATTTGAACTTATATGCCGCCACTCCCCTGGGGCTCGGAGTGGCTTACAAGAACAGGCTAAAATCGAACACAATTTAAAAACAATTTTAAACAATTTAAAAACAATCAGAGATCAAAGGCCTGTCGAAATAGATATGTCTTACATGCCCTGCGGAAAGCTGATAAATCCTGCAAGGCACAGACTTCAGGTGGCAGACCATGCAAGACCTTAAAGGTGAGTACCAT